ATACATGCTTTAGCAGTCACGCAAAACACACATTGGCAAATTATTATTCAATAAAATCTGAGAATGTATACTATTATCTAGATCTAGTATTTTTAAATTATTTTTAAAATAATTCCATAAATTGGGATTTAAAAAAAATATTCCACCTTTATGAGCGACAGTGTATATAAGGTCTGTTATTTAATATGCGTCTAAACGGATCTAAACATTAAAACGCAAGAACTGTAATTATACTTGATGATTTGCAATTTACTGCAAAGACAATTTGTATAATTATCACCAAACCCTTACTTGGTGGCAATTATAAGTGTAGACCAGAGGCGGATCTAGGGGGGGGGGGGGGTTCCCTCCTGTGCCCCCCCCCCAAAAAAAAAAAACAGATAAAACCTTTTTTAAATAAAAAAAGAAGACGGGAGCAAGGGGGTGGGTGTTGATTCGGCGCTTAATATTTTCTCACGAATTTGGAAGAAGAAACAATTGATAGTGCTCCTTTCTTTCAGGCCGTCCATTTGGGGGCACATACCCCTGCCTCCTATAGCTACGCTACTGATCAGCTGATAGCATGCGGGTGAGCCGGCGTCAGTCCCTCTTAAATAGATAACATTTCTCTTGAAGATAAAAGTTGTTTTGCTAGCACACTGTCTTGTTTATAAACATCTTGACATGATAATGCAAGCTCCATGATAGCACAGACAATCAGAGGCGTACAGACGGGGGGGGGGGGGGGGGGGGCATATGCCGCAATTTTTTGAGAAGTATAAAGAAAGAAAAAATACCATGTTTTTTCATGTATTTAGTGGTCTCAATCTTCAAAGGGGCACAAAAATAGATTCGGGACATATTTTTGTCTATTTACGTAAGGTAAGCCGGGTTTATTCTTTAAAGAGGGAGAGTGGGAGCAAATATCCCCTGGTTGTGACATTTTCTATAAAATATTTTGTGTGTAAATCCATAATAAACCTATTTGGAAAACTTCAAAATTTTGTTGTTACCGATCGCTGTTCGTTTTCTGTTGGCCTATCCGATATACTCCATGTCAGCAAAATTGAAAATCTGCCGACGCACCTTTACCTGTTTACCCAAATTTTGAAATATGACGCAGTTTAATAAAGCTGGAGAATTCTAGCGTTATAATTATGTCGGCAGATTCGCTGTGACCCTCCCTCGTTACTTCAAGATAGTCTTACAACGCCCCTGTCTGTAAATAAAACTAAATTAGTTATCCTGTGCAAAGTCCGCTCGATACATGAAGTATAATATGACGTTCATGATTAGTTTACAGCTGAATTTCTTTTGTAGCCTTGACTACTATCTACATTTGAAGTTGTCATTTTATGGATTTGTATCTTTGTACAGTCATCGGTAAATATAAGGAACAACGTATTTTATGGTGGAATGTGTGAACTGTTGGCTTACACTTTGTTATTGTAAGAGCCCATGTGCCCTGAAAAGGTTTCTTTCCGTTTCGTCTACAACCAGTTCGTCCAATAACCAATTTTGATGATGATTATTATCTATAATTTAATGATTATACCGTATGGATTGGACAGTAGACGCAATGGGCATTATACAAGCTGGGAATTAGACCAACTGGTTATTAGACTGAATGAACTATATACCGGATGGGTAGTAGACTAACTGGAGATTAGACCTTATGGAAATTAGATCAATTGACTATTAGCCTAAATGGCCATTAGACCAAATGATTATTAGACCATGTGGATAGTAGACGGGCTGGGTGTAGACCATATGGGAACAGACTAATTGGGTAATAGACGAACTGGTTGTGGACCAAACGGCAATTCACCTCCTCAAAATAGAATATATTAACACGATCTTAAACATGTAGAAGTCAACGATTGTATCGTTGTCGCGCAGCACCTAATTTTTGCGAACATTCAGCTTCTGACGATTGAACATGATTGTGGTTCGAACGTCATTTTCTTTTCACGCAATATAACATGATACAAATTATATTGAGAATTTAAATCATTGTTCTTTAATCATACGTTGATTAATGGTTTGGAATTCACTGTATTATGGTAAGCCTTCTACATATCGTGAAAATGAAAAATAAATCTAAGTTGACTGTCAATGTTTGGTTGCCTAATTTGTACAATTTAAGGGAATTGAGATCGCATGGTAATCCCATCAACTTGCAGGCCTTAAAAGCAATCCTCAAACATTGCGTTTGCCTGCCAAAGCTTAATTAAACTGTTATAAATTGTTACAGATTTTAGAGCTTTTCCCGCACATCCGCATCATACCCGTCTAATATACTTTTAAAATCAATTAATCAAAGTGCCCCTCCCTTAGGCCGCCCCTTCCCAATCAGTTGCATTTTGCAAAGATAGTACTTGTCATGCTTCCTTTTTAAAACATTTGCTATCATTGGTTATCCGAGAAACCCTTCAACTCAAAGACAGGGGACAAAAGTTGCTTTATTAGAAAACCAACGGATAAGGATAACAAGATTTTATTCACGTTCTGTTCAACCGATACTTAGCAACAGGAGAGGAATAACGAATGATAACAGTCCACAGCATAATACGGAGAGTTGGTCCTTGTGTATGAACTAAATCTACGTGCTTCTCTGTTTTCAACATTTTTCGTTCGGTGTTTGAGGGATGTTAACCGAAATTTCGTCGCTTTTCATATACAATTTGCATATAAAAAGATCAACAGCGTGAAATATCCGTACATCGAGAAAGTAAAGGTCGTTTTCTGAAATGTGCTGGATTAAACTGTACATCAAGTGATAATCTAATTATCAAATTACGATTGGATAAACGGACGCAACGCAGAAAATAAGGTAAAACATCTTTAATACATGTGTATCTGACTGATTAGTTTCAGGTGGATGAATTATGGAAGTCAGAATTTGATAATGTATGACTTTCAACCAATCAGGGAGAAGTATGTAGGACTTGCGTTTTGAGTCCTGGTCAACTACTACATCGATATGACTATTGATCGCCAAACATTGTCTTTGTGGTTAGTTGGGATGTTTGATTGGATTGTGGTTACGTTTTGTTGGATGGTCAAATATTCTTGACTTGGTTACCTACTGTAAGTCGTGTCAATGAACTGGTATTTGGTAGTTTATTTTGAATTCGCTTGATTGTTTATGCTTGAGTTACCTTGTATCCCTCACCATTTTCGTCCTCTCCATCCCCTCTCTTTCTCTCCCCTCTCTTTCTCTCCCCTTTCTCCCCCTCCCCCCTTCCTCTCCCCCACCCCACACACACTCTATTACACTCTCTTTTTATATAATATATTGGTTGTCATGTTCTTAAGTGTACATAATCGGGGGTGGGGGAATGGTTCATTTGTAAATTCATTATCCTTTTGATGCCCATTTTTTTTTTTTTAATAGAAATACATTTCAGTGCATGCACATTAACTTTTGATACTTTATTTCCTGAAGAGATGATACCAAGAAGCCTCTTTTTATAGCCCAACCATCTCTCTCTATCTCCCTTTCAACTCCTTGTTTCTTTCTACTGTCGGCTGGAAATGACACACCTCCGCTCCCCTTCTCCCCCTCTCCCCCATCCCATCTCCCCTCTCTCTATCTGCACCTTCATCTCTGCTGTAATAAAGTGACATCTTTTTTCTCTTTTCTCTCCCCTCTATCTCCCCTCTCCCTCTTTCTGCATCCTTCCTATCGTCCCCTTCTCCCTCTATCACCCCCTTCTCTCTCTGTACCCCTAAGTCAACTGGAGAATCTACCAGAGGGTGTAAGACCACACCCTTCTTACCCCCTCCTAGATGACCCAATCCTTGGTCCGTCGTTTCCGGACAACTAATGTCTTGTTTACCACCTCTATCCATCGATCGTCTATTGTTCCTACAAACATGATAATCAATAAGATGAAAGGACCCGTCCTGCCAAGCGAATCGCCTGACACATTACATCCATCGATCTCCGCGATTCTTTAGAAATTAGCATGTTTTTCCTAGATCAGGACTGAGGAAACGGGCCTTTCCTTCATACGTATAAAATAATTCTAAATTCTCAAGTTTAATAATGACAATCTATAATTGAATGATATGATCTTATGCCACTGCAGTGGTTTGACTGACACATTGTAGGCATACTCGTCGATTTATGTCGCTCCTTGGAAATTAGAAGCAGGTATCCCAAGCAAGTATAATTTAGAAGGCTTGCCTTTAAGCGTGCATCTGGACGTGATTTTAAATCGTGGATATTAGATCCATGTTTCCAGCAAACATGTCTACATTCAGCTACATCGCATTGTAAAACTTCAATTCGCCAATAGTTCGTATCACTGTATTTGTAGTGTTATGATGAACACATTTATCAATCTTGTTTTCCAGTAGAGCATATAACCGTGGGACTCGCTATATTCCAGCTCCTATTTACGAAGAAACAGTATTTTAAAATTAAATCAAATTTACTCCTGGCGATTCTGTTTTTCTCAGCGATTATAATGTAAGAGAGAACCTTCAAGGAGCGCTCCTTTGTCATCCCTTTCACTTATATTCAATGAGAACATGTCTTCCTCAAAGAGGTGAAGTGTTGTTACACAATTGTTACACAAAGGAAACTCCCCAAAGCCGGAGGCAATCTCTTTAAAGGCATCGTTTAACAATGTTGAATCTGAGATGCACGGCCTTACGTGTTGTCAGTGTCTGTGATATGGTGTAATCATGGAGATAAGAAGAAGCCCTAAACAAAAAAAATGATCATGAAGTGCCTCAAAAAAGTATTTAAAAAAAATCATTAAGTGGCCAGTTTTACCATACTCATTTTCCCCAATTGACTGTAGTGTTATAAAAAGCTTTAGAAAAACGAAAAATGAAATTTCGATTTCCAATCATAAATATCTTGATAATCAGACAGGCGATCGGCTTGTAAAAGTCATGAGATTCCTGACTGACGTAATATTGAAGGTTTATAATTATGATTGCAGCATGAGCTAAATCCAGCATTTTGCTTCAGGATCTGAGGCAATGTTACCGAGTCACTTTAAGTCTATACCTAACAACTGAATTAACAGACCGCCTAAAAACCGGTACGATCATAGTTATCGGACACAACTTAATCAATATTGATTGCACCGGCTCTGAACACAGACAGTCGAGGGGTGATTCTTTTTTTGTTTACGCCCGAGACAGCACTTAACATCACTGCTGTGTCACAGATACATCTTCAAAACGGTTTGTAGCACGCGTGGCAACGTTGCGCTGCTCTTCTTGTAGAAGATATCTCTTGAACTTTCCATCGGATTGCATCAACTTGTTGGATGCTTCTTTGAAGTAAGGATTTTGCTTGATTCCTTGAGCTCTTGGTGAATTCTTTTTTAAAATTGAAGGAAATCTTCGTTTGTTCACGGGTAGAAGAATCTGTTTGTTTCAGGCATCGAGGATGGAGGCTGTTACGCTTCGGCGAATTTCCTTGACTTCGGGAACCCCTGTCGAGTCTGTATTCCCACTTGTCTATAGCTCTGATGGATTTTAGATATGAAGCATCTGTAAGAATTTACAAGCGTTTGCTACGTAGATGGAGTCAACAAGATTCTTCTGAAAGAAATGACCTTGTCGTCATCATTTAGAAGAAAAAAAAATAGACGTACATAAACATTGCCAGAATTTGCTTATTTATGTGGTTTGTCGACCTTCGTGGATGTCTGCTGTCACGAGAAGTTTAACCAGCATGACAACGAAACGTCCATGGTGTCCCAGAAAACAACATGCTTCAGCCTTCAGATAGCTATAAAATGACTCCAATCTTGAATAGAGGCCTATACAGATTCAGTCAGATGTAAGCATGAAGATGACTCCCTTCGTGAATCTCAACTTTACACTCTTCTCGAGACTTTAAAACTACCAAGGAACTATACATATACTACCCAATATACCTATATTGGCATTGTGATTGTAAAATGTCGTGTGGATGTACAATTCTTGCGTCAGCGGTGGGATTTGTACCTAACATGGTATTTGACCTCGGTCTGACATATTTTCAAAGCGTTGGATTATGAGAGACATTACCATGACTACGCAGTAAGTCGAAACGAACCTTTTACAAAACTGTTTTATGTTTAGATCAGTTTATGTTACCCGAATTTGGTATATAACTTTCGTTGGCAAAATGACACTATACATGTACTGTAGTATGAAAATCTCCATAACGTTATGTGAAGCAAATTGTTAGTCTGGTCTACCGTAATACATTGTTGTATAACTAGATACATTGATATTATGTAGGCCTTTACATATTCATAAGCATCAGATAATTAGAGACAACCTTATTATGTTCTATAAAACATTATTATGCACATCCATGTAGAAATCGAGACTCAAGAAAATTATGCAAATTCGCGTAATTCTCAAGGTTCTAAAGAACAGGTGCCTTTAACATTTTTTTCTTTTCCTCATCGGAGGTCATTATTTGCATAATTTTGATACGTATTTACATTGATTACTCAATGATTGAGTGAAAAAATAATATTGGCTAAAAACTATATAATATTCAACAATTCTTCCAGCTTAGTTTTATTTTCTTTGCTAACACATTCATACTTTAGACACAATCTTAGCAACGACTTGAATTTATAAAAAAGCATGTTGGTAGATAACAGTACTTAACAATCTTTTTAACGTAACATTTTAAATTGTACATTGCGCATAATTCAAAAAAAATTCAGGAGAGTATATTTCTTGTTTCCTATGTCATTACCCGACAACAATCTTTTGGTGTATTTGTATTTCTACTTGGAATAGGTTAAATATAAAATTTAAATGACAAATTACATATTAAATTATCAAATAATATATTATTTTCCAAAACATAATAACATCAAATGCCTTTATCATGTTCATAATTGGATGCGGCGTATTTGAAGATGCAGATGGGTCTGGGATCAAATTGTCCGACTATCGCCCGAATTCCCCCATAACAAATCCCCGAAATAAGAATGAATTTAGAAAAGACCGACTATACAATTAATTACAAGAATGAGCTAATAGGCAGAACTCACAATACTCGATTGTCCTTGAAATTAAGTTCTGATATATTCCTACAATAAAATATGTTTGGTCGCCATGCGACATCGCAATATTTGTTTTTTTTAATGAAGGAAGAAGCGGACAGTCGTGTTTCGGTAGCTATTTACCTTCTTTACGAAGTAGCATTTATAGTGTGGGTCCATAAATTGAGGGGACACTAAAATGATATGTTTATTTGTATATGCCAAAGTGTATTGAGGATTTTGAGGCTCAACTTAAATCCAACAAGGACTTAGAATATTGTCTAGCTAAAAAGAAAAACAAACTCCCCTTCCATTCTATCTAGTTTATTTACAATGCTGCTTTGTATAATTCTGTAAATACTTCAAATATATTAGTTTGAACATATTTGTGGCTTACACCCAGTAAATAAGATCGATTGATCGATCTGTAATTGAAAAACAAGACAGAAAAAATCTTGGAACCAGCGGGATTTGTTTTCAAATATATTTTTTCTAAAAAAAATTAAAATATATTATTCTGTAATTGTTTCATTTGATTTTTGTTCAGTACTGTTGCCCATAAAGATTAAATATTTGTTTGCCTCTTTTCATGAGGTAATTATAGGAATGTGGTTTGTTTTCGATTCATTAATGTTTATATCTTCTCAGAACTTTATTAACTTAAGAGTCATAAGAATTATAAAGACTGCTCAATCAAGTTCTGAGAAGATTTAAACATTTTTTGTCGGGAATGGCTACGTTTTTCGCGATTATTTCATGAAAAGAGGTAAGAGAGTTGATAGACCACAGTGTATATTAAAACATTTTCGACACAATGTGACTCCTTCGGTGACGTGCATCAGGAAACGGCTCCGAAGACGTAGGGCGTAGATAATTTTAGCGACTCCATTAAAATATATTACTGGGTAAAAAATAAAATGAGGTGAATGCCAGTATCATTGAGGGTGGGGGCACTCTGTGAATCAAATGCAAAATTAACAAGGTCATTGTTTAAGAGGAAAATATGGGGGTGTGGGGCGTAGCGTTCTCTCTTCACGTTCCCATTTCTCTTTTCCATTATCCCTCTTTGGTATGGTTTCCCCCTTTTCATTGTCAGTTATTTCGATTTAGAGGCATGTGCCCCCCTGCCCCCGCAGCTATATGTCACAGTGCATATATGATAAGTTCCTTTATGTCAACTTTATTTCATAAGCATCTTTCTCATCATCGCCTTTGCACTTCTTTTTATTTTACAGAAGCTGGGCCCACAAACGGCGTGGCCTCTCGTGCTACGGACCGCCACTCATTCACCACCCTAGTCTCGCCGCAACTTACCCGACGTCAGGCTCGCTCCGACGTTGCTACCCGCGAGCTCGGCTTGACGAGATCGCACACGGTGGCCGAGCTCCGGACACCGAAGATCAACCTCACAGGGATGACCGGCGAACGACCTCGACCACAGCTCTCGAGAGCATCGACGTGGTGCGCGATGCCGAAGGTCTCCTCTCGCTCGATGTCGCGGTTTTCTTCCATCTCGACGTCGAGCCTCCCAATGATTTCCAATCATACAGACGGGCGAGCTGATGCTCTAGTCAGTGCCTCATGCGATGGGTTGGTTGAGCGTGTCTCGGCTCTACGAAGTTTGGCCAATAACCCCAGATTAAAGGTAAATCTAGAAAGAAAGCTAAAAGATCATAATTATTAAAATGATGAATTTGTTCTAAAGCGTTTCCCTTCGACTAGAGAATAATGCTCTGTGTATGAATATGATAATAGATAGATTGACTGTGCCTATTTCGAGAGCTTGTAATTAAAATACAGAAAGATCGAAATTAACTTTGTTTTTGCCTTTTGCATGCTTCATTACATCACGGTCAAGTCCAACAAACGTTGTTGTCTGGTCGTTAGGTGTCCCATAGAGGTGTCGAGAAAAAAGCTTAACAAACGTGAATATTTCAAATGTTTATTTCCTTGTTATTTTGGTCTGGTCCAAGCTGTCGTTGGGAATATCAACTCAATATGAAAAAAAATCCCCTTAAGACCACTTTGTTGTGTTTAAGCGTCAAGCGAATAACTTACATTATTCATATCCTATATTGTTTGGGCTATTGGCTGTCGAAATAGAAATAGCATGCTTGTAAGTGAACCATTCTCGTTTGGTTCATGTTGGGACGTGGAGAAGTATCTAATAGAAGCGCCCCAAATGACATAGTTATATGTATTGAAATCTACCCTGGGTCCCTTATTATCAATAACAAGTTATACAATAATTGTTATAAGCTACTGAAATCGTTGAATCTGATTGGCTGCAAGCAAATTTGTCATAGAATTCTAACGATCGTTATTGATAACAACCTATCTGAAGCGGGGTCCAGGTCTCGAACATGGGTCACGCCTTTTCAAAGAAAAATTCTCTTAATGTAGAGCACAGGAGACCCACTGGTTTAGGAGTCACATAAGGAGATCACTTCGTTGGTAGATGATTCCACTGCAAACTTGTAATAGTGGAATACGCTCCAAAGTATAGTGGGTAAATTACTACTTTGAGAATGGGTTCTACTCTTTTGGGCCTGGGCTTCGGCCATTCAAACAAATTGATCTCTATTAATATGACTCCAAAAAGTTGGAGTTCCGATACTGTACTTTTAAAGAGTTTACATATCCACTGTTTGGTTCTTGGTCAAGAATGATTGAATAAATTTTTTCTTTGGAAAAAAATACCAAAACATATCCACTGTGCCATCCTGTCTCACATTGACCCTCTTTGATTTCTCTGTACTTCCAGGTAAGCATCGTCAACGGGGCACCTACGATATCACCCCGCAAGAGCACGCTTCCATTTGGACTGGAATCAACCACATCTCAGAGAAGACACCACCGAGACTCCAAGAAAGAAGTCGTCGTTGAGCTTTCGAAACACGGCTACCACTCTCGCAGCAACTCGCCTACCTATCGTCGGCTCATCAACGCGAAGGAGCAACTCGACGTCGCGCTGTGCAAGAAGTTACGCGCTGTCAGACAGCAACTTGACGGGCAGACGGCGCGCGAAAACTCCGCCATGAACGGGGACTCCGGCTGAAAATGGACGAGCGGAGTTCGGAGGAACGGTACAAGGACATGGTCGAGAAGGAATTGGAAAATGACGAAGCCTCGGAAGTTATTGAGAACATGACGATCGCCAACAGCGAGCCGCTTGCCATACTTGAAGCGATAGATTTACGAACTCCACGCCCTCACGTTGATCTCAAATTTGATATTCGTTACGTACAATCGCATATCAACGACTTGGATGTGTTGAATATAAATGTGAGGAGAAGAGAAGAAAATTCAGGAGCGGCGAGATAGAGAGAAGCGCAGACGGCCAGCGCGCGCACCCTCGCATTCTCCGACGCAATTCCGCAGAAGCTGCGAAGCGTGTTCCGTGGAGGGCGCGCATCAAACGGACAAATCGCGCGTTGATTATCTACGCACGAAAAGTCGCGGAGGGTTAAACTCCGCAGACGACAGGAGAAGGATAGCGACGATAGCCATGATAATGATAGTGATAATGATATCGAGCCGCCGCTGATGATGGATGAACCCATCACAACGCAGCCGGACTTTCTACCGTTACCGTCACCGCCACCTTCTACAAAATCGTTCAAAACAATGAAAAAGACCCAGAGTGAAACGTCGAAATCGTCGACATCGTCGAAATCGTCGAAATCGTCGAAATCGTCGAAATCGTCGAAATCGTCAAAATCGACGAAATCAAAGACTTCAAGTATCGCACAATCTGTGGACGTAGCGGAAGAAGCAGCAAAATCTGAAACGGTAGAATCTGAAACCGAAATCAGGTTGCCATCGTTATCGTCGTCATCACCCTATACGGATACCCGATCAGCATCTGTTGCTAGCGATCATGAATCTACTGGAACTAAACCCGAGACGTCTACGTCGACGTCGCCGGCGGAGGAGGATAAACCCAAACTGAGCGACAAGGAAAAGTTTCTGATTATGAGAAAACGGATGAAAGAGAGAGAGGAGGAGAAGTTGGCCAAGAGGGAATCGTTTGTAGATTATTCAATGATTGCGTTTCATGGATCGCGCAAGGAGAGGGCGGGGAGGGGGCAGAAGGGGCTTGGCAAGACCCTCTCCAACAGACTGGAGAGTATGGCGTCCTTCAAATCCAAACCAGAAGACGACGGTAAAACTAAAAGAAAAGGCTTGATGTCAATGTTTAGCGATGATGATGATGATGATGATGACGATGACGACGATGATGATGACGATGAAGAAGATGATGTCGAGTAGAGCTTTCAAATATGAAACATTGGTTAATTTCACTACACTTTGTGAAGTGAAAATATAAGTCGACACAACAAAGGTTTTTTATTTTATTGATGACGATAATGATAATGATGAAGTTTTGCCCTTTGAACGTGAATATCATATATACTACACTTTAGAGATTTACCCAGTCATTTAAAGGGGGTGTAGCATGCAAAATACTGGTTAACGCCATCTGTGACTTCTTTTGTCCCCTGTACCCAGGCGCGGATCTAGGGGTGAGTGGGCCTTGCCCCCCTGCCCCCCCCCCCCCAAAAAAGACGGCCCCTGGCAAAACAAACAAAAAATATTAAAACTTGTGACCAGAAATTTACCCTTTTTTTTTGCTCAAGGGGGGGGGGGGGGGAGGGAGGGGGTGTTGAGTAAAAAAAAAAAAGCGCTCACTATGCCCCCCCCCCCCCCCCCCCCGCACACTGAGCGAAATATCGGCCGGCGCGATTTTCAAATTTTCAGCACACTAAATTTCAAATTGTTTTTAAATTTGGGCCTTCCCCTCTAAGAAATCCTGGATCCGCGCCTGCCTGTAACCCTAATGATGTCTCGAAAAATGTCTTTAATCGTCATTTCTAATTTAGTGAAATGAGTTTGTGGCAACCCCCCCCCCCCCCCTTTTTTTTTTTGTCTGAAGGCTAATACGTCCTAACAGAAATATTGGATGTTGCAATATATGTTTTTGTTATGTATACATTTCACTGCGAGTGACAATCAAAAGCTATGAACTGCTCAAAGAAGTGCTCAGGGGCATGTATTCTGTTCTGACTTCTTTGTAAGCAGTATAATTAAATGCATTTTTACGAAAGATATTCAACTGGTCGAGGTTTTGAATTCTTTGCTCTTTTTAATAATGTCATGATACAAAAAATGTTCGAAATTGGCGTTAGTTCATTCAATATTCATTCAGATATGCTTTTTGCTGTCCTATTCTTTGTATACACAGATGGGGAATGCAAAATCGCCTAGAACATTCTTCCATTATTTTAAGAGTGCGAGAGAAAGAGTCATCGAGAGATAGAGAGAGATAGAGAGAGAGAGAGTGTGTGTGAGAGAGAGGGGGAGATGGAAAAGAGGGAGAGGATGGGTGGTACGCTAAATAAATATTACTTGAAATTCTGATCATGTTTGATTTTGGAATATTTCAGGCCCCCTATCATAAACTCTTTCACATCTCGCATCCGTCTTACCCCTCCAACTTACCCCCTCTCTCGTCCTCATCCTCCCCCCTCTCTTTATCTTCCTCGCCCCCTCCATCTCTCTTTCTCTCTCTCTCTCTCTTCCTCATACCCCCTCCATCTCTCTCTCTTCCTCAACCTCCCTCCGTCCTTTTCTCTCCCTTTCTCTTCCCCTCTCGCTGCTCACCCATGATATTACCATTGGTAGTAGGTCCGTGAAATTACCCACGATATGATTCCTCCTTCATCATTGTCAAAACCAACACAATGTATTAACTATTCAGCACCATTACCTGCCATCTGTTTAACCCCTTCCAAACTACCATGACTACAACTCTCATTCTCTCCCCCCTCTCTCTCTCTCTCTCTCTCTCTCTCTTCCTCAACATATCCCTCCATCCTATTTCTCTCCCTTCCCTTCCCCCTCTCGCCGCTTATCACGATTCCTCCTTCATCATCGTGAAACCATTTCCAAACTTCCATGACTGCAACTCTCATTCTCTCTCCTATGTCACTCGTCCGCTTCTCTCTCTCTCTCTCTCTCTCTCTCTCTCTCTCTCTCTCTCTCGCACTCTATCTTTCCTTCTCTCTCCCTCCCTCAACTTATAGTTTTCCGTAATCAACGCGACTTTCTTTATCCTCATTGAGAAACCAACACAATATTTATCACTGTCCAACACCATTATGCGCTTCAAATTCATCTTTTATTCCTTTACTTAAAAGTTTAAAGAAAATACAAAGTACAAAAAATCAGCAAACTATAACGACCAACATCTTTAACCATGACGTGACAATACATTAAACATGAAATAATTGGAATTGCCTATGTGGTGACAGGCGAATTCGAAAGTAATGATAACCATAAAGAATTATCCCCAAAGCATAACAAATAACATTAAGTGTTCGTTATGATATAGTTATATCAAACAATTAAAAAATAAACGAATCATTTCACATTAGTACGTTTACATTTGCATAACATTCTTCACTATCTTTAATTGCACCTTTCTTTTCGAGTTTTAAAAATCTAAAATCTACCATTGATTGATTTCACTTTTTTTCACTGAATAGACCTTAACATTTTCATTAATTCAAATCACACACATTTTACACTCATTTATGCGAATGAGTTATAAGAAATAAACTGTCGGCTGTAATTTTACCAAAATATAATAACCCGACCACCCACTCCATCCGACCCCAGACCACACCCTCCCTCACCAAAACTCCGCCCACATCATCCTGACCACTCCCAATATTATCTTATCTTGCCCACTATACCCCTGGACCATACCCTACCTGAGCCCAGTCCAACTTGCTATAATCCTTGTTGTATTATTAGGACGGTTTTGCATGTTATATGCCATCTTCATGTTACTCGCAAGTGGCCGACTCCTTGGTGAGACGTTGGCAGACGTGAGGGCCTTTCTGCAGGTCACGGGTTCGAGTCTGCATACCGTCAAGGCACTCGCTGTATTCACCCCATTCACCCAGAGTACATGGAACTGTTGGGATTAAGAGATCGAGTTAAATTGTCATTATGATATTTAACAATTCCCCTTTCCCCCCTGCATTTCACAATCGTCCCCACGAGGTTACATGCAGTGGAATCCGTTACCAGGGCCCCATTTCACAAAACTTGTCATCATTGACAAATGACAATTTTTTGTTATAAGCTAGTGAAATCCTTGCTTCTGATTGGTTATCAGCAGAGTTGTCACTGATTTTTGTCATTTGTCATTCAAAAAAGGCTTTGTGAAACGGTTCCCTCATTTAATACAGTGCATTTCAATGAATAAATCCTACCAGGTATAAGTACACAAGTCCTCTTCAACACATGGGTAGCGGGAGAAAAGATAAAATGTCGTGTCAAAGGCTACGCCGCCGCACACTTCAAATCTCGGCCCAGCGCGCCGGGCCGAGATTTGAAGTGTGCATCATGCTGGATTTAGAGTTAAGCATGAACCAATAATGTACTACGGTTAGGAGAGTCTTGTATTTTCGGGGGTCAATAAAATTTTCCGTCATTTCATTCATACTTGAGATCTAGAGATTCGTTATTATTCGATGTCATGTTCGGTCACACTGTCTTGAAAATGTAGTGAGTTCATTTCCATAACTAAAGTCAACAATATTTCTGTATGTCGGAGAAATGAGTTTAACGGGAAGCGCGCTAACGGGAAAGACCATTCGAAAGGAGAGATGTGCACTATGTACCGGAGGTGTTGATCCTAATATGGATCGGTATACAGGTCCCTCCCCCCGCCCTCAAATAACTGGAGAGTATTAACTTTGTATTAAAATAACCCGAGAAATTAGTTTGCCGCCGCCCCCATCCTTTCTAAAAATCACTGTCACCCCCACTAGTGACTCTACAATGCATCCTGGATGAAAGTACAAGAAAGATTATTAAGAAAAAGAAACAATCAAGGACAGACAGAAAGAATGACTGTATGAATAATTGAAGAAGAAGAACGAGAAGAAGAACGAGGAGGAGAAGAAGAAGGAGAAGAAGGAGAGGAAGGAGGAGAATTGGATGAAGAATAGGAGGAGGAGCATTATCGACATCATCCATGAGACCATCACCCACCTTTTCCTTTCTTGCAAGGCAGTTCATGCGTCCTGACAGCTTCGCATTCAGCTGGGGCGCCCTCTACGACCACAAGCGAGCCAGTCATGGTGATTTGGTTTGTTGTTTCATTACAGGTAGGAGCTTGTTCCCAGTTATATCTGCATCGCATGGGCCTACCTCTATGTTCTACGTTGTGAGAGAAAAAGTGAGTACAAAATAACAACATGGGTGTAAAATAACATTTACAAATCGTATAGCGGCTTTTCAAGTAAATTAGATCTATGCAGGGTCGTCGATCACTAGAGTTTAAATTGTAATAACCCCAAAAAATACAGACAAGTTTACAGACAAGTCTTTTTCCGCCAACGAACCAAAAGTAATTTCTCAGATTGCAAAATTCGTCGACAATGATGAAATCCGTATCAACTCAGATTTGCCGACTGGAGTAAAGAAGAAACCCGAATATCTTAAGATTTGTACATTAGCCCTCATGGTTTGAAAATCATAGATCCCTCGGGCCCTCCACAGGAGAAAAAAAGAACATAAATAAACTACTGTCCCTTTTCTTTCGGTCAAGCAACTTTCATCAACAAAAACAGAAAGAAAAGAAATCGGGTGGGACCGTAAACCTATGACGATTGCGACAATAATGATGGTAGTGGTGGTGGTGGTTTATGATGATGATAATGGTGATGTTGATGAAGATGCTGTTCGTACCTGGTTTAGAGCAACCATCCTCAACAGCCCTAACCTGGGTGATGACGAGGAGCAGACGATAATGCTAACACTGATTATGGTAGTGGAGGTCATGATGATAATGGAGTTAATGTCAATAATATTTGAAGATGGCAATGGTGTTGATGATGATGATGATGATGATGTTTGGGATGTTAATTATGAAAATGATGATTGGTGATGATGACGACTTCCATACCTGGTTTAGAGCACTCATGCTCAATGGTCCTGACCAGTCTGCATTCCTCTGAAACCTGGGCGATGTCGGTGAGGGTGTCCTCTCTGGTCCTAAGGTTTGTCGTCTCGTTGCAAGGTCCAAACTCACCCCGGGTGTAGTTACAATCTGACGCGGTCAAAGGTCAAAGTTTATTAGACATGTACAAGCAGGTGTTTGAGTGATTCTTTCCCCAAAATGGCGACACACAACTGAGGCTATTGAAAGTGCCTACATTTTTGTTAAAGGTCCTTGCAAATGGGGCCATTCCTCTTAACCTAGGTGCGGTTCTAAAAGAATCTTTATTTGGGATGGGATTGGGGCGCTTGTCCATCGGGTCTTTAATATTCATATTTTTTACACATTGTCTTGTTTGTATTTATTTATAAACAAAATTTACTGAAGATTGTTTTTCTACTCGGACTTGAGGCCTTCAAACATCCCCTTCTGCAAACCGCTTTTGGCCCCTACCGTAAAAAAAAACCCCTGGATCCGCCCATATACTCACTTCTGTTTTCATTCCTGATTGACTGCCTATCACATCGGATGGATTCAACGACTACTTCCGGGCACTCTGAGGTAGGGGTTCCCTTGAGGACCTTCGTCCTGTTCATTTGGTTCCGGGTCAGGTCGCATTCGGATAGCGTCGCTCGGGAGTATTTGCATTCTAGGAAGAAAAATGCGAAAGGGAAAAAGATGATGAAGAAAAATGTAATGGAATTTCAGATCGATATATTATTTTTGTTTATGATGACGACGATGTTGATCGGAAGCTCATTCATTTTTGTTGACAAAGAACACAAATGTTTTGCATTTGATTTTTTTTGTATGAAATCTCATTATTTGATAAATTATCGCATCAAATTCTGTTTGCATGCGTATCATGAATATTTATGACTAGCACGTTTAGGTTTCTATTGAGCCAATCAAATGCAGCAGTAGGATGTGTAGGTTAGGTTAAAAAAAGACGCGGCCCGCTGGGAAACACCCCAGCTTCCCCATGCAGTCTACGTCTGGAGATGACAAATTCTCTATCGTGGTATTTCTTTTAGCTCACCTTTAGCTTTTGCTGGTTTATCATTCTTGTTGGGTTTACGGCCCCCTCGTGATGGCTTCTCCGGCCTCCTTCCGTTTCCGGTTCCGCTATTTTCCCGGCCCTTTCCGTTCCCGTCTTTGCCCGGTCGACGCCCTTTACCGGGTCTACCACCGCCTCGAGCTGGAGCTACGGTGGCGACCGCTTCCTCATCATCGACTGCAACCGGTGCTTCATTGTTGACCGCTTCCTTTGCGCACTTGACGCGGCAGTCGACAGTCTTCGTGGCTACTTCACATGGCTCACCACTGCAGTTACCGATCTTTTGCCCCTTACCGCATGATCCCGTGTTCGGCACGCACTCGCTCCAGATCCATTCCATCTGGGCTGCAGACGTGTTGTTGCCTATGCACGGGTGAACAAATTGTGATGATTAGAGAGTTAAATCATTATTGAATTATTGATTATTGATTACTATCAGATGATGAAGCGGATCCTAATCAAAATGATTGGTTGAGAGTGCACACGTGACCAGGAATTTATTTTGCCTAGCACGTAATTTTACTAATGACTGGTCATCAGTAAGTACTTATGACCGGTCATTAGTAAAATCAAGTTATAAAACATCATTTTGCCTGGGCATTAGTAAAATAACCCACACTCCAAACACCCTCGGCTATCGCTTCGGGTATGTTTGACTGTTCCAAAGGTACCTTGCGTGGGTAATTCTTACTAATGCCCACACTGCTGTGTATTATTTGTATACTGTCGATGTTCTGTCAGTCTCGAAAGACGACATTATTTAGTGCCAGTACATTCTGACTAATTTTCATCATAATGTTGATAATTATGGCCAATGCCTATTGCACACGAGGCGTAATGTCGATGGCGTTATTACCTGCATGCGCTTATCAAGCATTATTCTGAGGTCTTACTAATATGTTCAAATTTTATGCGTATACTGGTTAAATTATTAAAGAAAGGTTGTTCTTGACAACCCAAAAGCTTGCCCCCCCCCCCACTTTTACAATCACTACTGACTTTAAATCAATTAGACAGGTGATATTCTGAAGAGGTCCATTCCGAATCCCATCACTTGGGTCATTTCCCGTGCTTCCTTAGACTCATTTAGCCCCAGAATTATCTAATCTCTCAGGTTGGCCTACCTTTTCCTTCTCTCCTTCCGCCCTCCTTGTTCTTTCCTTTGTTTTTTCTTGGCTCAGACCTCGCAGCGGCTAGGCCCAGGACCAGGGCCAACACGACAAGCAGGACCAGGAACCGATTCATCTTGGGCTGCAAAGAAAGAAGAAAATGTTCAGGTTATAGGTGTATTGTCTCCTATTCACTTTTTGGCGGATCGGTGGGGGTGGGGGGCTCTAAATATATTCACACTTTATTGAACATTCGCTTTCAATCTGATATAGGGACGTCCATAGGAAAACGGACAAAACAATAGCTCTGCGTTATAGATTTGTCATTTGAAAGAAGGAGGCATAATTCTATATTTATTTTTTTAAACTCTGGCAAGCAAAAGGACTATATAAGGGGATGCATACGAAAACAACAAGGGGGCTACCCCCCCCCTCTTTGCTACCCCCTATCCCGCACATTTATGCGCGGATAAAGGTATGCCAGGTTGAAATTTTTAAAGGGCGCGTGCCCCTTCTATCCCTTCTCCTAGATATTCAATTACAATTATATGGCTCATGATTCATCCGGCTAGTTTTATCTGATAACAATCCTTATCTCCATTTGTCCAGTTTTGTTTCACTGTAAACAACCTAGCTGCCACGCGTTGTCTGTAAGAAGAGCACCGCTCAAGACTGTTAATTAAAGTCTGAAACATTTGGCGACATAGATGTCGAAGCGAGTTGGTACAAAATGAAAGGGTGCATCCCAGTTCATTATACAGACAGAAGGGGGGGGGGGGGACGCATCCCTATTTGGCTTAAGCTTTTTTTTCAAAGAGATGAATGAAATTATGTGTTTCATCATTTTGTTGGCGAAGGGGTGGGGGCTACACTATAAGTCTTTTACATCCAATTGTGATTGGTGTGACCCTTTTCTCTACAGACAAACCAAAATTAAAGACGCCTAGTGGGGTCTTTGTGAAACTCCCGTCACTAAGTCCTAAAACCGGACTTCAGGATGCTTAAGGCGCATCTTAGCGCTTAGTGAAAAAGACCCTTCCCTTCTACCTAGCAACGAGCGTGAATCGTGTTGGTTTTAGATTACCCTCATTCATTAAAGATTAATGCGTGTGAATTAAATGGTCATGTGGAGTTTGGACTTAATCATTATATATTTTCGAAAGGATGGCATTTCATACAGGGTATACAATACGATCGCAATGATTTCGAATATGAACCTACTGCAATTTGAAATGAATTGAATTGAATTTATTCTGCAACATACATATTCAAATCAAATTACATTTCAGCGATACAACCTACACAAAATATAACACATTTTGGAACGTGTATGCAATATAATAATAAAAGAAATGTTGATCTCAAAACAAAATGTAACTGATAACAAACTACCGAGAATTAGTAATTACGATATCTGCAGATTTCTTGGAATAGCCATGTCAATCACCTTTTGAAATGACGTATTACGTCATCCAAAAAGGATTTCTATAGAATATACGAAAAGGTATTGACAAACAATTAGGGCAGTTATGAATACCGGATTAGGACAATTATAGGCATATCACGGTCTTCTAGGAAAAAACATAAACGGTGTTTATTATGTTTGTCTGTCGACAAGGCAAATATTTGTCGACAATCAGATGAACGCAAACCGTATATTCTCATCTGAATGAACTCTATTGTATATTATATTTCTTTAAATCTAGTTCTAAAAAATAAACACTAATAAACAAAGAAAAGTCAGTAGCCCCCCCCCCCCCCGATAGAAAAAAAAAGAAAAGAAAAAGGTTTAAAACATTAATTCTATCAGTCGGGACATTTCTGTCTGAAAAGTATGGACACAATGTCATTCATGTTAAAACCTTTGCTAACATGTTTACTTCGGCTACGCTTCCTACACCCCCCCCCCCCCAAAAAAAAAGTATGATATTCACGACAATAGTTCTTGTAATGACGAGCTCTCTTTCGTTATAACTTTTGCATTCAATATTGATGAATGTTTCTTTCCTGGGGACCTATAGTGACGAGTTATTCCATTAACCTGGTATTAATGATGAAATAAAATACTCGGAATCCAGTCTGCATATGTTACGTTTTGCTATGACGGGCAAGCCTCAGGCAAGTTTTCAGGTTGTAAAAGCCAACCTTTGTTTAAAAAGTGTGCATAAAATTTGAATAATTATGTTTGTTAAACCGGTCTATTAAAAAGACAGGTACCGGGAAATGCTCTGGTTTCCTCATCACGTATCATTAAAGTAAGGATCCTGGTAAGATTTAAAGCCGACCAAACAATGCTCTTGTGGTATGATCTACCACTATGTTCGGAGATGGCTGTACATTAAACAAAGGCCGGAAGCGGGAATGTAGGCATTGTGACGTCATTCGACCCCAACCAGCAAGGCTAGACACGATATGCGGTTAAACATGATAATAATTATAATCAAATATACGTGAGTTATATAGTTTCGAGGAATTAATTAAAGGAAAATGCAACCCAACAAACTTGTGCTGATTTCCTTACTGAAAATGTCCTAAATTGCAGTCTCCTTGTTATCATTTTCCTATTAAGTCACCATTTTGATTAAACTAGTTTTAAAAGGTTTAAATGCTCGTTGTAAGTGTTCTTATCTCAACTACAGAATCTAAATCGGGAAGAAGATGAATGATTAGATTTCCATAACTAGTATAATTGCCATTTATTCGAAGATCGGGTTCCAGAAGGATCATAGACAGAATAGTCTGCGCTGGGTATAATACCATTTCAAGGTTAAATTTCACGAAAAGGCGTATTGTTAACATGATGATTTTCCTTCAAAATGTAGCAGTTTTATTTTACGATATAGCCCAAATCTATCTTGTTTGAGCTACATCCTTATTATTAGATCTTTACTCCATACATACATGTTCACCCACGTTTTAAAGCCCCCTGTCCTCTCTTGCTCTCTTTCTCTCTCTCTCTCTTTCTATCTATAATATCTCCATTTTTTCCCCTCTCTCTCTCTCTCTCTCTCTCTCTCCCTTCTCATGCTTTCCCTGGGAACCACTGCACCTGCTAATTAATTCGCTTCTATCTCATTACGTAAACCTCTATTTGCATAATCACTAATCACGCGTATTCAAACTAACTGGTGTTAACTAATTAAACTTGTCTGAATATAACCTTTCTCAGTCCGACTGAAAAAAACCGTCATCTTGAAAATGATTGTGATGCTCGCTGTACACGGCGATTGACTTCACGAATTTATACATGTTGCATCAGACACAATAATTTCTCAAACTCACCTCAGTGTTCTGTCGACGGCGCTGAATTTCTCCCAAATGTCTCCTTAAATTGCGATTAAACAATCAAAATGTCGTCAATAGTTGTAGAAATTGATGCTCTGATCTGTCGACTCGTCGCCTCCGGGTGCCGTGAGCTAACTGACTGGTTTGATCGCGTTTCAAGCTAGCTTTGCCTAAATAAAGCTCATACCCTTCACCTCATTATCACGTCGGCGACAAGATGGATGCACCTTGCTAGGGATTGACCAATCAGGGAGCAGGATTGCTGAACTGACCTTGCGCAGGAAGTGTTCCTCTTCGGACGGAATGCAACATTATATAAAATAGGGTACATTTAAGTATCCACCTGTCTTTCGGAGGGACTAATTTATTCATCTGTCTTACATCTTGAATAATAAAATGATCCGATGGAAATAACCATATCCTAATAGGGAGATAAATAATGTTTATAACATCCACGCAATTAAGAAAAAGTGAGAGCGATTGGCAATTAATTCTCTCAATCTATTATCTGAAATTTCTCAGAAACTGCATATCTGTTGTTGACGATCTGGTGTAACACTCTTATGTTAAAGCCAATCTTAAACTCTGGTATTGGAGTCGTATGTCGAGAGAACACGGCTATAATTCATTCTGGATTGTTTATCCTGCAGTAGATTGATTGTTTGAAACAGTAAAATAAAAACAAACTGACAAAAACTTGCTGGAAATCATCTTTAATAAAAACCACAACTTTTATTTACACATAGTGACCTGTGTTAAGCATTATGGTGTCGGGCATACTTAGTTACATTGATTTCCTTATCTTTCTATGCTCATTACTCTGCCTCTATACATTTTCAACCAAAATCGTTAAACTTGAATATTCAGTTTAAGTTTTGTTGGGTTCTGTGAGAATTTATTTTCTATCATTACCGGAACTCGAGCTTATCTTTAAGACAAAGGACAGCTTATGCTGGTAGCTTTTATTCAGACCAATTTAATGAAAAGGAATTACCATCCTGTTGTGTATCAATAGACTAATTGAGAGGGATTATACTATAGGGTAAGGAGTTGTATGTAACATGGTAATCTGTATACCGGAGCTTGGCCATTGTAACGCTGGGGGAATTGATTTATATACAAAAGCAGGGCAATTTAATTGGGAATATGCCATCCCATCCGGCATTCTAAACAATATCTAAGAATAAAACAACCTTCATGCATATTTGACTCTTGCATAAGTGAGATCGCTTATCAAATTATGTGAGGGTATTGTTTTGTTTTTTGTTTGTTTTTAGCTCGAAGAATTTTAGCCGGTACCCGTTTGTTTTTGTTTTTCATCATTAAAAAATGCAAACAGCGATACGAATGTAATGAAATATGTTTGCACATGACACGTAGTCCGTACATCAACATTTAGGGGCAGAGTCGGCTTTGAAGAAAAAAGAAAAGAAAAGAAATACAAAGAACAAAAATTGTTGGGACAATTCATACATGTTTTAGACATAACCATTGAAAGATATTTGTCTTTGTTGACTATGAATTGTCCCTCCGTGCACAATAATTTTTTAACATGGAACTAGAAAACTAGAAAACAAAAATAAATATATAGAAATACTCGATAATCGTTATTTTACTTTGAAGCAGTTTAAATGAGATTCATTTATAATCATGACAATTCAACGAGTTTCTTTACTCCCTAAAATCCAAGAACTTACTTCAGCTGTACTGTAGAGTGAAATCGTGAAGATACTGATAAAATTCTCCGACATTTCTTTTAAATGTCGACATTTTTATTTTCTTTCCCAAGGAGACAAAAGAAGCAAGTGTCCTTATGTTCTTTTCAACTAGTTTTAGTTGTTTTCCTTAGTGTTGTTGTTCGAGAGATATAAAGTAGTGCCCCAAGAGTGAAGGTACTTGTACTGTTTCTTGTTTTTTTAGATAGTAGTCTACAAAGTACCGATCAACCAACAAACAAACAACAACATCATAATCAACAACAACACCAACAGCAAAACAGCAATAACAACATCATCAAAAATATGAACATCAACAACAAAATATGTTTATACTGCCTTTCGTCCTCGGATCAGCTCGCACTGGCACCAGACATGACGTCATTCAGGTCATGGATGCATTTTGCTGAAGTTGGTCTTGATCCTGTGTCAAGGCGGTCAATGTATTATCTTGATAGTAAGCTGTGAAGGTTGGTGGTCACTTTCCCGATGGTCTTGACCGTTCAATGGTAATGGTCACTATTCACGAGCAGTGGTCATTTATCTCTTTTTGATCGTTGGTTTTTGTTTTGTGTTAATGTCTCACTTTCAAGGTTTGAACATACGTTATTGCTGGCCAACCTGTACAGGACTTCGACCCTATTTTTAATTTGATTCTTGATTGTAGTAAATGCGTATGTAAAGAAGCCCACCCCCCCCCCCTCTCTCTCTCTCTCTGTTCCATTATTTTATTAAAATCTCTCTCTCTTCTTTTCCATTCTCTATCTTAAAATATCTCTCTTGTCTATCTCTTCTTTTTCAATCTCTATTTAAATTATATCTCCTGTATATCTCTCCTTTACTCTATCTGCTCCCCCTCTCTTTTTTCCATTCTCTGTTTGAAATCTCTCTCCACTACTCTACTCCCTCTTTCTATCCCATTATTTATTTGAAATCTCTCTCTCTCTCTAATTCTCTCTTCTTTTCCATTCTCTATTTAAATTATCTCTCCTGTTTATCTCTCTTACTCTACTCCCCCCTCTCTCTCTCTCCCCCATTATTTAATTGAAATATATCTCCCTCTCTCTTCTTTTCCATTCTCTATTTTTTATCTCTCCCGTCTATCTTTCTTAATCTGCTTCCTCCCCTCTCTCTCTCATTATTTCATCCTTTATTCAAAATCTCACTCCTTTCTCTCTCTCTCTCTCTCTCTCTCTCTCTCTCTCTCTCTCTCTCTCTCTCTCTCTCTCCTTTTCCATTCTCTATTCAAAATCTATCTTACTCTCTTCCTCCTCACCTTTCCATTCTCTATCTAAAATCTCACTCCCTCTCTCTGCCAAACTGTCTCATTACGTCTAACCAGCATTTGTTATCACATCAAAGTAAAATGAAATGGACCACAAAATATCACAGAAATAGCACATCTTGCTTTCGTTTAATTTGTTCAAAGAAATTCAACACGACTCGAATACAGACACAGCTTGCTTATATCGCAAGCACAACACCACATTTCACGAACTATTCAATATTATAATTCTAGACGTGTCACTCCACAGTAATATGTACACATTTTTGAGATGCATATCGTTACAAATAAATAAGTATTGCAAAATATGTATTGCATATTCAGCATTATATACAAGAAATTCAGATTTCAATTAAAAAAATTGTAATTAATTATCATATTTGATAAAGGAGTTTTAAAAAATGTTCATGGATTAGTCTTTCGCTTTGTCAATCACGAGTTAAAAATGGCAAGTTCGTTGCAAATGGAAAATAAGCCTAGGCGAGAAAGAGATACAAAGTTTTACAAGTGATAGAACGTTTCATACTGATGGAATGGCTCTTACGTCATTCAACCCCCCCCCCCCCCCCCCCCCCCCCCCCCCCCCCCGAATCGATCATTTTAAGTGTATTGACCCTTGTTATATTTGAAAGGCTTTTCCACAGATTGTAATGTCCTACTGATTGTGACATAGAACATTATGAGAAGCACCAAGGTGACATGTGATTTCAAAAAACATAATAATAACAGTTCCAAGTTTTTCATTGAAATAAAGATAAATGTATGTCAATATTATCAGACCCTGTCTCCCCAATATCATATCGGAAAACTTTTATGATGGATCAGAAATAATTACATTCGCAGTATTTTATAAATCACAGGACCAAAATTAATTGATTGTTATATTATCATTAATACAAAAAGGAAAGAATAATGGTTGGGTCAAAGTATTTTTTTTTTTCGAGTGACGAAATGAATATTTTGGTCTTGAAATAGCTAGAAGGTTTAGCTACCATATTTTCTTTCTGTTTTAAATTCGTCCATGATGCATATCGGCCATCATGTAACCCTGTAAAATATCAGCTCGGTCCATGCAATATTGGACACTTTAAAAAACTGGCATCTCGCATAGTAATGGAAGATTGTGTGATTTACACATTATTACAATACATGCAATGAATAATGTAGTACAAGAGGCTTATATCAACATTCAATGGTGAAAAGTGATTATTTGGAACGTTCAAGACCGAGATTACCATCTACTATTTCAAAAACTTATTACTGCAAGTACTTTTACAATCACAGCAAGAAAATCAACGTAAACTATTTGACTTCACAATAAAAAAAAATTACAGTCTATCCAGAAAGTATGGAAAAACAGGTTTGCAATTCATGTCAATTTGCAAATATATACTGTGTTCATAATAGTCTTCATGAGACAAAATACATTTAGATTCCATTTTACTGTTAATTCACATTGTCCAATTTTTGTTTTAATAGCCTACTGAATAATAAGCATTCATTATTTTTAGTTTCTTTAGAATGAATAAGTTTCTGGCATCCTTATTGTAACCTTGCATTTAATTACAACTACCTTTATATAAAATATCCACTTAGATTCAGGAATCAATTCGTCACAAAATTATCACTTCCAAAATACACGCAGGTCTACTTCAATTTCAAGTTTGATAATTCAGTAAAGAGTATAGTACCACAAACAACTGTTCCTCGGCCAGAAAAAAATATTTATAAATATATTTGCAACATTGCTTATTTGAAAATTCACTTCAATCCTCTGTAATTTGATCAAATTTCAGTTAATGGAAATGTTTGCGAGTTCGCAATAATCTAAAACTTCAATTCATTTTTAAGATCAAGTGATTCCAAAATAATAATTACAGTCCATGTGAAATAAAATATACAAAATATTAGATCAAGAGGCTTTCTGCCTCTTAAATAATCAACATGTATGCATCAGCAAATTACATCCTACCATTACACAACACATATTAATGATGTTTACAATTATATAATTTCACAATGAAATAAGACATTTCACATTGACGTATTGCTTATGATTTTTGGACATACCACTGTCCAATATATGAGGCGAATGGAAGTTTTTTATATATTTTTTTTTTATTAAAGGCTACAGACGAAGACAGAGACAGACATTGGGTAGTCGGCAAACACACACAAACCCTTGTCGGATGCGATGTGTAGCAAAGTGGCTGATCTATAAGACTACTGCCTACTGCACTTATTGGGCTATGTACTATGAACATGACTGACAAAGAAAGCGGACAAAATATACAGTTCCTCAGGTAGACAAAGGAGCATCCCTTCACTGCTATTATGTAAAAATGTGTAGAACAGGTGTCACATGCATATTCACCTTTTTACATAATAGCAGTGAAGGGATGTTCCTTTGTCTACCTGAGGAACTGTATATTTTGTCCATCATGTTCATAGTGTAGCTGCTCCTATTAATTTGTAGAATCTCTTTGATTTAACACAACCTTCATTTCATTATTTTCTTGTTTGGTTTTTATTTGATATTTTCTTTTTCCTTTTATTTACATGAAAATACAAAGTAAAGAGTAAACGAGACTGATGGAGCTAGGCTTGATCGGCCCAATACTTTGAGGATTTGTGTTTAACTTAAGTGTCAAATAATGTCTGCGCCTGTAGATTAGGCATTTGACATCCACTGGCTGGGCGATTTCCTGGTTCGTTAACTGACAAGACAATACATTGAGCATTTGCATATGAGATTAAATGTGGAGGATTGTCACAAAACTTGTTTTCAGGTCAAACATTTTCTTTTCCAAAGCTGCAAGCAGAGACATAAGGTCATTTACAGGTTAGTTTGATTAGAAAGGTGATATAATCATTGTTTGTTTTGTTCTGTGTTTTCATAGATGTAGAACAGGTTTCCTGCCATTATAGGTCACTTCAATTGATCATGTAGTAGGACAGTGCTTTGATTAATGTGTTACTTAATTGTTACATGGGATTTAGACTTGTAGGCAAAGCCTTTGTCAACCCCAAATGCACAGCGGTATAGCACTGACCGGGTCTGAGCTACATGTAGCCAGTATGTAGACTATACATTCTACATAGGATACACAGTCATTATCAATTGGTAGTCTAAACGCACAGACTCTAATTTGAAACTTTAACACAACCAAGTCAGGAGGAGCTTAAATGCAGAGCCTATGGTGTGCGGTAGACCGTGCAGTCAGCCTAGTCTTTACAGTGCAGACAGTTTATAACACAAAACTACTGACAATGGTTTGGCCTGCAAACTGTATAATTATGTACTATATTTAGCCTATGATTGCAGACCCCTTTACTATAGTGAACTACCTAAAACGCCTGCAAGTGAGCTGTTACTGTGCATGTGAGCAAGGGCTTTGCAAGGGGCAAGTGACCTCTCCCTCCCCCACCCCCAAAATAATTTTACAATTAAAAAAAAAAATTGTCAGCAAAAATTAACTCTCAGTCAAAACTCAAAACCTGATTTCTTTTGTGATTGAGTGATTCTCTGGCAAAAAAAAGAAAAAAAGGTCACCAATTTCACACATTTTGCACACAGAAACTTTGAAAGAGGTGAATCCCCCCACCCCAAGCAACACCCCTGCTCTTCGTTTGAAAATAACCTATACGTGTAGGTATATCTAATTGTCTATGAAAGGGAAAAGTCTAGCTATATATTGTGTACATTATACAAACAGGACTTTGTTCACATTTCTAAAAGTCTTTGGTCAATTAATGAAAACATTCACATTGAAAAAAGTATACCTAGATGATTAGCATACAATATGGAAGGGATAATATGGACGTATACAAGGCAAGGTGTTTTTTCGGGAGGTACTACTTTTCAGCCTGACTTGAAAGGGCAAGAAATAATCAAAATTAGAAATTGCACAAAGAAAAATACAGCTATCCTTATCTAGATATACAGGAGAAACATATAAATAATACATTTTGATTTATTTAGGATATAAGATTTAAGTATTACAAATATGTATTCCTGAGCTTTGCAAGGATTGGGTGTTTAGTTTTTGTTTAATAATAGTGTGGTGTAGATTAAAAACTACGAAGAATGCATAGAGTGAAGTGCATAAAGTTGATTCAATACCATGATATGTGCTAACACCTACAGTGTAAAACTTCAGTGTTAACCAGGCGCCACTGAGTAAATAGAATGATTTGGGGTAAATAAAAGATTTGGCGTTATTACAAGAAATTTTAAACTGGCACCACAGGTTTGGTGTTAATTTTGCTTAACACCACACATTTTAACATTAACACCACGCTGCTTAACACCACTGGGGAGCGTTACAATATTAAACACTGACTGTACACATACATATTGTACAGAACATTACGGTAGGTGTAAGACTCAAGTGTAAGCATTAAATAAAACTGGATGTAGTTGGCATGTTCTTCAATGTTCATTTCCCTCAGTGTTTACTATGGACTACACCCTAGGTGTAACATGGACTAAACTTGTGGTGTAAAATAGACTACACTTGTGGTGTTACATGGACTACACTCTCGATGTAACATGGACTACACTCTTGGTGTAACATGGACTACACTTGTGGTGTTACATGGACTACACTCATGGTGTAATGTGGACTACGCTCATGGTGTTAAATGGTCTACACTCTCAGTGTAACATGGACAACACTTGTAGTGTTACATGGACTACATTCTTGGTGTAACATGGACGACACTCATGATGTTACATGGACTACACTCTCAGTGTAACATGGACAACACTTGTGGTGTTACATGGACTACACTTGTGGTGTAACATGGACACTCTCAGTGTTACATGGACTACACTCATGGTGTTAAATGGACTACACTCTCGGTGTAACATGGACTACACTCTCGGTGTAACATGGACTACACCCACGGTGCTTGCAAACTGCTCAGCTTTCTGGTGTACTAATGCAAAACACTTCTGACAAATATACACAAACACTGAACACATACACTGCTGGTTGACACATACAGACTTCCACATGCATACATACATACATACATACATACGTGAAATTACATATTTACATTTCTATCATTATAATATACTTCGTTTCCATACAACCTTCTTCTTCTATCTCTTTTGGCCCTTTTTGGCAATAAATAGAGTTAAAAAATAAGAGCATCTGAATAAAAAAATTAGCCTTTCTCTCTCTCTCTCTGTAGTAACAACACTCAAAAAAATACTTTCAATTGCAACATATCTCATCAAGAAAATAATGCATCTATAATAAAATTATGCATTTATAATAAACCTCACTTTGTCCACATCATATAACAGCAACCAACATTCAATAACAAAGAACAGTTTTGTTTGCAATGGGCTACTAAGAAAAGAGGAAATTCCTGGTTTTGTGGTCTGTTAAAATTAAAAAGGGACATATTGTCACACTTACGGTACATTGGAGTTCAATTCTCCCCATCCCCAAAACCACTTTTAGTAATTGTATGTCTTTTCTTTTTTCTCCTTGTTTTTCTTATATTATCATTTGATGTCTAGCCTCCTTCCTGAAGAATAGATTTTATTTTAATGTAATTCATACAGAAAAATGGTTTATTGAATATAACTTTTGAATGTGTTCATAACACGACAGCTATGGATACAGCTAGCATATTATATCCAACTTCAATTGTCTATACAGCAAATGAAGATAAGCCAATTTTATTGCATTTTTTTTAAACACCATTTTTATACTTTGCATTTTTTATTGAAGGTTAAATTGTGCCCTCAATTTGCTCGAGCACAACAGAAAATGCATGTATACATGCATTAGAAAACTAATGTGTTTTACCAGCTTTGTAGTGTACAGTTGAAAGTTCATAATGAATGAACAGTATTTAAAGTAGCCATTCGCTCAATCAAACATTCTTAGCAAATTTCTCCTCTTTACTTTGTGGCACAGCAAACAATCATACATCATTCATCCAATGACGCACCATTGGTACACATTCAATTTTGAAAAGTCTGTATCGAGGGGTCAGTGACTCAAAGACGTAACTACATTTTAAGAAAAAGTGATTTATGTGTCACTGAACACTTGGGCCTTAAGGAGTTAAGTCTATGTTTCACTAGCCATTGACTTCAATGGGGTGTTAGGTGCGGTTAAGTCTTTGTGTTTCCAGTAGCGCCTACATTTTTCTGAACATTTTGATATCAAATACTCATTTCGGCAAAATATGGAGTTACGTCTTTGTGCCACTGAACCATCGACATACAATTTTGACAAGTCTTTATGATAAGTTACATAAAAGACGGGTATTTGCATCGATCTCCACGATATGCACACATTAATTGTACGCTCAGAGCCAGAAGGGATTATTTCAAATCATTTACAACAATGTAAAATGCCCTTCTGGCTCTCAACAGGGTAAGCGTTACCTGTATATCGTTCTGTTTACCTTAAGCCAACGCACAGCCTGATGTGTGTGCAGCAAACTCGTGTATGCACACTTGAACATATTGGGATCTTGTTATATACACAAACACATCCTCGTATAATTATGAATCCCATTGGGGCAATGATGATCAAGTGTGTGTGTGTTCATCACAAGAATGGCCATTGTGACCTCACAAAGACATCTTTCAGCATAATTCTTGAAAGACATCTTTCAGCGCGATTCCTCGACCGGGTTACCTTCTTGTTCATTACAAAAGAGATGGCTAATAAGGTGAAGATGGAACTGCCGATGGGAGAGAGGATAGAGACTCATGTCAGCAAAATCACAAATCTAGACATCTGAAGTGATGATGAAGCCAACCATTGAAATCCATTCTTACACTGCACATGAATGAGGCTTTTGCAGACGCAAATCAGCTTCACACTACTCACGTCTGCGACTCACCAGTTGCCAACCTCAAGATGTGGCATATGGGAGCTAGTCAAAAAACCAGGCTGTGTTTATGTAAAGATTGGAGATCTGACCTCTACATGCAGACCAATTCACATCTCGCTCTTCCGTAAACAGACATACGAATCTAAAGGCTGGACGATTTTGAGGAAGAACTCACTTGATTCCGGCGCTGACATTCAAGTACAACACAATATTCTTTTGACCAAGGTTGAGGGAACAAACAACAGTTCAGGAAGTCTTATAATATCTTGGAAGAGGACACATGCAACACTAGCATGATTCCATGATGTCACTTCCTGTTAACCTCTGCCCTTCGACCTCTGCAGAGTGAGCTAATAAGCTGAGGTCATCCGACTCCGAGCTGTCGTTGGATCCCTCGCTACCGATACTGTCCTGTCTCGCCCCACGCTTGTTGGTCACTGCTGCGATGGGGTCGCTGCTGACCACACCCTTGTTGCAAGAGAGGGCAGGGCTTGGCTTGTGCTGGGAAGAGGGGTCAGAGGGTGACCTGTGGGCGGGGCTAGGGGTCGGCCGTCTGACCCCTGACCCCAGGCAGGAGTTTGCGCACGGTCTGAGGAGCTGTGGGTGCACCATGATCTCTCCTCGCACCCCCTTGAAGATGGTCCCACAACAAATCTTCTCCCTGTTAAAGAAAAATATATATACATTAATGACCATCTTTTAATCAAAAACTGAAAGAAGTGATGAAGTCATGAATGATGATGATAATAATGATGATAATAAAATTAATGATGATGGTAATGGTAATTGTGTATTGGTGGTCATATTGATGGTAAAAATGATGGTCATTAGATAAAACTTCAATGTAACACATTAATCAAAGTGACCTACAGTATATTGACCTGAAACCTGTTCTACATCCATAAAATCAATATTAACATCATAATATATCTACAATCATAAATTGTTGTCGATTAATAATTCCTTTCTAACAAGTTTTCAACACAACTTAGCCCTACAATTCACTCTAACGAATTGGAACTGAGGAGAATTCAAAGAAACGGCACAAGTCAGAACTAATATCCTTCATTACACTTAAAGCTACATCATGCTTCTTCTTCAGATATCATTAAAAATTATTCCACGCTGTAGATATGATATGACTTACTGAAGCACTCAACTATGGACTTATATTGCTTCACTAAGTGCTCTGAAGAAGAACAACATATAAACAAAAGCACTTTGTTAAAGAAAAAGATTTATTTTAAAATTGCCTACATTTTCCAGTAAGAAGTGTCAATGATGGAGGCCAGTAGAGGGGGTAGTTCATCCAAGTCATCTGATGATATTAAGCCTGTTCTAGATCTTGGCTGGGAGGCTACTGAGATGTCTGAGGCATCACTGGGGGTGGGGCTAGGTGGCGATGCATCTTCCGCTGAGAGGTACGCAAAGGAGAGGAAGGGAAAAGACATGATTATTGTCTGCATTTGATTAGTGCTATTAACATGCAGGGCCCTCGTGGAGAACAGTATTAATACTGATGAGGCTACCCTGGGTAAACAAGACATATTATTATCATTATTGTTTATTACTACTAAAAGGATAGCTGAGTTCTTCTTCCAGACCGCAAATGCCTTCAAAGTGCACGGTTATTGCTCTTATTCTTATTTATGACATTTCTATTGCTCTTTTAGGACCTAAAATTGCTATGAAGGTAATTTTAGACCCCAAAATGTGTGCAATTTAGCAAATACGATCATACCAATTCAGCTCCACTTTTAAAATAATAATGGTAACTGTTAATTAATTTATTCATTAATAATAACAATACACAGGCCGGCTGGTTGTGCGTATTATAACCAACATGAAAAAGCCAATATCGGCATTGGCTGGAATAAAACGTATGAGGGGCTATCTCGTTTTTTCAACGGCTGGTTTAAATTATGGAATATTTGTGGGGCACCAAAAAATATTAGAAATTGTTATATTTATGGATATTTTAGCCGTCTCTGAACCGATTTTGATCAAACAAAGATGATTTTGTCATTTAAATTGTATGTTCTTTCAAATTAGACTCTCAGTTTTTCGTTAGCTCACAAAAAAAAAAATTGCGAAGCACCCTCTGCAACAAAACTCAACTATCCCTTTAAACATCCTATCCAAGGGACCGTACAACTCTAAATTCAATGAATCTCTTACTGTCAGGGTGACTCCTTGCTCTCAGCCCGTCCAGGAGCTGCATCCTCCTCTTCCGCTCGGCGTGCTTCCTCTTGTGTCTCCGGCTCCACCCGTGCTCCGTCACCAGGGAGCCGGGGTTGTTGTTGTTGCAGTTGTTGGAGTAGAGGTTGGTGGGCGCGGTCTTCTGGGTTTTGAGCTTCTGCCTCAGCTGGGACTTCCCCCCTGGCCCCGCCCTGGCATCTACTACCTGGTGGTCGATTGAAGGGAAGGTGTGGTAGAGTGAGTTAGTTCAATTTGGTTCAATCTTATTCTTTTTCTCAATCATACAAAAAAACAATGACAGTTGTGAAGTCCGACAGTTATAAGAGCTATAGAAGAACAATGATATACATGTATATACAGTGCAAGATTGGATGCAATTAAGGGAAAATTGAACTGCTGAAAACCTGCAAGGCCGCGTAGTCCTCAACGTATACAAAATACAAACAAGTTTATCAACCCCACTGGATATACATGCAAGCTTGATATAATTATGAACTTAAAGGTAAAGACCAGTTATGGTCATGCGATTGCATTGTGAAAGAAACGTTGTGGAATCGATCAGAAAAGGTTGATCATCTAGCATCTAGCATCTGCAAGGTTCTGGAATCATCAAAATGATAAGAAATTTGGCCCATTCTTCGTAAAGTTACAAGCACTATACACAGAAAGATGTATATGGGACTACCCTATATCTCTCACAGACCATGAGAGAAACAAATTTACCAAATATATGAATTAGTAGGTGGTTTCCCGGCAAATTTTTTATCATCATGTATTAGTCAAAACATATTCTTTCACATGATTGGTAATGAGAGCTTCCATTTCATTTTTTGAAATTGGGGCGTTTCCAATACTGGTCTTTACCTTTAATACCTTTAAAGGTGCTAAGAAAAAAAAGTTTATCACAAAACACAATTAAAATCCCAAAGGTGAAAAGATAGTTGGAAATAAATGAATTCATTTCCTGATTTTCAGGTGGTAACCATGGCAATGGCTGAAACTTACATGGTTCCAATTCCTCTCGGTTCCCTTGGGTAGTTTCTTCCACCTCTTGATGAGTAGCACACAGGCGTTGCAGATCTCTCCTTGTCTCTGCTGGCCCTCCACCAGGTTGAAGCAGTTCTTGAACTCCATCTCATACTTCTTGCTGTCTGGAAATGTAGATGCATAGTAGAAAAATAAGGTGAACAATAATTTGTGAGCGTTATCATTGTATTATTTGTGATGTCGAAGAACATCAGATAAACAATGTTCCCTGAAAAGCATGGCTCTTCAAATGCCTTAATATTCTTGATATATTCTTGATGTAGTCCAATATACATATTTCTGTGTACAGTGCTTGTAACTTTACCAAGACTGGGCCAAATTTCTTATCATTTTTATGATTCCAGAACCTTGCAGTACACATCAATACTTATATGCCAGATGATCAATCATCAACCTTCTCTGATCGATTCCACAAAGTTTCTTTCACAATGCAATCGCATGACCAGAACTCAACCTTATCTTCAAGTGTTATTCTTGAGTTGAAGAGAAGAGAGCTTACACAGGTGTTTTAACATGTGAGGAAAGTTTTTATTAAAAGGCATGGTTGCGCCCTCTAACTGAATATACATGAAAGTCTGTCAGTTGATCCTATTTATGTGATTTACTGTAGTCAACTGACAGACTATAATGTATATAAACAGGATACTGTTACATAATCCAGTCTTGTATAGCGCATAATACATCATGAGTCTTGATCATGATATCTGGACATGTCTTGGTCTAGTGGATATGTCACCAGAATGTAGATCACATATGGTCCGCGGTTCATTCCCCGCCATGGCACTAATGTCCTTTGACAATACATTAATCTACATTTGCAACACTTGACCTAGGTGAGGTAAATGGGTACCTTTTGCTAGGTAGGACAACTCATAATGTTTGCCCTACCTAGCAACAACTACATGTTATGTTTGCGTTTTGCATCTTGACTACTGAGATTCATTTATTCGTAACAGGTGAATGAAATAATTTGTAATAGGGCAATTACCGGTAACAAAGATTTGTGCATTCAATTTTATTATATTACGAAAATAGTCATACCGGTAGTCTATTATTTCATGATGAAAAGAAAAAAAAATGTTGCAACAGGAAACATGTAATAATGATGATACCTCTGATCATTCTACCATTATTGATATTCATGACTCTAAAGGAAATTAGCACATGACACAGCTGGTAAATGAATGACTCATGACATGGGTTCAAACAGTAGTAGGGCATGTGTGGGATATGATTCATGTTAAATCCTTTATACCGCGGTAAACCTGTGTTAAAGGTCATGTGTTACATTTTGGTCATGACTAGAAATGAGATTCTCTCAGAATAACACAGGGGACTTTATGATAATGATAATAAAAACGGTGCTTATAAAGCGCTAACCACCAAAGTCTGTAAGCGCTAACAAACAAAATACAATGATAAACAATTACTTGTTAAACAAAACCCCCCCAAAAAAATTACAATACATGTACATATGAAATATACATCAATGTGAACAGAGTAAGCTAATCATCAAAAGCAATTTTGAAAAAATGTGTCTTAGAATCTGTGAATGAAAGATCTACCAGACGGAATTGATATATGTAGAAACTGTATAGTAGCCCATATGATAATTGAAAATTTAAAAGCATACAAAGATGAGGATTCGGGGTAAAATGGAGGTGTCGTGATAGAGTGGTTCATTCACTCTCAATCTCAATCTCAATCCTCGTCACTAGGTCCCCAGGGAAACAATATCCATAAGTTTGAATATGCTAGTCAGTACACCAGTCTATTGGGCAACTATAACGTTTCACCTAAACATCTTGATTGAAAGTTAGTTGACATTTGATTAAAATGGGTGTATTAGAGTTAACATGCTTTTATACGGTCAAACCGGCTTTAGTGATCACCCGTCTACAAAGACCAAGTTTTTGTTTCCCTTGAAAATGGTTTCTCATTGAAACATGTACTAAAGGAACCTGTCTACTACAAAGACCACCTGTTTACAAAGACCACTTTTTGTGTTTCCCCTTTGGATGGTCTTTAAAGACAGGTTTCACTGTACTTATGAGTCGGACAAGTTAAAGTACATGTATGTATGTAGTATGTGTACTGTGTGATGTGTCCGAAGGAGGGACTGTTCACACTTACCTGTGAATCTGGAGCTGGATGACTTGGCCTTGCAGATACAGCACCCAGCTACACTGCGGTAGATCTTGGGACGGTGGAATGTGAACATGGCTGCTTGCTTTTGCAAAGGTCTGCAAACTATCATGAGAGAGTACATGAGTTAATTTGTAGAAGGTTGTGAGTCATAAATGTGTAACAGGAGAATAAGATTGAACATGAATACAGCTGAAACATTACTGTAATGAGGGGCACATACATGTATGACCGGTGACCGGTGTGTAAGGCTCAGTCAGTAGAGCGTCCACCTCACAACCACTCACGTTAAAAGACGGGAGTTGCTGCTACCTTGTTTGGTGTTCAACAATAAGAGATAGAGCAACGTCGATCTGGCGCTGCTCAGTGGCTGCCGGGCTCACGATCAATTGGGCAAAAAGAATTTCCATTTTCGGTTTAACTTAATAAAATTTGGAGTGGACTTTAACAAATTATTATTATTATGTACATTTACACAATTTTTTGGGCTGTATTGCCCTTTAGGGTGACAAAACATGGGTCGGTCGGTCAGAAATCTTTATACAAATTTTTAAAAATCTTCTTTTTTCTCCCTCTTTGGGCTGATATTTGTCAGTTTTTGTATTCATTAAACATTTTTTTCTCTAAAAAACAGTAAAATTTTTTCTTCTAAAAGCCGACCATGGATTTCAAGATTTTGGGGTCGGTCGCAAAGGGCAATATAACACTTTTTTGTGTACGCCTTATTATAAATCAAGGCCTCGGTCTATGCTTGTAAGCAATAGTAAGGTGAATGAAATAATTTGTATTGAGGCACATCACAAAGAAGTGTGCATTAAATTTGGTTGCGTTAAGACAATTTCATTTCTCTGATACTCGATACTCATTCCAACAAGAAGAGAGGCTATGCATACATGTACAGTACTTTGATAAGAAGTGATGCGAGATGAGTCATGTGTGTTGTTGGTTTAGATTAAATGGGAACATGGCTCTCCAAGATTACCACCATGATCGAGTTAGGTTGTAAATGTAAAGAGCTAAAGGAAAAGGTGATATGTTTTTTTATTGAAAAATATGAGTCAGCTCACTTTGGCAATAAATATTCAATTTTATTGTACATTAAATTGATAATCATTTTAATTACTACCAAAAATACATTCTTTGATATTGTAAAGTCAAGTTCATTTTAATCTATTATTCAAGGATAGTTTAATCTCACCATCGATCATGTTTGTAATGGTGGTCTAGGTTTTGATACTGTGAGCTTAACTGTATTTTTTGCCCGGCTATAGAATCACAAAACATGTACCAGGTATGCAAATCGCCAATCAACCTTACAACATTTCTACTGCTCATTGTAAATATGTACAATACATTTTTATGTATGGCGCTATAATTGTTAATTGTGATTAGGCTACATGTACACCTGCATGTAAGTAGTCACTGATCCGATTTGCAGCTACACACATAAGATATGTTGCATCTTAATTAAAGTGCATGTGCACCTATGCTAGGAGCTTATGGATTTAATCAAATGAAGATTATGATTATCTACTTGTATGATGTACCTCATGAATATGCATGAGGTGATTCACATTATAGATTAATTAATCACCTGTGTAAAGATCAGTGAATCAAGAGATTGCCCTTGCATGATGAGTCACAGAGTGTGAACGTTCCCATGCTCTACGTGTGTGTGTGTGAGTGCATCGGGTTGGTCTGAGGATGGGGATCGACTCTGTATCATCAAGCATGAGTCATGTGTTCAGATTGCGTGTGAACAATCGCAGTTAATTAATTACTCCTTACACACTAACACGTGTATGTACCTGTATCTATGTTATCATGTGCAATGTGCATAAATTAATGTAATGTACCAGCAGGCCTACATATATCATGAATACCCTTCTCTCATATACCCTGCTTTAATACATCACAGTTGATCTTGTATCGTGCGTGGGGGCGGAAGGTTGAGAGGGGGGGGGGGGGGGGTCAAGGCTGATAAGTGGGTACCTGTAAAAACTATAAATTGTTTTGAAAATGTTTAGCACTGTCACTAACCCTAAAGCAAGTCTCCACACTACTTTTCACCCCTTCTGGACAGGAATTATTTTTAGGGCTACATTGATCACATATTGTTTTTCAGATGGCAATCAATAATAATTGTTAATAATAATAATCCGGTTTTTTATATAGCGCTCAATACACCGATCCAACGATGTACCTAAGCGCTTTACAGATATATTATTACCCCGGTCATCGGATTCAGGCTTACCCACACACAATGTGTGCACATTTTCCACTCCCTGGGGAGCATTCCAAATTGTTAGGGCTCTGAATCACAAGTTATTAAGCTATACCACAAAATGTGGAATTGGCGGATCAAGGGGGGAAGGGGGCGCAAGAAGCACGAAGCCCCTCCCTGGTGATGGTACTAGTTGGATGTATTGTAGTTCTACACAATTACTAGATGCTTTTTAGTATTTCAAAAAAATTTCTGAATTAAAGAAGTAAACACAGAAAAGAGCCTTAAAAATAGATAGCCCAATCAAATATTATCAGTCTAATCTGAATATTGCCATATATCTATTTCATACGATTGAACTTTGTAAGCAAACCTACTAATAGTAGTACTGTACATTTTTGAGCCAAATCTGGCCATTAAGTAACTGCGTAATTTTTGTATTCCTTCTTTCTTCAATGCAGTGCAGACATCACACATCTTATGTATATCATGAAGCCAAACACACAAATTATTTTATTGTATATTGAAGCGACAGCATGAAATGGTTTCCTTTTTCGTTACACCCTCGATACGAGGACCAAATCTATGGATCAATCGGGGCTATTTTCATCTCCCTGACTTACTCGAATCCTACTCTAGAATACATAAATAGTCCATGCATAATTGCTTTCTGATGTTGATGATCGTGATGGAATAACTTTGTGATTGGAAAGCTAGAGAACGCTCTCTATGCCGTTTGTTCTCTCCATTCTCTCTCTCTCTCCTCTTCTCTTCTCTCCGTACATTACCGTTTCTCTTTCATTCTGCTGTCAAAATAGGATTTTCTACAGAAAAAGCCTGTAACTGTTGATAAAATCTTCTCAGATGATATTTGTCGTTCCAGAGCCCCATATACTGTATGTATTTGAGATTTTTAGAACTCATGAAAAGCTTCTCAAACTGCCCCCCCCCCCCCCATGGGATCATATAATCAATTAAATCATCATGCTGCAATATATAAAGTTGAAAAATAAATAAATAAATAAACAAAAACAATAACAACAATCTTTACAATACCCAGATCAGAAACTGTGGTGACTTACTCCTGAATCGATTAAAAATGATTTACTACCGTCTACCGGTACTCAATTATAGTTTCTAGCACCCAGTAACCTATCTATAGCCTGTATCTTGTGTCTACACTTTTCTGCTGGTAACGATGGTACATTTTCAACCTACATGTGCATGATAAGAGATAAATACAAGTACATGTAGCTGATAAGATTACTAGTGTTACATTTGATATTGTTAGTCACAATGCTGTATCACACAGCTGGTAGGGTAAGGGGGGGGGGGGTCATAATGCTAATCAGAGGGGTATACAAGGTGAGAGAGAGAGAGAGAGAGAAAGAGAGACAAAGAGAGAGAGAGAGAAAAATAGACAAAGAGAGACAAAGAGAAAGAGAAATTCAGAGACATTTGATCAAAAGAGCAATTTGGCATGGGAAGCAACAAAGAAATCTCCTCTGCATGAGATCTGCACAAAGGGCTTGGCCAATGTATTGTGTACGCTCTGTAGCGAAATAACAATGAAAGTGAAATATGACTGAAAAAGACGAGACTTAAAAAATGTATCGATACTTGAAGAATATGAATACAATTACTGAGGCAGTCATAATAGTAATCAAATAATTATTTAAGGCTGAAGGGATTCTATTTTCAGGTGGGGGGGGGGGCACTAGAGACAGGTTAGCTGTCACCTGACATACAATGTTTTTGCATTGTGCAGGATGCAAAATGATAATAATGATAATAATAATAATATATGGATGTGCATCGTGCCTTTTCCAGGGGATACTCAGCTAGCATAACTGTCTAAGGACAAATAAAAAATCGTATTTGGTATTTTTTTCAGATGTTTTTTTAAGAAGTCGAGTGAAGTACTATTTCTCAAAAATGAAGGGAGTTTGATCCATTGACATGGCACAACAGATTGAAAAAAATTTGAAACCAGCCAGTTTTCAGGATTTCAAAATGAGAAATGCCTAGTTTCAACGTACTACATAAAGAACAAAATGACAGTCAGTGTCTGCAAACAATGTCCATCAATGGAGTAGACAATATTCTAAAAACATGAAGTAAATTAGACCGAAAGCTTCAGTCTCTATAATCGTCGGTTGTTCCACTGAGACTACGTCTGGCTCCACTAAACCTCCGGTTATAGAGACTGAACGACTGCCTATGCCAGCCTGTGTTGAACTTATACCGCTAGATTTTAGCCGCTAGGCCCCTCCCACAAACTTGCCACGGCCGTATTGTTATGCCCCCAAAATCCCCCAAAATGTCATTTTACCTCGTTCATTTCCAATTTTAAATTAGGCCTAGGCTATAATACATCGGTTCCACTTACTAACTTGATTGATATAATCCGTTTAATGGTCCCTTTTAAGGAAATTATCGGTCAAAATCGACATCCATGTTGAAAATCTTGCAAGCCGTGTTAAACTCTCGCTGCCGTCAATCTCATCCCTTGTAGTCTACGCCGAAGGCAAAATGATTATGAAGGAAAAACTGTGATAACGCCATTACGAACGTGTAGATGGCGCACAGTTTTTCCTTCATAATCATTTTGCCTTCGGCGTAGACTAGAAGGGATGAGATTGACGGCAGCGAGAGTTTAACACGGCTTGCAAGATTTTCAACATGGATGTCGATTTTGACCGATAATTTCCTTAAAAGGGACCATTAAACGGATTATATCAATCAAGTTAGTAAGTGGAACCGATGTATTATACCCTAGGCCTAATTTAAAATTGGAAATGAACGAGGTAAAATGACATTTTGGGGGATTTTGGGGGCATAACAATACGGCCGTGGCAAGTTTGTGGGAGGGGCCTAGCGGCTAAAATCTAGCGGAATAAGTTCAACACAGGCTGGCATAGGCAGTCGTTCTGTCTCTATAACCGGAGGTCTAGTGGAGCCAGACGTAGTCTCAGTGGAACAACCGACGATTATAGAGACTGAAGCTTTCGGTCTAGAAGTAAATATGCTTTGATTTGTAGAGACAAGTAGTTTGCACGTTGACTATACAGACCTAAATGTACATACATGACACTAGCCAGTAGCCCCTATAACAAGTGTTGAACATGACATCATCACAAATGATGGATGCAGTTGGTTTTGATACTAAAGGTCAGAGGTCAGTGACATGTCACGTAAATTGAATGTTATTTGTAAACAGAGGATGAATTGAGAGATTATTCAATAGCTCTCAACCATCTTGTTTACATCAAGACGATTATGAAATGGCAACGATAATTTATATATTTTCATTACAAATAAAATATGCCTCATAATAATAATAAATGTAGAGGTCTACTAGTACTAGTATGACAATGAGTGAATTAAATGAACGCTGAATATCATGTGTCACACTCACGCTAAGAAGAGTAAGACAAGAGTCAACACATTTGTCTTTTAGTTTTTATCAACTTGGCAAATATTTGCTGTCACACAATAGCATTATGAAATTTTAGTATGAAATACTCACATTTTGACAATGACAATATATTCTTCCTCTATAATTTGTCCTAAAATGGTTAAGTCCTGGGAGTGATGTACTAAATCCAACCTAGCTTCAGAGCTGCCAAATTACAACTGTGAGTCTGTGTGTGGTTGAAAATAACCTCTCAAAACTGTCTTTGTCCACCAAGTTCTGGGAGCTAGACCACAATAAAGAAGGAACCTAAACAAAACATCACTCATTGCCAGCTTAGCCCTACCGCAACCCAGTAGGACAGTGTGCATAAATTATGGACCCTTCTGGTCTCGGTGCTACCCAATAGGAACAAAGCACAGGGGGAGAATAAAGCCCAAATCCTGGCCATATATCGCTTTGTTAGGCTCAGTGGCTCGCGACTGGCACGTGCCAGGCACGCGAACAAAGACCCCCAGCGAGGCCCGGTCGATCAACCAGGACCAACCGAAGCCCTTTGTTTATGGAGTACGGAGAGCTCAGCTGAGAGGGGGAAACAAAAACAATCCTAACCCAGGAAATCTCTTGTTTCCGGGGGAAGTTGAAAATAGGGGGAAAAGGGAGAGGAACAAAGCATTAGTATTTCAAGGAGTGGAAGATAATGATAAAAATGGTGAAAAGAATATACCTTGCCACCGCCGATGAAGCAAAATATCTTCAGTGACATTGAAAAATGTCAAGCTTCCCGAATCCTCAAAATTACCATGTTCGGCGACGAATTGATCTGTGTGTAATATAGTGTGCACGCGAGAGCTGGCCTAGCCTAGCCGGTCGGTTCCCCGTTACACACCCACGTGTGTTTTCGTAGTACGCCGGTCAATGAATGCGGCCATGTCGGAAATTCGAAATGAGACCCCATGTTCTTGCTCAAATCAGCTAATCTAGAAGATGTCTTACCTTGAAAATTGACAGATGTACAGATGAATGGATTCTCTAGAGGAGATGACGAACTGGACCTCTGGAGAAAGTTGATACAACACGAAAATCTTTGATAAAAAAATAGAAAGTATTTGGCCTCGGCAAGCGTCTCGATCATCTAGCTGGATGGAGCAATTTAATTCTGATATAGCCCCCTCTATTGTTAGAGTGATATACATATTCGATCAAAACAAAACTGGATTCGGGCAGGGAGATGACCCTGATTCGGGTTTTATTCGAGTTATCAAAAAAAATAATGTTTCTTATCAAAACATTTAAAGAAATTTCTCTCATGACAGACAATGTAAGGGTTTTCATCTGCAGCTTTAATTCAACCTTGCAAGTTAGAGAATGGAAATGTTGGTCAGGCAATTTTGCTGTTTTAATATGGACATTTGTTCAGCTCAAGTTGAAACTTCGCTTTGATAAATTAAATTATCAATTAATCAGTGCTGATAAACGCTTAAAACTATTGTGAAAGTGACAAACAGTGTGAAGTCAGAATATTTGTGCAACTTCTTATTCGTCCGTCACTATCATTCCTTGACAAATATTACTTAAAACTAGAAAAACAAGATTATTAGTGTGATAGTCCTAGTATTTGAAAAAAAGAAGTTAGAAATGGTATAATAAGGCAACGTCAAATTCTAAAGGATGATTATCACAATATTTAAATGAAATAGCATAGTCATTAGTTTGTCGCTTTTAAAGTTGGTATCAATATGAAGAAAGATTAATATGAACTGCATGGGATTGAGGAGAGAGAGAGAGAGAGAGAGAGGGGGGGTGAGAGAGAGAGAAGAGAGAAGAGAGAGAGGGAGGGAGGAAGAGAGAGAGAGAGAGAGAGAGAGAGAGAGAGAGAGAAAGAGTGAAAGAGAAGAGAAGAGAAAGAGAGAGATGAAGGGAAAGAGGGAGACAGTGACGTTGGTATGAGCGCGGGTTTTTAAAAGAATCAACATGCAGCTTGTTGGTCATAATTATATTGTTTGAATATTATTCGAATTGATATAATTAGGCAGTACCACGGAATTCAACGGAATTGTAAACTAGCTCTACAAATGTAGGTCAAATGTGTTGCTTTACTAACGCCTACATTTCTTTTGTCTATTTGTCATGTGTTTTTTTCTTCTTCAACTTAATAAGGAAGTGGTATGATTGTTTTGTAATGAAACATCCCTTTCTAATCGCGGAAGCTTTTGTTGAGCAACTTCCGCATTCACTTATTTTGTATTTGTTCAGACAATGAAATTGGATAAAGACGAGTTAATGGCTTAAACAAATGATAGAAATACATTATAAGAACTATTGTCACAATCGTAACTATTTTCGATCGTATACCATGTTGACTTATGTCCCATAATGTCAGGTTCGGATCACGTGATACGTTTAATACGTCATGCTCGCACATTTCAATAGGTCGCACAGGCAGGTCTATATTTAAAATGCCATATAGGTTGATTTTTCGAAAGCTAGTTGCTATCATGTTTATCGTCCAAAACTTTAATTCAGTAAAGTTGCTTTTGATATTTTTTAAATTATTAATTGAAATGTACCATCTTGCTGACAAGCAGCTTTAGCTGATCATTATCTTTTTTTTTTTCTTCTTCTTCTTCTTCTTCTTCTTTTTCCTGTTCTTTCTTCGTCATGTAATTTGTTACGTCTTCTTGTTTACAGTCATTACGTGTTTTGATAAATGTTCTCTGTTGGCCACTATTCTTCTTTGATTGATTAAGTATTCCATATTTTTTTTACACTCATTAAAATTATCTGAGGGGTCCACAATTTACAAGCTCTGCTTTTCAGTGGACCTCTCCATTTCCTCAAAATATAAATGCAGTTAAATTTTAAAATTCATTTTTTGTCTTCCTAAAATGTATAAATTATTATTAAGATTTGTCTATTACAAATGTAACTATGTTTTATATACATTTTACATTGTATTCGTTATTATGTATTGTATTTTGTTGGAAATGAAAAAATAAATATGAATGAATGAAATGAATTATCAGGTTTCGGATCGATAAAATCGACTCCAACTTTGATATTTCAAAGAGCAACCCATGCAATCTTAGTAATAAGTTTAATTTTATGATAGCAGAAAAAAAGAGAAAATGAATGGCGACAGTTTGAAATAAATCAGAACAATGATAAGAGAATTGTGCATGTTTTAAATATTAGCTCTGGGTCCGGGGGGGGGGGGGGGTTCACAGATTTGGTTTGGACGGGGTGTGCCGCTGAAGCCTCGAAACCCCTTTCCCATTTATAAGGGGGAATGTTTAGGGATACTTTTGTTAAAAATGGGACCCATGTTTAGGACCTTTCTGAGAAAAAGTGACCGATTAGAGCGGCACACCCCGTATGTCTTGGTATGTGAGTACCCCCTGGGTGCGTAGTCATGGACAACTCGCCCGTTTGTCGTGTACAAAAACATTATTTATTTGTATTTTAAGTGCATGTTTGTATGTTTTCCCGTGGGGAACTACTTAAAATATAATTTGGATAGCATCTGGCAAAAATTGGATAGCATCTGTCCAAAAATAAAAAGTATGATAATTTTTTTTTGTTCAAGGGGGGGGGGGGGGGTGGATGTTGACGTTCACCCCCCACCCCCCCCCCAAAAAAAAAAAATAGTGCTCCCCCCTCCCCCTTTATTCGCCGGCTGGCTAATTCGGCACTAAATATTTTTTCACGAATCAAAAGTGGGAAAACAAAACATAGTGCGCTCCTAGGACCCATGTTTAGGACCTTTTTGAGAAAAAGTGACCCATTAGAGCGACACCCCCCGTATGTCTTATTATGTGAGTACCCCCTGGGTGAGTAGTCATGGACAACTCGCCCGTTTGTCGTGTGCAAAAACATTATTTATTTGTATTTTCTCATAAGTGCCTTCTCCCGTGGGGAACTACTTAAAATATATTTTTGCGTATCGAGGGGGGGGGGGGGGGTATTTTAGAATATTTAAAGACACCCTCTGGCAAAAAATAAAAAGTTTGATAATTTTTTTGCTCAAGGGAGGTGGGGGTGGATGTTGACGTTGAGCCCCCCCCCCCCAAAAAAAAAAAAAAAAAAAAATTAGTGCTACCCCCCCCCCCCCCCCCCCCTCACTTATTTGCCGCTAAATATTTTCTTACGAATCAAAAGTGGGAAAACAAAAATAGTTCGGTAAAATTTTGTATCACTGTGGTTATGGGTCCATAATTATGAAGATCAAGAATACATGGGGGTGGGGGGGGGGGGGGCGGAGAGCTTTAATTACGTATACGATTATGCCGTATTGAGATGTTGGCAGTTTGCAACGATACTCCCTTCACAAAATCGTGGATACGCCCCTGAATTCATAACTGCTCTTATTAATTTTTGGTGGATGAAATTTAAATAAACAAGGCCACTGATTAGCAGGAGGGGTGTGGTATGGTATAAGTTTGCAGCATGTTCTTTCGTGCACGTTCTTCTTCTCCTTCCTCCTTTCGCCCCCTCTCTCTCTATATCTCTCTTTTCCTCTATCGCTCTGTCTCTCGGGGGGTGGGGGGGGGGTGGGGTATGTAACAGGGTCACCGACGTAGCATATTGCCTTCTCCCGTGGGGAACTACTTAAAATATATTTTTGCGTATCGAGGGGGGGGGGGGGTATTTTAGAATATTTAAAGACACCCTCTGGCAAAAAATAAAAAGTTTGATAATTTTTTTGCTCAAGGGAGGTGGGGGTGGATGTTGACGTTGAGCCCCCCCCCCCCCAAAAAAAAAAAAAAAAAAATTAGTGCTACCCCCCCCCCCCCTCACTTATTTGCCGCTAAATATTTTCTTACGAATCAAAAGTGGGAAAACAAAAATAGTTCGGTAAAATTTTGTATCACTGTGGTTATGGGTCCATAATTATGAAGATCAAGAATACATGGGGGTGGGGGGGGGGGCGGAGAGCTTTAATTACGTATACGATTATGCCGTATTGAGATGTTGGCAGTTTGCAACGATACTCCCTTCACAAAATCGTGGATACGCCCCTGAATTCATAACTGCTCTTATTAATTTTTGGTGGATGAAATTTAAATAAACAAGGCCACTGATTAGCAGGAGGGGTGTGGTATGGTATAAGTTTGCAGCATGTTCTTTCGTGCACGTTCTTCTTCTCCTTCCTCCTTTCGCCCCCTCTCTCTCTATATCTCTCTTTTCCTCTATCGCTCTGTCTCTCGGGGGGTGGGGGGGGGGGGGGGGTGGGGTATGTAACAGGGTCACCGACGTAGCATATTCACGTCCCCGATCTTTCTCTCCCCTCTCTTTCCTGATATATCTCTGAATTCCCCCTTCTCTATCTCTCCGACCCTTTGTATTAGCGCGGGTGCGCCCCCCCCCCCCCCCACCCCGTACCTATACGCCACTTCGTAAAGGTAATGGTGGGGATGTTTCTCCCGTCCCATCGAAATGAATTTATCGTTGTTTCCAAGACGATTTGGTCCTGGCAGGGGCGGCGATTTCTTTTCATGACCGGGGGGGGGGGGGGAGGACGTAATGGGAGGGACGAGGGAGCAGTGGCGTATCATGAGCAAAACGCTTGGGGGGAGGGCAGAAAAAAATCTGCACCACCACCACTCTTACATGTTACATGCAGGTAGAGCAAAGCGAGCGGAGCAAGTAGAGCGTAAATTGGCGAGGGGTCCATGTGCAAAGCCCCGGCGGTGGGTGGGGGGGGGGGGGGGGGGTCAGGAGCGGTGCCCCATGAGGCTCAGGGGTTTAAGGCATTTAATTACGGTCAGATGAGCAACTAGGGGCCGCCTTAGGGCACCTGGTGGGGTCCAGGGAGCAGAGCCCCGGGAAGTTCAGGGGAAGTTTATGCCATTTCAACAACATTTGTAAATCACTGGTATCGAATTAGAAATAAACCACATTTGAATTTTTTTTTTTTTTTTTTTTTTGGGGGGGGGGGGGGGGGGGGGGGGGGAGGGGTGGGGTAACTTTCTCCCAAGCCCCATCCCATCAGAACGCCAGTGCGAGGGACCACAGTGAACGAGAGGGGTAAAGGAGTCGAAAGTCGGAAGTGACTACCCCCTCACGTGTTTGAAGTTTCATGTTGTATGAACAAATTGCATTCCTACGCAAAACTAGTATAAAAACAAGCAATGTAATTTGTACACACTTCACTGTTTTACAATATCTACTTGTACATCTTGAAGGATACGAGGGAGCGTAGCGTAGCTCCCGAGCGAGAAGATTTTTGCATTTTTGTTTGTCTAAACACTGCACCCTTTGAGCCATCCAGAGCCTAAAAGTGTGTTGCAGTCTTTAGTCAGTATTTGCTATACATTTTGTTTGCACTTTTTCAAATTTTTCAGGGGGGGGGGGGGGGGGGGGGGGTGGTGTAGTGAGCACATTTTTTTCTTTTTTTTTGCTCCCGAAAATTAGAAAATCGCGCCTGCCGAAAATTCGCTCAGTTAGGGGAGAGGGGGGAATGGGAGGGGGGGGGGGTATAAGTGAGCACATTTCTTTCTTTTTGGCCCTCGAAAATTTGAAAAATCGCACCCCTTCCCCCTTAAGCGGAAGGGGGGGATCTCCATAAGAAGGTAAAATTAGCGTGTTTTTACACGGTTTTTTTCTCGGGGGAGGGGGGGGGGCGGGGCCCCTCCTTTCATGTCGGACCTCTTTCATGAAATGATTGTGACAGTATGATTTATGTATGATTTATTCTTAAAAAAGTTTAGTTTTCATATCAATCTCTAGACTCTATGACTATTTGCAGTGATAAATAAAATCATGAAAAGATATAAAACCAAACTTTTCTATTGAAACAGTCATTTTATGAAAAGAGGTATAGAAACAAAAATGCGTTCTAGCTTTATGGGCAATAGTGGAGCGGCGTGCCCTTTCACACAAAGGCTGATTGTGTGATTAGGCATCATAATTATGCCTACTTAAAAAGTGGTATCTAGTCAGCCAACTGGCCTGAAATCATCTAAAAATGACAGTTTTCAATGATAAAGCAGAGAGTTAGACTCACAACTCCCTCGATAAAGAAAAACGACATCAAGCGCTCCGACTTTAAATAATTTTGTTCCTCGACAATTATTATTATCGATAATTTATTATAGGGGTATACAAAAAAGACGCAAAAGTAAATCGATAATTCTCAATTTAAAAAAAGTAATGGAACTCTCTAATCCAAACATACATGTAGAAAAAGTAACCGTTTGTGATTTCGGGTTTTGATTAAAAGCACAGGCCTATATTAATATTTGTTCATAAAGGAATATATGTAATTACATGTAGCATAGGTTCGAATGGCTTCATAGGTTTCTTTATGATTTGACTTATTCTTACCCTTTCAAATAATCAAATAGAACATCTTTGAGTTTTATTAAGGCACAATTGGAAAAAGCTGATGACCTATCAGTGTTTTTGTTGTCAGAACAGAGATATTATGGCATGCCTCTCTGGTCACTAGACTCGTCTCTGTTCATCATTATCATCATCATCAAAACCAGTACCATCATTATCATCACCAATACTTTGCACCACAACCATCATTAAAGATAAACTCCAGTACTGGTAAAAAAAAAAAAAAAAAATCTAGCAGCCAGTTTGTAAGTCCTATTTCTTTTGAATTTGTCTTCCTTTTTATTATGTTCTTATTAATTCTTTTGTCTCTGATTTTCTTTCTACCTTTCTCCTATTCATCTACTGGTAAGTAAGTTACTGTCAGGTAAAATATAGGATCACACCCCGAGGCGCCAGGTTGGGTTGACGGCGACTGTCCCTTGGGTCTTTGGTTCACCACAGGACGTGCGAGCTGGTAGTGGTAGTGTCTGTATAATATGTGATGTCTATTTTATACGAAATGCGAAATCAGATTATCTAAACCTGTTAAAATAATCACTGTGAAATTCAAAAACTTTATGATGTTTACAATCTGTACACAGAATATACTCGTAGTATGACGTCATTTTGGGAACGACCTTAGCCTCACACGTGATTGGAGCAGAGTATTATGGGATGCTACATACATTATCTCACCTATTCGCCATTTTGAACTTCGCGATCGTTGCAACTTTTGGCGCTTCACCGGTGCACTAAAATAGTGTCAACACCCATTCAACCTCAATTGATGAAGTCTGAGAGAGCATATTAACCCTGGATAAACTTCAATAATGAAATAATTTTTCTGAGTTAGTATCATATTTGAAATCATATGATAAGGTGTGCATTGTTGCTTCGAAGTGATCACTTCCGAACTGGAAAACTGAATTACCGAGTGTTGTTGCATGCATGCTGTAACGTTCGTAGATGTCCGTAAACGCGAGGATTCAATGGGGGAACCGTAAAAAGACGACGCAACACGCACTCCCTCACGTAAACATTGAGAAATCTTAACTTAGACCCTTCATTGATTCACGTTTTTCTTGTTTATTGTAAGTATAAATAGGCGGAATAAATTATCTTCATGTTATCGATGTTCTCATGTAGGAGTTGAATGCTTTCAAATGATTCCCAGTCTTGTGGGATATGAAATAAACTGTTGGGTCTGTTCTAAAAACATTTTGGCTACCGTTTGTGTTGTGGGTGTCATGTGCTGAGCGGGCGTGTTTGGTCACCGGTGCATGTCGTTCCACGGAGGCGGACCGGCCGAGTAAATATCGGCTGTCGTGTTGCACTGCCTTGACCAAGTTAAAAACGGGTCACTTTACTAGTTGTTACATGCTCTGGGCCGAGTTAAAAGTGTAGGGTTAAATGGGTTTGGATCTTTTGCAGGCATGTAGCGTATTCTTGATGTGGGGAGGAGTGGTTGAGTGCTACAAATTACGATGTAACAATTAGTAGACTACGAAGCGCTTGCGCAAATGATTGTGTGTTTGACTTTGACAAGAATCGAGATGACTTGGACAGTGGGAGGGAGGCACGATGAACTTTGCGCATTGAGCGCTGTACAGTGAGTTTAGGCGCTCTCATTCATTGGTCGATCCGCCCGAGGGGCTTCGAATTTAAGTGAGAGAGGACCTATTTAAGCGCAATTTTAGTTCAATGGCAATGTCAATACGTAATATTATTATTACGTCACACCACAGAGATTTTGACATGTCATGCTTTAAACAGGTGACGCAATTGACACATAACTGACGCAAACACAGCATTGCACACATAAAATAGAAAAATCAATGAACATCTCAGAATAAATTTCCAGTTTTGACCTTAAAAATATGACGAAAATGAGAATTGTTCAAACTTGAAAAATTGTTGCGTAGGCCTACAGTGGTTGCGTAAGACTTAAATTTAAGTAAAAAATCATAACAAATAGTAGAGGGTTGACTGAAATATCATAAGTTTGGTATAGAAAAAAAGAAAAATCACAAGCTTGCTCCTCGCACAAATATCTTATAGCATTGAGTAAATGGAAGACAGCGAAAGCCAAAAAGAAGGGCCCTTATCTGCGCCAGTTTAGTAAAATGAGGCTGTGATTTGCTGAGATCGGATGAACGATTTGCGCATGCGTTAAATGTAAGCTAATGTTCTACATGGGAGATGAAGCAATGTTTGCGCTGGTCTACTAGTAAGTAATATATCCAGAGGTGTGTCCGGACAATTGGTTTAATCATTTAAAATGACAATTTAAAGAAGTTTACAGGCAATATTTCATAAATCTTTTAAGTTATGTTGGACAATATTATTATTCCTGTTGCTATTTGATAAATATTTTCTGTTAAATCCGAAGGCAAATCAGAAGTCTTAGATTTTGTTTGGTAAGTGTCCGGACACCCAACCCACACATAGAACTTTATGCATTGAGCGCTGTACGGTGAGATAAAATCAAATAACGCGCTCTCGTTGGCCGATCGAGCAGTTTCGAATTTAAGCAAGAGAGGGCTCACTTTATAAGTAGAGAGCGCTATGACAGAGCCAATAGACCTCTATGTAATATGACACACTGACAGTGACATGTCGTGCTTTAATTAAACAGGTGACGCACTTCACACATAAGTGACACACTCTTAGCATAGGTACACACATTAAATAGAAAAATCAACAATTGTTTCAGTACAACTTGCCAGTTTGTACCTTAAAGATAAACTTGAGTTCTGGTTAAAAAAAAAGAAAAATCAATTCTCACAGAATCTAACAAAACTTACACTGAATGTTCAAGATTACAAATAAATGTCATGTGCCAAACAATTTTGGAAGAAAATGTATACTGGCTGAGTAATGAGCATACAAAGATAAGGAAATCAAGTAGTAATAGCCCCGACACCATTTGTGTTGTCCCATATACATTTTCTGTGTAGTGTGCTCGTTACTTTACCAAGACTGAGCCAAATTTGTTATGAATTTGATGACTCCAGAACCGTGCAGTACACACCAATACTTACATGCTACATAATCAACTTTTTCTGATGCATTCCACACCTTTTCTTTCACAAGGCAATGCGTTACCAGAACTCGCCTTTATCTTTAAATATGACGAAAATGAGAATTTTTCAAACTTAAGTAAGACTTAAACTTGAGAAAAACCTTAAACTTTAAAGGTACTACATGTATGTCCAATTTGTAGGTAAAAAAACGAAGAAAAGGTTAAATTCCATGGTGAATACATAATCATGTACATGTATAAATATAGGAAACGGTTCACACTCACAGCCTTCAGAAAGATGAAATGTTTAGTTCTTGTTCAATAAATGAAAAAAAGTTACAATAATGGTATCAACATTTCAGTCTATACATCATTTATATGTTGACAAATAGTAGGTTACATGTGATGTGTGTGTATCCTTTTCACTACTTTCATAACTGCTTTAAAAAATAAAAAAAAATGAGAAAATTGCTTTATGCGCCACATCATTCTAAAAGCCTTGATACCTAAATTGCTACCAGTACTGAACGTGTGCCAGCTGATTAAAGGAGGGAGTGGATGGTTTTCATGCATTTCTTTTGAAGTCCAAATTCATGAAAAAATTTTGTTTTAATTTCAAATTTCTGATTCCTTATTATACCCATGCAGATTCATATTGAAGTACAAGTAAAACAATGCTGTGTCCATCGCCCCTATCAAAAGTTTTGCCTTTCCATTCATTACCTACATGTAAGATCCATGCAGTGATTAGAATTACTCTCTACAGCTCCATCTAGTGGCAAGACTGTGTAAGGAACAGGTATAGTCTCATTCAAGGATTACCTCCTTGAATGAATGACTTGGTGTTTTCTTGAGCCAAAACTTAAAAATGTTCAATACCACTCATATTTCATACACACAGTCGTACCTTTCTTTTTTAGGGTGTTTTATATTTGTGGCTTATTTGAAAACCAGAAGTTTTTACAATTAATTACATTCTGTCGGACATTAATCAATATTTGCCACACTTGACCCAGGTTAGGTATATGGGTACCTGGTTAGATTATTCACGGAAATTCACTTGGCGTTGATTAGATTGCTGGGGCGAATACCAGGGTCATTTCAAAAGCTCTTTTGAAGTGCAATTGGATGTCACTGTTACAAATGTGCCGTCCAAGAAGGGATTATCATCATCTGTGATTCTATAGCAGATATTCTGACCTTTTCCCTTGAATTTGGATTTGGGTGCGGTGGTCTGAAAATGTGAGACTACTGAAAGAATGATGTCAAGGGAAGTCGCAAATTGGGCCTTCCCCTTCTGGAATTAAGAGTTGCACTTGCTTCGCAATCTTGGGGAATTTACGGTACAGGAGCCCTGCCAATATAATGGCGGGCTTAATGCAAGGGGGAACAGGTAGATGTAGAAAGTATGAATTACCTATGAACATGTCCATGTACCATTTAGTCGGCTGTATACATGTGCAGTGTAGTCTGTAGAACATCACATACAGTTAAAAGTGATGTGGTAAGGTTTTACAATGATGAAGGTCAATTTATATAGCGCAGCTACTATATGAATACACTACTGCGCTTAATACAAGGTATATTATTGCTGTGGCTGTAGCTGAGCTGCCACAATAAGGCGCTAAAGCATTCAAGGAGTGTGTTCTGACTGGGTAGTGGGTTACTTGACCTGGGTGGAGAGTGGCAAATGTAGATTAATGTCTTGCTAAAGGACAATAGTGTCACGGCGGGACAAGAATCGCAAACCGTGTGATCAACAGTCCGGTGACGTATTCACTATACTACGACACCTCTGAGTAACATGAATGTGAGGTTTAAAGAATGCCTGTTTGAATTATTCCCCTTTTTTCTCTTTGAGTCATAAATTTTTGGTCCGGAAATGGAGAGGGGGGAAAGGTGGAGAGAATTGTGATCGTTACGTGTAATGTGCAATGTAGTTCAGTGAATTCATGTTTTTCGTGTTCTCAAATGTTGCAAGTTACTTCTCATATAATGTATCACCATATACTACTACATTCAAATTTCAATGTTTACTTTTCTTCTGTGCCCCTATCCTGCTCTTAAAGATGTTCATGCGTGGGTATATAGTCATTTGTGAAGTAGGCAACCTGGCGATCACTCCCGATCACTACATAATACTGAGCAAATTAGTATTAATGTTCCTGTGCATATACCGTGTGCTGCCCTCTATATACCCACGCTTGAGCAACTTTAAGCATGTAGTAGATCATTTGGACTCTCCCAAGTATGCAAGCAATCTGTGGTGTTCACAATGGCTCTTTTACTATCCTATCCCTAGCACTAGCACATTCATATATCTTATGGTTGGATTTCCTATAGAGTACTGAAGCTTGTGACATCATAAAAATCTACTTTTAGAATTTCTCAACTTTTTCTTCATTTTCCAAAAAAGCATCAAAATAATGTCCAAATGTTGAAAACCAATTGAAAAAGGTTTCCTATAGGAGTTCAGTGTTATTTTGCTCTGGCTCGTAATGTTATGAACCAGAGCAAAATAACACAGCTATTTATTCAGATGGTAATATCTCAGGCAATACTTACATATTCAATTGGTTTTGGACATTATTTTTGATGCTCTTTCGGAAAATGAAGAAAAAAATTGAGAAATTCTAAAATTAGACTTTTGATGACGTCACACTTCACCCCTCTATTCTCTTTAGCAGTTTGTCTTAAAAAGCCTTGCTAACTGTCATTTCATTAGTGTGCCGTTTCTTTCTCCTTTTCCCGTCATTTTTCTTCTCCATTTCCCAACTCCTGCCTGCCTGCACGCTTACCTATCTGTGGCTTCCTTCATCATCCATTACCCGTCCTTAGGATCTATCCTGTCTGTGTAGCTCGATCTATTTTGGGGGCTCAGTAACTCTGTCAGCCCGGGGGCAGTGAGCGGAAAATAATCGCAGCGAAGCATTTGCAATGATGTGAGTATAGTAATAGTATCATTGTCTTGTCTTGGTACCAACATATGAATGAAATCCATTTGTATCTTGCTTGATATGCTAACTCTTTGTTTTTTGTGATCGATAAGACTTTCCCCCGTCATGTGCAGTTTTTATTTGGGCCTTTTTTCGATAGTCAACCTGAAATCTTTGCGACTTATTATTTGGAAAAGCATATCTTTGTTCAGTTCATTTGCATATTCTTTGGCCATAAGGGCACTTTTCTTTTGAAAGATAAGTTTTGTTTCAGCGATGCCAGTTTTCAGGCTTTTGCCTTTTCAGGTCTTTTCAAGATTTGTATTGTTTGTACAGAACACATGAGTCTGTAGCTTTCTTTTCCGGCATTGTACCGTAAAACCAACCGGTACATGTACCCCTGTTATTCCAAGGGCTCTGTCATTTTCTTTTTATGTAGGTAGCATTTTGATTTTGTATTTGGACCTGGCTCTTGGTCATTTGAACTTTTCTGTTTCATTATTTTCATTTTATCTGTTTGTTACTATCACTATTTGTTGAAGTTTGACAGTTGGATAAGTGGACCCTGGGATGTATACCTTGTGTAATATTTGTTGGAGAAAGGCAGTGTGTTATCGTTATTTCTTTTTTGTTTTTCCTTGCTCCCTCGTGGCTCTTACTCCATCACCGATTAAACCAAAGTGCCAGATTGAGAACTTCTAAGACCCCCTCTTTCTCCAAGTTGCTATTATTTTTTGTTGTTGTTGAATTGATTTGGTTAGTTCACTTGGTTGCTATTTTTATATCCACATTTTTTTTTTTGGGGGGGGGGGATCCCTTTCAAGATGGATAATCAGGACTTGAGATTAATCGGGCCTCTAATTTCTTTTTCCTAAAAATTCTCAATATTCTGATTTTCAAAAATTCTGAAATATTTATATTTTATTTTTGTAAAGCAAAATTTATCTTGTTTTATCATCTGTCGCGATTTGAGAATTTGCATATTGCGTACTTTAAATGGCTGCACAATCAAACAGCGGATTTGTATTCCCTTTTTTGTACAGCTTTACTGCGTATTGCCAGTACACTGCCGCTGCCTACATGTACACGACCATGGTTAGAGTGCAGATTTCTTATTTTCAAATGTTGGCAGGTATGCTTCTGTCTGGTTTGGAATTATTATGGCAGGATTTGGATTGTCTAATTGCATACTACGCGTCCCTTCGCGCTGATGTTTTCTGACAAACCTCAGCGATGGTCAATGCTATAGATACTTTTTCTGTTGTTCATGTATTTTACAGGGTGTCTACAGGGCATTGTCAAGCATCCTTATGGAGTGGGTAGTCGTGTCTGACAGGATATTTTGGAATGTTTTCTTCATCTTTTTTTTTCTTAATCTTTTTTTTTTCTTAATCATTGCTTAAGTCCCCCCTCCCCTTTTTGTAAGTGGGTATCCAGCAGGTCTTATTGATCACGTACATGTAAATGCATATATGCATGATCAGTTGTGCTCCACCATTTGCATGAGTGAATGATTGTGCACTATACCATAAGCATGGAAAAGAAAGTTTTGATAATTGCCTGGCTTGATCACTGGGTCAAGGGTCAAAGGTCATAGTCTCAGTATTGGCCTCTTTACTTTATGAGAGAAAATTTCATTTTGTCAGGTTTCTTCAGTTGTACAATGATTTTAAAGAAATCGATTAGCCTGGAAATTTGCGTATCTTGACATGTCAAAATTAGTGATTCTAACATGCTATTATCCATCCAAAATGTACTTATAGCGGTATCAATATTACAGCGTTATATTATACCAGTATAGCAAATTAGTTTGTATCACTGTATAATCAAAAGTTCAGAAAAACATCGATTTTTGAATTACAGATTTTCCCCCAATGCTGTAGAGTGATCCAATTTCCTCTTCATTTTTTCTCTATCCCTCCACAATGATGATAGTTTTTTGTCTCGTTGTCTCGCCTGCGTAGCAAAAAGCGAGACATAGGCGCCGCTTTTCCGGTGACGGCGGCGGCGACGGCGACGGCGACGGCGTCAACATCAAAAACTTAACCTAAGGTTAAGTTTTTGAATTTTTGGTATAATTTTTAAAGTATAAGTTCTTAGTCAATGAAACTTTGACTATAGGGTAATCAAGTATCCCCAATCATGTGAGTAGAATTTCAGATCACAAAGTCAAGGTAAAAGGTCATTTCAGGTCAACAGACTTGGACTATGTTGTAGCATCATCATCGAAAACTTAACCTAAGGTTAAGTTTTCGAATTTTTGATATAATTTTGAAAGTATAAGTTCTTAGTCAATGAAACTTGGACTATAGGGTTATCGAGTCTCCCCAATCCTGTGAGTAGAATTTCAGGTCACTAAGTTAAGGTCAAAGGCCATTTAAGGTCAACAAACTTAAACTTTGTTGTGGCATCAACATTAAGATTTTCAAAATGCTTCTTCTTCGTTATTTTTCAACCGATTTTGATTCTGATTGTTTCATATGATAGGGCTAGGAGGGGATTTAAAATTTCTACACAGAATCGTGAAATTCATTATCTATGCTAATTTATGCAAATTTATTCGAAATCACAAAAAAGGCTTCTTCTCCTTCATTTCTCGACCGATTTTGATTTGGTTTGCTTTATATCGTAGAGCTAACTTTGGTACACTAAACTTCTACACAGAATTTTGAAATTGTTCTCCATTAATTAATTATGGTAATTTATGCAAATTTATTCCAAAAATAACAAAAATTGCTTCTTTTCCCTCATTTCTTGACCGATTTTGCCTTATCTGGTAGAGCTAAATTTGGAACAATAAACTTCTACACAGAATTGTGAGATTTTGCTCCATTGATTATTTATGGTACTTTATGCAAATGAAATGAAATTATGTCCCTTCCAGGGCATCAAATTTCTATTTTTTGACCAGTTCAAAAGTGTACCACATAAAATTTACGATATTTGTTGTTGTGAGATGCGGATGAGCGCTACGTCATTGACGTTCTGGTTTATCATATTGAATTGCGTTATGCAGGCGAGACCGCCGAGAGCGTTTCCCTTGTTTTAGAATTCAATATCTTGTCATCTGTTTCAGTACATGACAGTGATTTATGAAAGTAAAACACTTATTACCATAGAACAGTTGGCATAGAATATTTCCTGTGTACATACATGAATTTTGTATGTATCGCACGTTTTGCCAACTCATTTTCACAGGTTTCTTGATTTTATTGGTGAGGCAGGAGGGGGGGGGGGGGGGACAATGACCTCCCTCTTGTTGTGAATATTGTTTAATAAGTGCGCAGTGAACTGGGAAATATGCCAGTGTAGAATAAAAAGTACATGAACTTCTTTGTTTGGATCGCATTATTTAAACATTGTCCTATTTTTTTATGGGTAAACCTTTTGTGTTGAATTGTTTGTTTTAGAGCAAAGTTGAGACTTCCCTGTGTGGTTTCCCCAAAAGGTAACCAGGGAGAGAGATATTGTATATTTCTCGTTGCATTGGAGTTTGGACTCCAAACATGATTCACGTGTATGTTAACGTGGGCCCAGCCAGAGTCAATGCGATAGTTGCACAGATTAAGCAACGGAAATAGGCCTTTAGTATGGCGGAAACTATGAGCCAGCAACTCTGTCAGATGCATGAGCGACGTGCACCTCCAACGCTCTCTCTCTCTCCAGTCTTTGATTTGTGGCTGTACCTCTCGAGGAGCCAATAATAGAAACTGGTTCTCACTGTACACGAACATGTAGCTATTCTTTTAGTCTAAAAAAACTGCCATGCGGTGCTACACCAATAGTCCAAAGTGCAGATGATTAAAATACTCAAAGCCTTGGAGTATTTGTGGAGGTGATTTTAAAGCTTGCGGTATACAGGAAATGTATCTTTTGATAATGATTGTTTCTCAAAGATCAATTTGCAAAAGATTTTTTATGTTAACAAAATTCCTGAGGAACTCTGAATTGAGTACAAACAAAGTGTGCTGTAAAGATCACCTACATTTGTACAGTGTATGATATTTTAAATGCGATGAATGTGAAATGGAAAGCTGGTTACAACAAAAAAATAGCATCATGTGATCATTCACATTGCATTGTAGGGAAATCTTTTGGGCAAAATAGAATTTGGTGAGGAAGACAATTCCTAAATCATACATGTATATGGTAAGCCAAAACGTGCCTAATACAAAGAGTAAAACTCATTCACTAGTAAAGACCTGACAATTTGGATGCAAACAGCATCGAAGAGGTTTAACATTTTTGCATGTAACTACATGTATACTGACAGTAGAGTTTTACTGACGAGTGTAAACAAACCATTGTACAGTCAGTGGGTCACATGTGGGTCAACTACCATAACCTTTGTGATGATGATGATGATGATACTTGTAACCTATATTAGCAATGTATACATCAATGCAGCCGAGTTGCTCTTTGGACATGTCCCCGTATTGTCAACGAAGACCCTCTGAATGTCATGTCAACACGACCGATGGGATGGCATGCTAGCCCTGTAGAAAACAACGGGAAGGATTACGTTCTGAAGTCTGAACTGCCCATAGTGAATAGACACGATGCATCAGTGCATGTTATTTTGCTTCCCTTTCTCTTCCTCTTTCCTGGTTGTAAATGACTGTTGTCTGACATTCCATTGCTAAGTTCAAAGTACAAAATTATAGGTATTGTACATGTACATTACTTGCAAATGACTCTTGATATAAACGGGAAGTGAAAAGAAATTCATGATTGGGTGACAGAAGCCAAATTTACAAAATGTAAGTCTCGTTAAAATGCCTGTGCAATTTTACAGACCTCTAATTTCATTCAACATTTTTGTTTGATCCATTAACATATTTGTGCAAGTATACATTATGTGATTGTCTTGTCACTGTACGTTGTAGACTTGTGTATTTTCACATTTATTGTGTTTGTGTAAAAAGCACACAAGTTTTAGGGTTTCAGAAACGGTATACCGGTAGTTGTTTAATACCTTGGACCCTATACTAGAGATAGTCCATCGGCAGCAGTTACTGTGGGACGGATGTCAATGTAGTGCTGGTTGATGGTACTTCTGTTGCAGGGGGGGGGGGGGGGGCTATTTGTGTTGTTTCAAAATTAATATCTACCCATGTATGTTGCATGGTGGTGAAAGAAATACAAATCACTATACAGTCAAACCCGTCTATAGCGACCGCCCAAGGGAAACCCTCGAACTGGTCTTTGTAGGCAGCTTCCTTTAGTACATGTTTAAATGAGAAACCATTTTCGAGGGAAACAAAAAACGTGGTCTTTCTAGACAGGTGGTCTCTAAAGCAGGTTTGACTGTTTATACGATTATACTGTTATTTCAGTCAATTTGTTATTTTGTCAATGTGACAACTGACATACAGTGTATCTTACAATGCCTTTAATTCCCCTAGGGTAAAGACAGTACCGGTAAGCGCCTTGTGGGGATTTGAATCTGTGTCCTCCTCCTTGAGTGGAACATACCTTTCAAGATGACAGGTAGTGGCAACGATGATGTCATCCATCCTTCACGGAAATAGGCCAGGTTAACTCTCTAAATATAAGTGATGAGCCTCACGAGCGAGCGAGGAAAACAAAATTTGATTGCATCACTGATGAATCTCAACACCGCACATTGCCTATGTCTCATTATAAGAACTTGATGCGATGTTTTGCCTGTCGTGTTGCCCTGGCGATTTGACACATGTCTCGCTCTTGAGACCAGCCGTTGCTAACGGCACAGGATTCGACAGGAAGGTGTTGGTTGGATGATGAGGAAGTGGAGTAGAAATTGTGAAATAGGTTTAATGCGTCCCTGTAATTAGATCCTAGATGGACATTTCAGTGCTTCCCAGTTGTATCTACATGTATGGCGACTACATTGTAGTTGTCCTTTTCCAGGGTGTCAGGGCCTGGACCCTGTCTCATAAAAGTTTTATCAATAACAAGTAACAATAGCTGTTATAAGCTACTGAAATCGTGGCATTTGATTGGCTGAAAGCAAATTTGTCATAGAAATTTAGCATTTGCCATTGATAAAGAGTTTTATGAAACGGGCCAGGCCCCCTTATGGGCTTTCAGGCATCATATTGTACAGCACACATTACAGCACACCTGAGACTAGAAGTAACAGTCTATTTTGAAGGCTCTCGGAGTGAAATCAACTTAAGGTCGAGCTCTATGTCTCCTGTGTAGGAGTCCTCGACACGCATGTGAAATGACCCTTTAGGGACATGTTAAGATATGGCCGAGGTGGAACCGCTGCTGCTTAAAGAAAAAGGTGTAATATGCGTCACATTTCTGTATCTCATAACGCAGAGCTGAGTGACTGAATACGCACAATTGCTATTTATTTATGCGTAAAATCCCCAAAGAAACGTGGCAGTGTTTTTTATCTTCTGCGGCGGTTCACCACGGCATATCCGACCGAGCCTTTAAGGCTTTCAAAGAGATGGTCTGCTTGGTCTTCTATGTAATTCCTGATTATTTGTATATTTTTCAAAAAGATACCAGTAAATATTTATTTTGTTTGTACATACATGTATACACAAAATCTACAAGTTAGGTACTTGGGTGTATTATGCAAGACTGAGAATCACATATATGTCTGGAAAATAACTATGGACACTAATTTACTATACAACAAGCACAATTTTACAAATTGTTTATAAAAGTATGCAAAAAAAAGGGTATCAAAGTAAAGACTAGCCTTCAAATTTAACTGCATGACTAATACATGTAGGTAGACTCGGCGAGTGAGCTCGATATGTTTTACACACAGTCATTGTGGTAGTCATACCCATCTATTGAGGTCGCAAGGTTTCGATAATTCCTTGGTAATTCACTCCATCTGGTATTATTGTGAACCGTTTGCGTGGAACCGTCCGATAAGACAGCTATTTTTCTTGAAAGAGGAATAGGGAAGAACCTTGGAAACATGACAGCAAAAAGTGAAAAGGAATCGTCTAGCTCAGTTATTTGGACCAGATTTGTAAGCTACGCTTGAACAACTACCTGTAACCTCGTACATTCACGTACTGTAGTGATGAAGTGCTCGGTTAGTCAATAGTGTAACTTCTCGAGTCCACGATGCTAGCCTAGCCGGATATTTACACATTGGTATATACACGTATTGTACAGGATATACTCGGCTGTGCAGGAAACACACTTGAATTGTGTGTGGATTTTTGGGTGAAGTGACAGACTGATTTATAGACGGTGGATTTTTTTTAGAGGAATATATTCATGTATAGGTCACTAAGGATGTGAGTATTGGATTGTGGTGGTGATGTACCATTATTTCTCTCTTGTGAGATTGTAAGGTGTGTAATGAGAAGGGAGTGCATGCATTGTTTTGTTTTTAGAGGAGTGACTGTCGGGCCTCGTTTACATCTAACATGAATGATGACTTAAATTGTAATGCGTTTCACTTTTTTGTATCTCGTTAACCCAGGGCTCGGTAAATACGCGCAGGACCTTTATTGCGCGCAGTTGCCATTCATGTACACGTGAAACCTGCCGCTTTTATGTTTGTTTTGTTTGTGTCTTGTTTGTCTTAATGTACATGAACATTTACACGTACTGTGTAAGTGTAACTTGTTCAAAGCTGTATGGCATAATTCCTAGATGAGTGTGCAAGGACCGTAAGGGGCACTGTGTGCAGATACTTTCCCCTCCCCCTCTCCCCTCTCCCCTCTCCCCTCTCCCGAACCCCCCACCCATAACATTGCTTCTTTCCATACACGTAGTGGGTTTCCTTCCCTGGGATTTTACCGCTTTCTGGACGAACAGGGGGTTACCGTGAAGGTTTTTATTTTCATTTTTGTCCAGGTTCCGTGATTTTACTAGTACAACTCCTCTGCCTACAGTGTACATTTTTACAGTGCATTCAGCTCAATTTCTGAATCATCGATCATTGCATGCATCTCATATCTTGCCCATATCTTGTCATTTTACTTGCACTGTTTAAAGATGTGGTTTCTTATGTGTATGAAAGTACACATACAATCGATTCGTCCAATATTGTCATAGCTCTGTACATACTGTACATGTCCAGTACCTGTACAAACCAGTGCAAGTATTGAACTTGTTATTTATCGTAAATAAAGCCTGACCTTGGTTCTTGATGCAGCAATTTCAAGCATGTTTTATTTAAGGGATCCTGTGCATTTGAACAGAAATACAGCGGCATGTAAATGTCAATGCCGTGAACCACCATCATTACCCACTTTCTACAGTAATGGATTTACATCCAATATCAGGAAGGGGAATTCCCATAATGTACTAGACATTTCATAATTGCCTATCGTACATGTATTTTTCAATGTGGAACTTCCTTCTGATATTCTGCTCCAATTAATGCTCACAATTGCTTGTGGTTTGAAAAAAAAAAAAAATTGATGCCAGCTTTGAGTGGTTTCACATGTGCTATGTGGTTAAGGACTTGTCTTCAATGTCACTAACCATCATCATTACAGAACACGCACCTTCCATAATGTCTGCAAAATGATTGGAAAATTTAAACGTTCATTCTCTTATTTTTTCTCTAACAGGCATGCTGCCTCGGATACCTTCGCCATGTTTTGGAGGTTTGGAATGCCGACGACGTCACATATTGACACGTTGCTAGAAAAAGAGGTAAGATATATACATATCAGTTTGTGAAGGAGGGAGTCAACAGTCTTAATTGTGAAATTTCATCCTCATGGAAACTTGTAAACCACAACAACAAAAAACTGACAGAGGGCTCATGCATACTGACTGTAAATGCTTGAAGCGCATCTCCTTCCAAAAAACATTGGTGAGCCCTGCATTTTGGGATAAAAATTGTACATACATTAATACAATCCTTCCTACATTTTTTCTGGAAGGGCGCACACGATGAAGAAAATTCTATTGTGAGCTAAGTTGTCATTGTAGTTCACATTTGCAGCATAATATCTATACTAGTATTGCCCGGTGGAGGAGTGGTATGTGGGTTGTCATGCCAGCATGCTTCGTAAGTTCTTGCGTGACAAATGTTTAGAATCATACTTGGTTGAAAAATGCTTCCAGAAACAACAGTAACCTGGATACAGTATGGATAATAAGCCAGGTTCTCATAACAACTTGAAATGGATATATTGATCCATCGTGAAAACTGCACATTGACATGCTGTCCTTGTGATCTTCCTCTTAAATATGTCGGAAACAGTCCTTGTTTGAGCAACCTATTAAAAAAAATTAGTTTCACTAATTTGTGAGTGTTTTGAGTGTTGTCATGGAAACCACAAGTTGTCTAGTGTATTTCATTCACATATGGAAACTGCAACCTTTGGGAAACCTCTGGAAACAGGCCCTTGGACCATCTTTTGTTTTGTTATGGAAGTCAGAGGCTAAGTAGTCTGTCTGTGCAATACTTCCTGCGATGCTTGTATGGGGAAACCCTAGAAACTCTATGTAAACCACTTTTTAAGATCATTTTCATACAATCACCTAACTTTTAAGAGGGGGTCAGGGAATTGAAATTGGTAGGATCTGTATTCATTAGCCCCTTATCAAAACATTTTTTTTTTGGGGGGGGGGGGGTGGTGGTCCTGGACTCAGATTTACTGAAAACGCGGAAGTATTCGCAGTAAATTATTTGTTCATGGATTCAGCGCTAAGATCGGCAAGCACAAATTTTAGAACTTGCGAAAAATATGAGCATGACTTCTTATCAGTGTTTTGAAAGTACTGACCAGTCGCTCAGCGTGAAAATTAATCACTCGAAAATAACAGCGTTTACAGTAGACCCATGTGTCCCGAGTACGTGGTAGTGTTGGGCCTTCAATACAACCTGCCTGACAGTCGGAACGAGGCTGCATCTCGGTAGTTTCAGACTGAGCGGCATACTTTGTGCCAGGTCAAAATGAATCACTTCCTACCCTTTCCCCGCAAATTCACAGAACGTGACTCACGACGGGAGAATTACCTGACACCCTCTCTGAAATTTGTCTTTCTTTATTCATCAGGTTTAAAAATTGAAGTAATCGCCTGAATCGAATCCTGTTTAGAAATGAGCGGTCTGGAGCGAATCCAGACCTGTGTTGAATAATGAGGTTATTAGGCATATACATGTATGTAGGTGAATAAAGAAGAAGTTATATGAAGGGAAAAGAGAGTACTTTGGACTGGTAATATTAGATAAATGCTGCATTTTCATTGAGCTTTAGAAAGGGGTAATGCCCTCTCCCTCTCTCCATCTCACTAAATTTCATGCATGAGACAGCTTGAGTCCTGTATTCCTAGCTTCTTCTAAACACAGCACATGGTTTTATAGTCTGTCCTGTTCTCTCTCTCTCTTCAGAGTATTTCTCTCCAAGGTTATTTGATCCGTTGGGATCTCGTAGAGGGGATATCAGTCTAAGTGTAGTGATTTCCATGCCCGGCTCTGGCAGGGGAAGACATGCATACAGTCATATCCTGGCAGAAAGTGGCTCTGACTGAAACCGGGTTCAGCCCAGTTTCTGGTGGGTGCTAGTCTGTCCCCCAGACCCACCTATCCAGGGGTGCCCCAGGGATTCGTACTTCCTCCTGTGCTTATCGCACAATGTTGTGATCTTGTAGTGACACTTGACACCCTTTCCTTGCGCTTGCTATAAATTTGCTTTCTGTACAATACAATAATATACTGCGATGAACAGCCTTTGTATTAACCCCAGAATCTTATGGGGGGGGGGGGGGGGCAAAATCTACCCCCTGGACATGAGCTGTAATTGCTCAAAGATGATTCCCCCCCCTTTTTATGCAGCGAGCTTTCTTTGCTTTCTGGTCTGAGTCTTCAGTCTTGTATTATCTTTGGAATTAGGAGCTGTCCTATCTGGATGTATGTGCCAGATGTCAGATTATTCTTTCATTCCACGATCAAGAAGCTTGTCTGAGAGGGCACCAAAACAATCTCGCCTGTTTGGGGTTAATCAACATAAGAATTGCTTTTTTCTTCAGTTCAAGAACTTTTGAGTGGATGCATCTCTCATTCTTAATCTTGTGAATGATTTTTATTACAATTTACGAAGAAATTTGCAATTTGTTTACCTGTAACCAGATTGTCAGCGCATATTTAAAGGGACATCAACTGATTCAGTTCATTCTTGTTATCCTTTGGATGGTGGCAACCATCCAAAACAACAAAGTACTTCAATAACACAGACTGGTGGAACTTGATGTAGGAATTCCTACCAAAATCTGTTTGATGAATGCCTTACCAAGACAAATAGAGATGTCAAAAAAGGATTGTTTTAAATTAACACATACATGCAGATTGTTAAACGATGTTATTAACTCAAATGTTTCAATCTTCATTTCCTCTTGTCTTTTTCTTCTAGGATATCACATTATCAGAAGTACTAGAAGAAGACGATGTATTACAAGAATGCAAAGGACAGAACAGGAAACTGATAGACTTGTAAGTACATTCCAAGGCAATGGTTAAAGATACACATGCACAAGCATAAACCACTTTAGGTCCGAGAAGCTCAAGTAGTGTTCTGAAACCATAATTGAATCGGGGGCCGGTTCCTTCCGATTTTACAAAAATCGGACAAGAGATTTTGATCGCCTATCAATGATAAATTATCGGAAGATCGAATGACAATGGGAAGATATAAAGTGCTTAAATTTGACAAAATGTGGGCAATCAAACACTTAAAAATACTCAAAAACATGCATACATGGGATTATTTTGATATTCAGAGTTGTTGTGACAACTTAGAGAGGAAAATAGAGGGATTTCCCCTTTTTTTTGTGAAAATCAGAGTAGAGTTCTAGCCTCTTGAAACACTTTTGCCTCAATAGCAATGAAAATGAAAATATGCTTATGGGCAAGCTAATGGAAATAAGGCACTACTTTTGAACAATGTGGTGACACGACATGACATGACAGCTGACAAATCATTAGTGAATGCTCACAATAAGCTCCGTCCCGTTATACCATTTTCGTACGATACTATTCCAGATTAGAGTGGGGCCCTCATGATGCTCAAACAGGCATTTCGCTGAATGACATTCGGACTAGGAAAAAAGTACTTAAACTGTATGATATAACTATACAAGACTCGTTTAGCTATTCGAAAAATGCTGGTAGTCTGAATGTAGGGTTACTGTGTCTTTTGAAATGACTCAGAGCTATATAATGTTTTTTTAATGAGACTTGAGTCATGAGTTATTGCATAATAATTCTCAAGTTATTGCGTAATAATTCTCGAGTTGTTCCTCGTGAATGCAATTGAGGTGCTTTCGTGGAATTACCTGTGGTTAGAGACTGTTGCGCAATGCTAATTATTATGTTTGGTTATGCTGTTGGCTTATGAGCTTAGGTTGTGTAACAAATGTTTGGGATGTAACGCAGTGCATTCAAATACTAGTTTTTTTTTATGTAGGATTAATAATATCCCTAATTAATGGGTTAATGATTTGTTTTGTAGAAATTAGGTCAGGAAACAGAACTTCAATTGTTCTGACTATTTCATGATATAAACAAGGAAGTTATGTCAATTGTGACAAGTGATGACGTTTCCTTCTTCAAGTGTGTGTATACATTACAGTTTATGTATCATGTATCTACTAATCGAAATGATGTAGGTTTTATGGGTGGTATTCTCATAAGTTAAAGAGAAGGTTGAGTTCTGGGAAGAGGTGAAAAAATAATTTGTGAGCGTTATCATTCTTATAATGCAAGTGTGGAAGAACATCAGATAAGACATGTTCCCTGAAAAGCATGGCTCTTCAAATGCCTTCATATTCTAAATATGTCATGTAACATCGTAAAAATCGGGGGGTAGGATTTTTACGCCACGTGTTCGTGTAGTCCCGTATACATCTTTCTGTGTACAGTGTTTGTAACTTTACCAAGACTTGGCCAAATTTCTTATCATTTTGATGATTCCAGAACCTTGCAATACACACAAATTCTTATATGCTAGATGATCAACCTTTTCTGGTTGATTTCACACCGTTTCTTTCACAATGCAATCGCATGACCAGAACTCAACTTAATCTTTAAGCTGGGACTAAGTCCAGACAAAACAAGAATTTTAGTTCACACTTCTATGGAATGCTAGGTTTCATCTTCCTCGTTCAATATTCATGACAAAGATAATCTACAAAATGTACCAAAGACTTTGTTGAAATTCAGTTCATACTCATATTATCTTTTTCTTCTCATTTCATTGCAAAATTAATTTTTGGACACTTTTCAATCAAGGATTAAAATAATCCGTACAGGGTAAATGAGTTTGCAACAGGCACTCCATAAAAGTGTGGACTAACTTTAATAGTACACGCTAACTTAGTACGCGCTACCGGAATACAGGATTTTAAAGGAACAGTTTGAGCACACTGGATACAAGGTTTAATGTTGTTGTTGTTGTTGTTGCCTGACCAGAATTTGATGATCTTTTTAAGGGCATCATTTAACTATGTTAAATCGGAGATGCACAGCTTTACGTGTTATCAGTGTCTGTGATATGGTGTAATATTGGAGCCCTAAAAAATTGCACTTCAAAATGATCATGAAGTGCCTCAAATAAGTAAAAAATCTTTGAGTGATTGGTTTTACCATACTCATTTTACCCAATAGACTGAAGCGTTGTAAAAACTGTTAGGAAAACGAAAAATTAAATTTTAATTTCCAATTATAAATATCTTTATAATCAGACAGGCGATCGGCTTGTAAAAGTCATGGGATTCCTGACTGACCTGAAGGTTTATAAGTATGATTGCAGCATGAGCTAAAATCCAGGATTTTGTTTCAGAAGCTGAGGAAATGTTACAGAGTCACTTTAAACTGAACCTACCGACCACTACAGCAGTTCCCATTGATCATGCCATCTCATTAATTCTCTGTTCTATTTAAACTGAACCTACCGATTACATCATGCCATCTCATTAATTCTCTATTCTATTTGCAGCCTGGTGAGGACAGATGTGATAGAGGAGTTAGTGAACTTGATAACGAGCGAGCCGTCCCAAGACCTCCATGAGTCTGTACAGTACAAGAACCCCAACATGGCCTGCGAGCTCCTCACGTCCGACGTGGCCGCTATATGCGACAAGCTAGCAGACACAGAAGTGAGTCATCCCGTCATGTTAACCCTTTCGACACCATCAATGTGTCTTACTAAATGGAGACCCAAAAAGAAACGTGTTAAAATAAAACCATGTATTGGTCATTAGTTATAATGTACATGTAGTCCCCCATGGTTTCTTGAACTAGTTGCATTGGTAAGATAATGTCATTGTATGGGTTGAACCGTCGAGACTATAATGCTATGTTTTCTTTTGAATGAAACTTGAAGGAACAGGAACAGAGAGTCGAGTTGAAGTCCTCCAAATGAAGTTTATCTAAGTTGTCCTACAGCAGATTCTATAATGCAGTTAATTTGAATGCATGAGCATTGGTACATAATTGTAAGCTAATTGTATTTGGATCCATGGTAATGAGTCAATTCCATTGTTCATACATTTTAAGAAATTAAACATTTAGAGTCAAAATATGGACTAAACAAACAACATCACAACCATTCTTGATATTGCCTGTTGATAAATGTTAATAGCTATGACACTTTATTGACATGGCTGTGTTTTTGAACACTTTTCTGTTTGTTTTAATGTTTACTTCTTGTAAAAGCAAGTTTTCGGACTTCGACCTTGCAATTATATATACAAATGACATCCATAACATGGCACTACTTTTATTCACCCAATGGGCCAATACATTTCGAAACATAACGTGCAATGTCTCTTTATTTCCCAACAGACGGCTTTCACCAGTCTATGGAAGTTCCTAGACAGGCCGGCCCCCCTCAACCCCCTCCTAGCCAGTTTCTTCAGCAAGACGATAGGGTCGTTGCTATCGAGGAGACCCGAGGTCGTCGTCGAGTTCATCAAGGGCAGGGAGGACTGCATAGGCCTACTCCTCTCCCATCTAGAAGTCTCCGCTATCATGGACCTCATCCTTAGGCTAATCACATGCATCGAGTCCCCAGAAATTAGGATAGCATTCCTCAATGTAAGTTTTTGCGTCCTTGCGATTCATTCGTGTCTATTCCTTTCACTGCAAATTGTAGATGTTACAGTCAAACCTGCTTTAGCGATCACCTGTATTGAAAGACCACCCGACTGACCTGAAAACAACTTGTATCAATTTTTATAAGGATTCCCTGTGTTACTATTTCATCAAAAATTGCCACCAAAATGAATCTTTTTTAAAGAACTCAAGACCACAAACTTTGTTGGTATGTTGCAATTCTTATACACATTGCAATATTAGATAACAGAAAACACTGATATGAAGGTCTAATACATATTGAATCGCTTTTGCAAGTTGTCAGATTTAATCCAATCAATCAGTAGGGCTTTGGGGGAAGTCCCCCATTTAGCAGCAAGGACCGTCTAGTAATCAAAGGCACTATCATCTTGACGTCTCTACACTGTGACGTAATAGTTTTATATTTAGTCTTGACCTCTACCTCCCAGTCATTTTGATTTTGGGTGGGGCTGCCTTCAGGAGTGACAATATGATCTAGGTCGACAAGGTTCTTGATCCGAAACTGAAGAATTTGCAACTGGAATGTAAACTGTTCAACAAGAAAGCAGTGCTTGGAGTGTTCTAGTTACTGTGGACTCTGAAGAGATGTTTTTGTGATAAGATAAAAGCGATACATTACAGAACAAACCTATATAATAGATTCATTGAGCAACATGTTTCTGCTACAAAAGTCTTGTTTCTTGCATACTTGTGTGTCTTATTGTAGCCTAAAGGCTTCGTTCGTTCGTGTCTCCTTAGATCAAGATTAATGTAATCTTGATCTTCGGAGTAGTTGCTACAACCGGCCGTGTCAGACACGTTGCCCCGGGGTGCGAGATAGGACTCTTGTAGCGTGCCCCCATTTAAAACAATTATACAATAACAGTTAACATTACATTTAATTAATAGTATGAAACTATCAAAATTACTCTCATGTTACGGGAAAAAATATTGCATATATATTATGAATCAATTGATTTGGTCGATCCAGTTCGATGGCACAAACACGTACGGCACTACTGGACAGAGATCCTAATAATTACAGAGCTTGGTCTTGTTGCTCTGTTCGCCAGATAGCTTGGACAGTATATCATGATTCAAAATGTTTAACAATGATATAGATTCTAATAAATGCTGTCTATTGTGTCTCCAAATAATATTATTAAAGATCCTGAGAAATCCTACAAATGTTGCTTGACATTTGTAGGATTGCATTACTCAATTTGTAGGGCTTGTGCTCCAGCGACAATTGCTCCGTGTTTGTTTGCCTACTCTGATCAAATTTGTAACTGACCCATAGACCCAACACTATTCTTGAAGATAAAGACCAGTTATGGTCATGCGATTGCATTGTGAAAGAAACGTGGAATCGATCAGAAAAGGTTGATCATCTAGCATATAAGTATTGGTGTGTACTGCAAGGTTCTGGAATCATCAAAATTATAAGAAATTTGTCTCGGTCTTCGTAAAGTTACAAGCATTGTACACGGAAAGATGTATATGGGACTACGGCGTGACACGTGCGTTTATCTCTCACACATCAATAGATAATCTAATTTACCAAATATATCAATTAGTAGGCGGTTTCCCGGCAAAATTTTTATCATCATGTATTAGTCAAAACATATTCTTTCACGTGATTGGTAATAAGAGCTTCCATTTCATTTTTTGAAATTGGGGTGTTTCCAATACTGGTTTTTACCTTTAATCCTAATGCTAACCTAATACCTAGGCAGGACCCTTACTCTTAAATGTGTTTGACAAAATATAGTTCAGAGCAAATGTTGCCATGGCAAACATCAAATAACCATTATTCAGGGATGTGAGAGTTCCGCGTTTCCGCGAATTTCCGCGTTTTTAGATCGCCCCGTCGCGTTTTTATTTTCTCCATTGAAAAAATCCGCGTTTTGCCCCAAGACAACTTATTACTTTAAGGGTCTGCGAATGCGAGACTAATACAAAAGCAAAAGCGCGCGCGCGCGCCTGCTTCAAAGATAGTACAGCGCCTGCATCGAGTATTGCTAGCTCAGCGCGCCGCGTGCGCCGGGCGTACCGTGCATTTCGATCGCTATACTATCTACGGTACGGTGTTTGCATTGATTCACATGTCTTCGTGCAGTGTGCTATTGATTTTTGTTACGATATTTCAATCAGAATCGGCGTTCTCTTTTGGAAATATGTATTACTTTCAAAGAAAATCTGTGAAATATGAGACAACATGGCAACTCGAGATCGGAATTTTATTGAGCGAGGAACGAAATTGGACTCGGAATCATTGGAGGAAGATAAGCGGGATCCACTGGTTAAAAATCCATGGAAATGGTCTTGGATGGACTTCACGCACAAAGATCAAAAACTTTCTCACTCTTTCCGTCTTGTAAAAAAAGCTGGCTACGCCGTGTGCGTAGTGTGTGATAAGGAGTGCAAATATGGTTCTCGTGGACGAGTTTCATTGACTGATCATTTGGACTCTGTTGCACACCAAAAAGTTTTGAAACTGAGAGCAGCAAATACTTTACTTCCAGGTGAGTTTACAATTGTATTTTAGAAATTAGAATCGCGGACCCCTCAAAATCCTTTAACTGATCAAATTGTTTTCTTGTGTGTGTGTGTGTTTTTTGTTGTTGTTTGTTTGTGCTGTAGGCCTATGCATTTTTATAATTATACTGGAAAGTTTTATTAATAAGACTGGTACATTCAAGTTACATGTGTCAAATCATGTCATTTGAATGGCATCAGTGATTTTGCTGGCCAGTGCCTAGGGGGGTGTTATGCTGCCCAAATTTTCATGTGATGGGTGTGTGTGTGTGTGTGTGGGCAGGAATTTGATTTGTTCATTTCTACATATAAATGTTGGCATATATTGTCATGCATTATTTCGTACAGAACATACTTATTTTCAAAGAATTTGGGGTGAGTACAGTGATACTTGGGCAGGTGCATGTATATGAATGTAACCTTGTTCATGAGTTTGCCTTTTTTGTATTTATTCATTTATTTATATATTTTTTTTTTGTTTGTCTTGTAGGTCAAAAACAACCAATGACTACTACATCAACATATGGAATTCACCCCATGTTCAAAAAACAATTGGATAAGCATGAACAACAGTTGAAAGGTGGACTCTCTGAGCCAAATGTGTCATTGCCCGACAGACAGGCATATGCAGAAGCAACCATACTTGCGTTTACAGCTGAACATTCCCTGCCATTTTCAATCGTGAATGATCTTATTCATCTTAACCAAGAACTTGCCAAAGATAAACAAGTGCTCGAAAATTTATCAATGGACAGAACTACAGCTTCGTATAAGATGACCCATGGATTATCAAAAACATTTCATGAAGAACTCATTGAGGATTTGAAATCCTCTCACTTCTCACTGAATATTGATGAATGCACAAGTGAGACAAATCAACGCGTTGTAACTGTCCTAGTCAGTTATTTTTCAGAGAAGGAGAACAAAGTAGTCACAAAACATCTGTCATCTTTTAAAGTAGTGACCGTAAACAGCGAGACTCTGTACAATCATTTAGTAGCTCTATTTGATAAGTATTCCCTTAAATGGGAGAACTTGGTTTCTATTTTGATGGACTCTTGTGCCGTCATGCGCGGTTCAAAAAGTGGACTTGAAACACGCATTAGAAGTAAGAAAGCTCCTCAGTTGCTTGACATAGATGGAGACTCATGCCACCACGCACATAATGCTGCAAAAGCCTTCTGCCATGGATTTGATAACTACATCGAGGGACTTCTCAATGACATCTATACTGATTTCAAGTGGTCCAGTGACCAAAAAGAGGTCTTGCGTTTCATCTGTGATGCACTGGGCATCAAAGCAACAATTCCAGAGCGATATGTGCCCCATAGGTGGCTTTCTGTATACGATGTTTGTGTAGATACATCTCGATTGCTAGATGCTCTGATACTTTTTTACTATCCCTTTTTGTCTGGATCAGACAGTTCAACTTATCTCCCAGTTGTTGATAGCATGTATCAAAAACATTCAATCAGTGAATCAGTAAAGAAGGAAATCTGTAAACATCAGTCTAAAATGTCAAATAAGACAAAAACAATGACCCAGGCTGGAAAAGACCGTAAGAAGAGGATTGTGAAGAAGCTGTTCCATACCCCGAGTAAAACCAAAGTACTTCTCCACATTTACACCTCCATTCTTCCTATGCTCAAGAAGTATGTCCTGTATTTTCAGTCTGTGACACCACTTGTCCACAAACTCAATGACAAACAGCAGGATTTACTGAAGGACTTTCTTGTATGTTTCATTAAACCTGAAATCTTGAACACACAAGCCTTGCATAAAGTAAATGTGAGTGAGGAGAACATACTACCTGACAATGCGGTGTTCCTCGTCAGGTACATCAAGGAGAATTTACAGGGACCTGCTGCAAGTGAACTAGTGAACAAGCTAAAGACTGCATATCTGAAATGTGGTCAAACCTTACAGAGAAAGATGCCAGTGAACAACAAACTGCTGAGGTGTGCTTCAGCTATTGATCCAGCATGTAGAGGCCACACAATCACACTCCAGCGCTTACTCCAGCTACCACAATTAGTGGCATTTGCTCTGAAAGATGTGCAAACTCATGAATATGAGAAGGAAGCAAGGCAGTATAATACAGACAAAGAAATTGTTAATACAGAAGAGAGAATAGACATATTCTGGAGTTCATTACGAGAGAAATATCCAGTTATGACAAGAGTGGCACTGGCACTGGTTAGTTGCTTTCATGGACCACAGGTGGAGTCATCTTTCAGTATAATGGGGAATGTTCTAAACACTGAAAGGCCCAACTTGCACATTGAAACATTTTCATCCATACAAACAGTGAAGTATGAGTTAACAGCAAGTGGAAAATCAGGAATCAGATATTTCAGAAGAAAAAATTACCTGAAAGATCAGGTAAATCCCAAACTCTGCAAGAATATGAGATCAGCATACAAGTCATATGTACAGGAAAAGGAACACAAGTCTGGAATGTCACAAACTGTACCCAGAAAGTCTGCTTGTCCTTCAAAGAAACAAACTAAGGAGAAAGCAATTGAAGATGCTGACAAGGCACGGGTGGAGCACACACATAAACTGATGAAGAAAGTGGAGAAAAGGAAATCTGAAATGCATGAACTACCTTCTAGTAGCAAAAAAGTACTGAAAAAAAAATGACTGGAGTAAAGAACTAGCAAATGAGAAATACTTAGAGCATCAAATACTTAACTTTAGGTACGTTAATCATTTTTTATTGTAGACCATAATAGAAGATGTTTCTGGATTTGGTATCATATGGAATGGTGAAGAAATTTAGTAAATGATGCTCTATGTACTCTATTATGTATATTGTAAATAATATGGAAAATTAAATGTTTAAAACATTGTAAAATTATAATCTTACCCCTATGAAATAGTGTTTTCTCTACATTTTAAAATGCAAAAACCTCTGGTTTCGGGGGGCTTTGCCCCCTCGACCCCCATTAGGGGCTTTGTTCCTGGACCCCCAGCCATTGGGTATGAGTCTGCTCGCTACGCTTTGCAAATCTCCTCTTTTTTTAGTTTGCTGCACTCACATCCCTGATTATTACATAGCTCTCACAGCAACCATACCCCATACCTGCCAACCCTTCTGAATAATCCAGAATATTCAGATTTTCCGGATTTTTAGAACCTGAAAAAGAATATTCTGATTTTTCACGATTTGAGAGTTCACGTAGTGCGTGCGTTGAAAGGCTGCATGATCGATCAGCGAATTTGTATTCGCTACAGATTTACCCGTTTTGCCAGTTACACTGCTGCTGCAAGTGCAATTTCTTAATTTTGAAGGCATACCATGCTAAAACTTCCTAATTCTTATTTTTAAATGTTGGCAGGTATGCAATACCTAAATATTCCTTTTTTTCTCTTTCTCATTATTTTTTGTCATCACAGTGGTTAAATGATCAAAGGTTCATCCAAAGACTAGTAGACCTCATAGACACCGAGCAGTCAGAGGACACACATAGCAACGCAGCACAGACCTTGTGCGATATCGTCAGGCTCACTAGGGAACACATGTCACAATTACAAGAATGTGCCGATAACGATCCTTTACTCACAACAATAGAAATGTAAGTAGTCCTTCATATTACCCACTTCCAAGTGGTGGTGAGCAATTATTGTTCCCTGCAGCTTCGAGTGAATCTGATAACTTTATCATAGTTACTGTTGAGTTTTTAACTTGAAAACCCTTACATATAGCGTCATTATCACCTAGTTTCATTATCTTTACAAATCTTTCTTTATTGTTCAAATTTTTGGTTTGTTATCTTGCAAGGAAGAAACGGTATCAGAGTTACTAGATCACATGTTCAACGGTACAATGTGTCCTTCTCTTATTCTAATTGAGAGGCCTTTTCTACTCAAATGAGTTGGTATTTTGCACATTGTCATTGTATCTATTACTATTGTTTTATTGGTTCGTTATCTTGCAGGGAAGAAACGGTGTCAGAGTTACTAGACCACATGTTCAAGGGTAACGAAATAACAAAATGATTTGTTATTTTGCATATCTTCATCGTAGTCATAACTATTGTTTTATTGGTTCGTTATCTTGCAGGGAAGAAACAGTATCAGAGTTACTAGATCACATGTTCAAGGGTACGATAACAGAGTCAGCAATAGTCAACGGTATTTCAATTTTACTTTCATTATTGGAGTTCAGGAAACAAGGGTGAGTACTTCTCAGTTAATCTTCATGTAGAGAATAACTGTTACAGTGAAACCTGCTTCAGCGACCACCTGTTCTATAAAGACCACAAGTTTTATTTCCCTTCAATAGACTTTGCCACTGATACATGTGTTACAGAAACTTGTACATAAAGACCATCGCCCATTTAGACCACTTTTATTGTCTCCCTTGAGAGGTCTTTATAGACAGGTTTCTCTGTATTTTAAGCTACTTACCATTCTAATCAAATACCCAACAAGATACTCACAAACAAAGCTCAAGAATATTTATTGTACGGTAGTATAATAGGTTGCGTGCGTGGTAAAGTTTGATTACAATTATTTGGCTGGCACTAAGTGTACATGCATATTTAATTTACTTATGGGTCCAAAATGACTAACCATCGAATACTGCCCTATGGATAGTTGTCTAATTTAAAAGCAATTTTGTATGTTTATTATTATTTTTTGTTTTGTGAGCTGCCTTGGTATCAACTTTTTAGATAATTCAAATGTCCTCTGAAGTTCATATGTATTTTCTCTTTGATTCTACCAGGGCTGCATGGGCGCTGTCCTTTGGTCCAGACGGTCAAGAACAGATGACCCAGCTGGACGCGGAGAGGTTAGCTAGGGGGGTCAGCGGTACACTCAAAGCAGTCGTCAGTAGATTAGCAGATATGCAGCAGTTATTAGAAGACCCGCCTGGGGTAAGAGATTCAACGTGGTCTCAGAAATAAAACAATTTAAGACGGGTTTAAACAAACAAAATGGTAAATGTCTCGTATGGTCCAGATTTCTGAAAGATTTATGCCTTGAAAGTTCAATCATGGATGCTGAAGACGTTTAAGATCCACAATTTAAGACAACAAAATAGTAAATGTTGCGTATGGTCCATATTTCCGAAAGGGTTTATGCCTTGAAAATTCATGAATCGTAGATGGGGAAGAGGTTAGCTAGGGGGTTCAGCAGTATACTGAAAGCAGTCGTTGGTTGGCAGATATGTATCAGTTAGACGACCCTCCTTGGGGAGACAACTCAACAAATTAAGACAACAAAATAGTAAATGATGTGTATGGTCCAGATTCTTGAAAGGTATATGCCTGAAAAAAAGAAAGATTTATAGATAGGGAAGAGGTGAGCTAAGGGGGTCAGTGGTACATTCAAAGTAGTCGTCAGTAGGTTACGAGATATGCAACAGTTTTGAGATATTTCTGCTGGGGTAACTTAGCTATACTTCATCGCTGTCGGAGAGATTCTGGGAATGTTATCGTACTGTTAGGGATCTGTTTTATGGTTCAGTGAAATACTGTAAAACAAGAACTTGCACAAAACTTTTTTGAATCTTGTTTGTGGTCCAGGGCCCTGTTTCATAAAACTTATTATCAATATCAAATGCCATGATTTCAGTAGCTTATAACATTTATTGTAACTTGTTAATTGAAAACGAGTTTTAATGAAACAGGGCCCTGATTTGCATAAGTTTTATTCCTAAAACAACTCCCACCACTTATTTGTGAACAGCTTCATTTGGTGAAAATGCCCGATGTTTCCATATTGTTAAACATTTCATGTCAAAATTGTTTTGGCTTTAGTGTAAGAAAAATAATAAAAACGGTGCTTATAAAGCGCTTTCCGCTGAAGTCTCTAAGTGCTAAGGTCCATTATGTTACAGGCAGCTAGATGACTTAAGTTCTTATAAGTTTTAATTGTGATTGCCAAATGAACAGAGAACATTAGCACTCTACTGAATGTTTAGCTCAAATTTTGCATTTTTTTATAATTTTAAAAATATTTTTGAACAATCAACTCCAGAAAGAGGTTGTTAATAATTTGCATATCTGTTATTATTGTTGCTGTCATTGTTGAATCTCATATTAACATTTTCCTTTTTGTTCTTACAGAGAAAAGAAATGTCAACGACAGTAGGCAAACTGGAGCCACCCCTTGGTAATGTTAGGTTACAAATCAGCAAATTAGTCTCATCGCTACTCATCACTAATACAGCTGCTATCAATGCTGAACTGGCAAGACTAGGCACCATCAAGAAATTAGTCGTAAGTTCAGTTTTTTTCTCCGTATACATTTACTTTGGGGAATGTCCAAGGTATTTGGCTATTCGGTGTCCAAATAAATTACCAAGCTTGTAGGAGTTTATAAACATAAGTTGTATTTAAATTTGTCACTTTGTTTTACATTTGGTCTGGGACCTGTTTCACAAAGCCCTTTTTCAATGACAAATGACAAAAATCGGTGACAAATCTGCTGATAACCAATCAGAAGCAATCACTTTTTTATAACAAAACTGTCATTTGTCACTGATGACAAGTTTTGTGAAATGGGGCCCTGATGTACTTGTAGACTTATGTGCTACATGATCACAGGTTTCTTTCACAACGCAATCCCATGAGCAGAACTCAACTTTCATCTTTAAAGCTAATCTTGAGCTCTGGTATGGGCATAGTATGTCAAGAAAACATGGCTATAATTCATTCTGGATCGTTTATCCTGCAGTAGATTGATTGTTTGAACCAGTAAAATAAAACAACCTCACAAACACTTGCTCAAAATCATCTTTAATAAAAACCACAGCTCTCACCTGCACTTATTGACCTGTGTTAATTACATGGTGTAGGACCGACTTACCCAGATCTCCTTATTTTTCTATGCTCATTACTCAGCCCCTATACATCTTCTACAGAAATCGTTTGGGAATTGTCATTCATTTTCAATCTTGAACATTCGGTGTAAGTTTTGTTGGATTCTGTGAGAATAATTTTCTATCACTACCAGAACTCAAAGCTTATCTTTAAACAGCCAAAACAAAATACAGTATTAAAGCCACACTGTACTACTTGTAGCTACTTGCTCCCTCTATATAGAAACAATGCCTTATCGGTGACCATTGGTCCCCTATGATCCTCTTTTTCTTATGTTAATTGAGAGCTGAGTTGATGAGATAACCACCTGTCCAGTGACCTTGCAGGGTGGTCTAATCCCTCCTATAAGCTAGTACAGATGAGCTGTAAACAGCCTCAAAAATAAAGTATTAATGTATCTCTCAATCTCTCTCCCCTCTCTCTCTTTTCCTCCCCAGGATCTCTTCTTAACGTATGCATGGAATAACTTTTTACACTTAGAGGTGGAGAAGTCAATTAGTACAATTCTTTCCAACAACCCCACAGAGTCAGAAGAAGGCAAGACGCAACATCCGCTCCTAGTACATGTGAGTAGTCTCCTCGGCAGCCTTTCACAAAACCTTCTCAAGTATAAGTTCGCCAACAACTCATGGAAACATGTATATTAAACCTAACACGCTAGTGCACCTGAGTAGTCTCCTGGGCAGGGTTTCACAAAACCTTCTCAAGTACAAGTTTGCCGACAACTCATTGAAACATGTATATTAAACCTAACACGCTAGTGCACCTGAGTAGTCTCCTGGGCAGGGTTTCACAAAACCTTCTCAAGTACAAGTTTGCCGACAACTCATTGAAACATGTGTTTTGAAGTACAAGTTCGCCAACAACTCATTGAAACATGTATATTGAACCTAACACGTGTCTGAATGGGATGTCAGTGAACTTGTACTTATGACGGTTTCGTGAAACAGATCCCTGGTTCAATACCACTTTTTTAGTAATGCCCCAAGCACTCTACAAATCTGTGACTGATTTGTAGAGTGCTTGGGGCATTACTATGAAAGTGGTACTGAGCATGCATCCTGTGCAAGTTCACGTCTCTTTTATTTGTGTACCATCGCACAAGCATCAGCAAAACTCGTTATCAAAAACAACTGCCACGGATCTATGTCAAATCTGCTCACATCCAATCCAATAGCAGTAGTTTATGACAGTTATCGTAACTTGTTATTGATCAATAGTTCCGTGAAACAGGGCCCTGGTTTTCTTTCAAATTAGCCTTACATTGTATTTGACCTTAGCTGCACTATAGGCCTGCCTGCCTGCCTGCCTGCCTGCCTGTCTTCATCAGCTCGAGTTTGGCTGGTTTAACTATCCTGATCGCAAATTGCAATTGGCAGGATGTTTGGTTGAGAAAAAATATCCCAAGAAACGTTTGTCTTCAGGGAATAATTTTCCTGGTATCGCATCGCAATTTGCTATGCATTTTTGCATGACTGCTATACAAAATATTGTTTGTGTAGCAGTTTTCTTCCATAGATATGTACAGAATTTCATTTGAAATATTTATCCATCAGCTGTAATTGCTAATCAAAATATTTGAGGAAAATTATTCCCTGGTCTTGTTTCCAAAATATCCAGCTATTTTGGAAATGGCGGGGCTAATTTGCGCCCGTCTGAGCTAGTTTGTGATGGGCGTATCAGTCTGGTAAAGATGCATTTTTATACGCTTCAAGATTATATCCCTGGTCTGAAAATACCGGGTTATTTGGCAAACTTGAGCTGATGAAGACGGGCCTAATGAGTGATCTAGCAGTACTTCTATGATGATTTGACAGATGAGTGGATTATCTTTCCAAGGATTAATGACTCTTTAGCGCTAACCAATTTCACTTTCAGTTTCGACAAACAACTGTAATAACATTGGAAATGTATAGAGGGGGAAGTGCTTCGTGCTAAAATCTGTTGTGTTATTGTTTTTTTTTCTTGGAAATGTTATGCTATATAACAAATACAATTGTGATAGATAGGTTTTTAAGAGTAGGTTTTGTAAAGCTCGATCCATTGCTATGCTAAAATTAGATTGTTGAAGAGAATAGAGAAGTTTATTAGTGTCGACCATAGCTTGAAATATATAATGCTGCAAATGGTAATTGTTGTGATAATATTTTTATTCTTGGAAATGTGATGCATTATTAAGGTATGATAGATGGGCTTTTAAGTAGCTAGGTTTTGTACAGTCCAATCAATTCCTGTGCAAATATTAGATTGTTCAAATGAATACAGAAGTATATTAGTGTAGACCAGACCTTCTCAACTAGTTTATTAGAAGTGTCAAAACAAAAATTTATTGAGGTTGAAGTGCCAACCGTATGTTTGGTGACTGTGCTGCGAGAGAGCTTGGCGACCGAGACGATATCGGGTGGGGTCCAGGGGGCGAAGCCCCTGGACGCTAGGGGATTTTAGGGCTTTTTTAAGGCCCAGATGTGGCATTTTTAACACCTTTTTCTTCCATAAAACATCAATCATAATTTCATATTGTGATGAAATAATTAGTACAATTCCTGGCTAAAATCTACACTGGAAGATTTTATGTGCTTTTGCAAATTTCACTCGTGGTCCCGCTTTGCTGAAGTTTCCTGCCACCAAAAAAAGTACACCTGGGCCTTATAAGTGTTGCACTTGGTTAGGACCAATAGCAATGTCATATTAAGTTGTATTGATCCCAACTATTTATATGACTGGACCCAGATTTTGCTTTTTGAAGATGTTAATAACCTACACAAGAATTTGATCTATTTTGAGGTAAGGTGATATGTTAACAGCCCCACACGGTTCCCTCATCCACAGCTGTTCACAGAAAGCAAGCTAATTCCCAAAGTGATGGAGGCGTGGGAGGAGAACGACATTCATCAGAAGCAGGGCAGGTCACGGAGAGGTTACATGGGTCACATGACCAGGATAGCCAACGTCCTCACCCAGGAGATGGAGAAAGGTTGCAATAATGAACAGATCAAATCTCTCTATCAAGGTAATAACACTCAGCAAATCTTTTTTAGTCAGGGCCCCGTTTTATAAAGAGTTGCGATTGATCTAAATCAATCGTAAGTCCCCTAATCAATCGCAAGTTTGCAGGCCCCTATCTCTTATGTACATGGTTGTGATTGATATCGATCGCAAATAAGTTGTAATTGATATCAACTCTTTATGAGATGGGCCCAAGGGCATCATAAATACAAGTTCACCGCCATCCCATTGAAACATGTGTCAAACAATTAACACATTGGATAGGACGTCGGTGAACTTGTACTTATGATGGTTTCGTGAAACGATGCCCTGGGCCCTGTCTTACAAAGGTTTGATATCAATCGTAACTTATTTGCGAAACTATGTCCATAAGAGACAGGAGGCTGCAAACTTGCGATTGATTAGAGGACTTGCGATTGATTTGGATCAATCGCAACTCTTTGTAAGACGGGGCCCAGGTCTTAACAAAGTCTGTTAAAGTCTGTTAAAGTCCCAATTACACTGTGCTATGTTGGAATAGTTGGACCTTCAGTTAGCTCGATTATAGTTTTAGAGAACTTTTGAACAAAATTTATTAAGCTAGGTTTGGCTCACAATGTAAGTCATACTGAATATCAAACTTCAAGTATTTCTTCTTTCTTCAAAGTCTTTTGTCTTATAGTTTGAGAGCGAACACATATATTTCACTACTCTCAGTGAAGCATGAGAGAGGCTCTATACTTGATACATTTAATGCGCAAAGATAAACAAGTTTGATTGAGATGTTATATTAGAGTTCAGGTTATGATACTTTATACAACACCTACGTGGATCCTTGTGATTTGATTGGAGGATTGTTGGTCACATGATATTCAATAGATGGTATATTGCACGGTCGTGCATTTTTGGTTATATGCGCCGTGCATTTTTGGTTATATGCAGACTGCGTACCTCTCAGTCGTGCGCGCGCGTATCCCTGCGTGTATCTGACGCGAAGGCAATCTCAATGTAATCGAGAAGGCTTGACTCCAACTTTAATTTATCTTTAATATAAGGAGTAAAGCATAATTTGTTGATTAACGTTCTATTAGATCTTCTTCGATGTTGTATAAAACAAATAATGAATGTTTTTCATTCGTTCAATAGTGCAAATATTTTCATTCGTTGAAAGATTAACGTTAATTCTATTCAACTCGGCTGACGCCTCGTTGAATAGAATGTTAATCTTTCAACTCATGAAAATATTCGCACTATTGAACTCATAACCATTCATTATTTGTATATTATTTGTAGAAAATAATGAGAGAAAGCATGTCAAAGGAATATTCCCTTTCAAAGGGAATATTCAAGCCCAGGCTATTGTACAGAGAGAAAGAACAAAGACGGGATAAACATACAATTGAAAATTACAACGAACGGAGAGGAAAATAACACAATTTATATAGTATCATATTCTGTAGCAATATGGAAGTATCAGTTCATTTTTAATAGTGGTAGCATAATTATTCAATTCCCTCAAATTTTTAAAGATATTATAAATATATTGGAATTTCCATAATTTTTTTATGAGATTGTTTGAAATGATTTGTTTCTCCAAGATTTGTAAAGCACTCTATTTGTTCTGTTCTTTGCAGAATATATCCCTGAAGATGTAAGAGAGAAATGGAGTTCATTTCTAGCTGGCAGTCTAGCAGAAACCAACAAGAGAAATCTAGTTGAATTGGTAAGTCATTGAGCATCAGCTGTTGCTAGAAGAGACCAGTTTACTACGCATTCAAATTGAATGATGAACATTTGTAATGTGTTGCGTCTGTCGAAAGAGACACCCCAGATGCCCCAGACGCTAGAAGCATGCATGAGCGTCTAGCGCACCTAGCGCACCATTCATAGTGGATATATGCGTTATATAGATATCAAATATTATTATTAAAATTAAGTACATTTATTTAAATTCCACCTTGTACAAAGCGTACAAACAAAAAGCTTCGGCAACTGTACAAATTGACCCTGAAATTCACTGTCTTTGTCAATTACCAAAGAACCCTATAGGTACAAGACCGTCTTGATTTGGTGACCTGACGTTGTCTCCGGCGGCAATTGCTCTAGGCATTATTTTGTCAAAGCAATAGGATTAGGACAGGGCCTGACACTTGCGGGTGCCTGGGACACATGTGCACCCAAAATCAAAGTCCAGACCCCCCAAATATAAAATAATACTATTGGGATTATATCTGAAATGCTGGTTTGGAGCTCAGGGACCCTTTTCACAAAGCCTTTTTACAATGAGAAATGACAAAATTCAGTGACAAATCTGCTGAGAGCCCATCAGAAGCAAAGATTCCACTAGCTTATAACAAAAACTGTCATTTGTCACTGATGAAAGTTTTGTGAAATGGGGCCCTGGACTAGGCTTATCAGGAATTTGAGTATAGTGTTTGGCCTTTGTTGAAGTTATGAATTTGGTTTATGTAGGAAACTTATGGTCGGAGCAATATTTGCTAGAGCATGTAATCCTAGACCATTCTATCGTTTTATCACATTCTGTTTGTTCCCCACTTCCAGGTCGGTACCCATCCGCTGCATTCGTCAAGTGAAGACGATGATTCCGACTTCAAGGACATCGACTTTGGCAAAGACACCGCTCTTCAACAGGTGAGTCATCAATCCTTCTCTTTAGTACTCACAGACCGTTTAATAAATACTGGAATGAAATAGAGGTTACAATTGTCCGATTATATCTTCTGAAGGACTCCTTAAAGACGGCCAAAGTCTGATGCGAGATCAAAATGCCCTCTGAGCTTTGTCTCTTTCTATAGATAGACTTTTAAATTAAATTTTAAATTTAAATTTTATTATTAGAATAGTCATTTCTTCGAAAATGTTAGTCGTAGATAAATTGGAGATTCATCACTATTGATTAGTACTTGTAGAAGTTTACAGTTTTTTGTATGATTTTGTATTTCTTAGCCAGTTACAATTATAAAATGAAGCTAAGTATTTTATGTAAGTCCTTATAGTTTTTCAATAAGATAAGAGTTTTGTAGGACGTAAGACACTTTAATTCAAGAAAGAAATCTGATTGTGCTATGGATGAAAATATTATCAGTTTAGTTACTCTTGAAATTGCATCTATTAGAAATGCTTTATATTGTTCTTGGATGCCATGATGTGTGTTAGGGTAGTTATGTTAGGTAGAGGTGACGACCCAATCCTGGGACCTGTTTCACAAAGCCTTTTTTCAATGACAAATGACAAAAATCAGTGACAAATCTGCTGATAACCAATCAGAAGCAAGGATTTCACTAGCTTATATCAAAGACTGTTATTTATCACTGATGACAAGTTTTGTGAAGCGGGCCCCCTGTAGATTATAATGTAGAGTTTGAAATGGCCACGAGGTGCCATGGACAATGCATGCCTGACATGTCACATTCAAAACTCAGCCATGCCCCGTCCGTCCCATCCACCCATCCATCCATCACAACTCAATCAATCACCTCATTCCCGATGCAAACCATTGATATGAATTGATGACTTGTATATTGCTACATCATGTATATACATGTACATCGTTGCTTGCACTCTTTCAATGGGCAATGGACTCCGAATCCACTCATACAAGGGTATTCCCCCCTCCCCCCTCATACAAGGGTATCCCCCTCCTCCCCCTACCCCATCTCCCCTTATAAAGAAGGTTCTTTCCATGCCTTTTTATATGCTGTTGTTCAAGGAAAGATGAGGAATCTAAATTAATGGTCAATTCACACATCCCTAAACATCTTACTTCAATCTTACATTAATCTGCCCCACACCTGTTTTCAGCATCTATTAAAATATATTTATTGAGATAATTGACAGTATGGAAAGGATGTATTTAACCCACTTTCCCAGTGTAACCTTACATGTTTGAGGGGCTAGCAAATTGAATACTGCTTATCGGATGAAGTGATTCCATCCCTTTTCCTGCATTGGCCCCGTTGTTAACACATTGACTGCTGAATTCATTCATTGCCATAGGTTTAATACAGGGGCTGCCTGGTTCCAATAGGGAATGGGTTAATGATATCACAGAGATAGAAACATGTTCATTGCATTAGCTTCAAAGATGAAGATCATGTGCACATCCTAGCTGAACAGTATAGTCATGTCTACTCTTATAAGTATCAGAAAGTATCATTTCAATAGCTTCATTCAAATTAAGAATTCATCGCTAGCTTTTCAATAATCAAACCATCAATACCAATTCATATTACGTTTGACCACCGTTTTGAGAACGAGCCGGTCTTATAGATCGTTCATCACTATTCCTTAGGTGAAAAGTCACTGTCTTGCATCTATTATGTCAGAAGCTATGCTCTATATTCAAGATTTCATCATCATAAAGGGCTTTGGGGAGGGGGGAGAGTAGACCACACTCATAAACAACCTCATTCTCATAATGGGTTGGGGCTGGGGGGGGGGGGGGGGGGGGGGGACGGACGGGGGGCTGGAGGGGGAATGGGGACCATTTGACCACGCCCACATCTCAGAAACTCATTATCATACTGGAATGGGGGAGGGTAAATCATTAGACCATGTCCATATATATAAGACCCATCCTCCATAATTGGGCGGAGAAACCAGTAGACCACGCCCCCTTCGAAGTCATCCCCCTTACCCTCATTTCATCAACTAAAAACACACCCCAACCCCACCCCATATCAAATCCACCACCACCACCACACCCACACCACCACCCATGTGCTAAGAACGATGTAAGCAACACACATGGCATTTCGAACCCTCTCTTTGGCCGCGCTGTATGAACGGCAGGCCTTCTCCGATTATCAGATGCAACAAATGACGTCCCATTTTATTGACCAGTTCGGCTTCAACGACGAAGAGTTTGCAGAGCAAGAGGAGAATGTCAAGTAAGTCCGGACATTTTCCTTGATTCTATTTACATATTCATCTGTTAGTTATTTCGTTGTTTTCTCATGTTGTATTAAACAAATTGCACCTTTGCCTCTCCTCCTGTGCCTTTGCAGTGTCCAGTTAATATGTTTGCGCTTGACGTATTTATTAACCTCTATTGTATTTTAGTGTCATGTTTTTCTGAGCTCCATTTCATAAAGCTTGTTATCAATAAGAAGATACATTGTTACAAGCAACTGACATCCTTACATTTCATTGGTTGTGGGCAGACTGTGCCATATATCTGTGGCAGCTGTTATTGATAACAAGTTTTTATGAAATTGTGCCATTCCCATTTGTGCAAAATATTTATCTTTGATAGGAATGCTGTTTTCAGTCATTTTTTTTAAATTGATTTATTATTATTACTCGTTTATTGTTTTTTTTGGGAAAAAAAATCTGAAGAGCTTGGTTATTAAGTTGACTTTTTTCTTCTAAACTCTGTTAATCTACCTCTGCAATCTCATATTTGCCATAGTTGAATTGTATACATCAGTTTCATCAAACTGCTTTTATATACTTTCCATAACGTCACTTCTGACGTTAAATAACAAAATTCTTCAGAAACGTATGCAAACATAAATTAAGAAATTCTCATTTACAAAACGCAGAGGCAGACGGAAGTGTGTATGAATGGCTTTATTTGCCCTGTTAAAACGTGTTTGCATAATCTTTCAAATTCCTCCAACGTGAACCATTCAATATTTCCATTATTTGTTGCATAACCACTTTTTAAATGTTGAGAAAATATTTTTTGCTTTATTCATATATCTATATTCTGCCCCGTTAAAAAAAAAAATCCTTGTTTTTGTTATATACACGGCCTATGTTTATACTCTTTATAACATTAAAATTATTTTCTACCACTCCTCATGTATTCTCTCGTTTGTGTGTTTGGTGAAAGTAACACTGTCATTTAGTTTCTTTTTTAAAAGAACTCTTCATTTTTTCACTCATTGTATTCTTCTATGTTTCACATGTAACATATTTATCCATGCTTCATTTTGTTCCATCTCCTGCGCTTACAGCCCAGTGTGCAAGGCTTCACATTAACATTGTTATAAAGCTTATCTTCTAAAAGATCGCCTTTTCCTGCTCAAATTGTCTCATACTTTCCTCGTCAATTCTATGCTTTGATAAATTGTAAATTTTCGGAACAAAAAACAATAGTGGAACATAATCTGTTGTCAGCTCCCTATCCTTTTTTTTTAATCACTAGCAGATTTAAAAAAAGTACAAAAATAACATTTTGTATCTTTGTATAAACTACTTTAGGAGGGAGAAGATAAAAACCATTCAATTTTGACGTTTATCAATTGTTATCTGTCATTTATGGTTGATCACATGGCAAATAAAAAGAAAGCCCCCCCCCCCTCCCCCTCATAATTCTCTTAGTTTCGGTTTCTTATGGTCTTGTGAGGGTTTGCCATTCTCATCTTCACTTTAATACAGCTAACTTTTGCAAAATTTATCACATAACCTTCCCCTGCATGATTTTATGTTTGTCAATTCAATGGCTTTAGTTTTGGGAGCGCAATTCTTCATATATTCACTGTTACATGTGTGTTTAATGTTCTGTTTTTGTGCATATAAATTTCTTAAGAAGGATTCTCCAGTAGAAATTTGCATATTTTTAATTGTTATTCTTCAAATACACATCAGGGCTCCTGTTTTGCAGGGAATGCCCAGATTAAAAAAGTTAGGTCTGTGCTAATGGAGCCCATTTTGAAATCTTTTTTTTTTTATTGGGGGGGGGGGGATGGGAGGGGGCCCTTGTCTTAAAACTTAGGGTGTCTTGTTTTGAAAGTTGGGACACCCTTGTTTTAAAATTTAGGGGGTCTTGTTTTGAAATTTGGAGAGCCCTTGTTTTAAAATTGAGAGGGTCTTGTTTTGAAATTTGGGGAGCCTTGTTTTTTAAATTTGGGGGACCCTTGTTTTAAAATTTGGCGGGCCCTTGTGCACCCTGTCAATGTGTGGGTTACGGTAGTCGTTAATGTCGATCTGTGAGTAGAGAATATTACTGACAGTTGACAAGAAAAATCTCAATGTGGGTGGACATACATATTGGTTATTTTGGTTAATCTATCCATATCTGAAACATCCCTTTCAATACAAATCACATGAGCATGACAAGTCCCGTACAATGATTTTAACTGTTTGAGCAATTCCTTCACATTTCACCTTATGCTCTTGAAAAAACTTTAGAGAAAATACGTGAAGATGCTGTATGGAGGTGCCTTTTTGTAAAATAATGAAAGAAACACTAAGACCCCGTTTCATCTTGTGTTTGGTGTTCATACATGTTTTGGTGTTCATGAGTTGCTGTATTTATTCAAACCTTTTTATCTAATTTTCCTGTTGCCAACACCGTGTTTCTTCTTCACCTTCTCAACTTTTTAAACTTGTGTTACTTGTTATCCTGTTACATAGTTCTTGACTGTTGACAGTTGTGAAATCAATTGTTAAAATGCATTGTATTTCTGTACAAAATTGTTTTAAAAAAAACCACCCTCCTCAATGCATGAGGATATCCATTCGTGATGCAGAATGTGCCAAGAGCTAAGAAGACGACGACAAAACAAAACACAAAAAAGCAGGAAAAGGGGGGCAAAGAATGGAAAAGTTTCAGAAGTATTTCTTGCAGTGTCTTTGAGCTTGTAGTTGATTTTATTTATGGGAGGAAGAAAAGTGTCGAAAAGCCTTGAGATGCAATGTTTTGTACAAAGTTATTGTGTATCTCACATTATGAGGTCATCTCTCTTTTCATTGCATTTCATGTTACATTTTCTACAGGTGCAAAATTAGCCTGTTGCAGTTGAAGAAAAGTTCAATATTTTTAAGATGTTACCGATGTTGATTAGGATCGTCAGTATGTCTTGAATTCTGTAGAACTTTGGGGGAGGGATGCGACAAAAAGAAAACATCTACTTATTTTCACTTTTGACCTACTTTTAAGCACTTTCACGATGGCCAAAATACTTGATTATCATGTCAAATTTGTTCCGTTTCAGAGGAGAAAATTATTGAAATTGAAAAAGAATTAAAAAAAAAATCTCTTCCCGTACATCTTGACTTATGTTGAACATTTGGAGAGCTAAGTGACACAAAGTATCTGAATCTACATTTTGTGTCTTCCTTTTAATGTGCAATTTCAAGACTTCAAATTCACTCACAGTTTGATGAGTAGCCAAAAGCATGATAGGCATTCATTGTGTTGAAACCTCTATCTTTTTTTATGTTTAGCGACACAGTTTTATCTCGTTATGCTATTAAACATTTCTTTTTCTCTCTTTCTCCCCTTAGCAATCCATTCGACAGGATATCAGACATCAACTTCTCAATCTCTGCAAATGAAGACAACGTAAGTACTTCAAGATTATTTCCATTTTGGGGAATTTCCCTTCTACTCCCAAGCGTGTATGACGGAACCTGAAGGCTGATGTATCTTTAGCGAGGCTTGGATTTGTGACACAATGATCTAGGCGATTTGTGCTTGTAAACTAAGAGTTTGGGGAAATTCCCTTTCAAGGAAATTGATGCATGAATCGAAATTCATTTAATGACAGGCTCCTGAATTGAAGCTTGGAATTGAACTAGAGTATTAAATTATTCATAGAGCATTAGGCCATACTTTTAATGTTATCAAATTTAGTGCTCCAAATTCTGTAAGTGCCTCGTTAAATGGTTTATGCAATGGTGAGAATGCAATTGCATACATTACGTGTTGTTTGGTAGGACAAGTCTTGAGGTTTTTCCTACCTAGCAACAATTAATGAATGCCTTTTGCATTCTGACTATTGAAATACAATTATTCAAATAAGGTGAATGAAATAATTGGTATTGAGGTGCTTCACGGAGACGTGTGCATCAAATTTGTTTAAATTACGAAAATGGATTAATGAAGCTTAGAATGTAACTAGTGTAATGAATTAATCAATGGAGCATGTGTACTTAATCTCTATTTGATCTTTAATCCCAACAGCCTAACTCAGCCCTATTTGAAGCCTGCTGCAATGAGAGAGTACAACCCTTCAACGACAGTAATAGTGATGAGGAAGATATCTGGGAAGAGAAAGAACTCACGTATACAGCCAACAATGACCTCAGGTCAAGGTAGGTCAACTGGGGTCAACTCTGATCTGTATTGTAAATCATAGGAGTGAGGGAAGTACAACTTTTTGCCAATGTTCATCCAGATTTTTTTCAAAAACATTTGAACTTTCATTTACTTTCTTTATATTCATGTTAAAGTATTGGGTTATATGTGTTATATGTTCATTTTATTTTTGCTCAATTTATTTTGATAGCTTAAATTTATATAAACATGATTTCTTGGAGTTTTGAAATGATAAAGTGATATGCTTTTAATAATTTGGGGTATTTTACCAGTTTTGCGGTTATTTGCGGTGACTGATGATAAAATAGTACAGCATTTAAAGCATTTAGGTGGCATATGTCTTTGAAATTTTGTCAGATCTGTTGGAGCTATTTTTTAAATCATGAGAAATCAAAAACTACCTTTTGATGTGTGATAGCCAAGTCCATTAAGACTTGATAGACAACCTTGAAAATTGGATTTACTGTTCCCTTCTGACAGTGATGTATCATCCAAGAATGAAGGAGGTAGTGACCAGGCCAACCATAGTAGTAGCGACGAGGATGAGGATGGAGATAACACAGTAGAAGAGTTCCCTCCCCTGGAGAGGGCGGCACAGAGCCCTCTAGCGGGTCAGAACGGAGAGGACACCAAGATGGATGTAGACTCAGAAAACAGTGAGATATAGCTTCCATTTGTGTGCATTGGATAATATAAACAAACCGAAACTTTTGTTGCTTTCGCATTCTTAAAAGGATCTCAAGTTTTCTGAGTGGTTCAGATTAGCAAATGTTTTTTAATGTCACAAAGTGATATCACAATTGACACAACACCAATCTAAAAACTTGTTTCTTTCTGTGAAAATCGCTGTACTTAATTTGCGATAGTTTGATGTTGCAAAGTTTGGTTTTACAGTAATACCTTCTTCAGAACTGCAAGGTATTAATTGTTTTCAGTATTTGAACTTGAAGCGTAGAGGAGAATACTGAATGATACAAGATACAACCTTTTAGATATTTGGTTACTCTGTCCTATGGTATTGATTTGAGTAATAATCCTCAACCAATGGAAGTTTTATTTGTATTATGAAAGTCGGCAGCTGTGCAGTTTCTTTGTATATTCAGGACTTAATATTTTGAATACACAAAATTATCATATCACACTTGTGTGAGTATAACTTAAGTACTTTAACTTTGCTTTTATTTTTTGCATATATTACGTAATTCTTTATATGCAAAGTGCCCTATACATTGAGGTAATCACTCTAAAAAAGCAAGCAATTTGGACTTTTGCAAGCACAATGACAATACCCTTTTGATCACAAAGCAGTTTTGTTCATCCTGAGGGTGAACCTACACAAGACTCAATAGCTACTCATTGTGGGCAGGGACAAAATTATTTAAAACATTTTGGGGGCTACTTTCAAGCTTGCTAGCATGAAGATGGCACTCTTTAATTTGTTTTGCATTGAACTCTATGCAACTTGGGGGCTCTTTTATGAATTTCGGGGGCTAATTTTCCCCGATCCCCGTGTATTATTTTCCCTGATTGTGGGTAATTAAAAAAAAAAATGAAAACGATAACAAAAATGATAAACATCGTTTACCAAATTTTTTGTTTTTGTTCGTCACTCCACAGCATGGCAAGCCAACTTTGAGCAAGCTCCTGTTGCCATGGATACGACCCCAAGCGGCTGGGAGCAACCTTCATCGTCGACGGCAACGGCGGGAGGAGGAGACGAGGATACAGGATGGGCCAACTTCAATGAATTCAATGCTAACTTTACACCCGAAGACGGGTAAGCATATCATTTACTGTTACTTGAAGACTAACATTTAATAAAGACATGATGCACTTAACTTGAGGTTTTTACTCTTAAAGGGATCCGGTAACTTTCTCTCAGATTCTGAAAACATATTCTGGATTTAGCTCATTATGCAATGATAATTGTAAACCTTTAGGTCAGTCAGGAACCCCGTGACTTTTACAAGCCGATCGCCGTTCTGATTATCAAGATATTTATGATTGGAATTACAAATTTTGAAAACCGTTCGCCTGACGGTTTTCATAACACTACAGTCTATTGGGGAAAACGAGTATGGTAAAACCGGTCACTCAAAGATTTTTACTTTTTTGAGGCACTTCTTGATCATTTTGAAGCGCAATTTTTTTAGGGCTTCAATATTACATCATATCTCAGACACTGATAACACGTAGGGCCGTGTATCTCAGATTTAACATTGTTAAACGATCCCTTTAAAGTATGCAAAAAAGGTCCTATTTCAAACAGTACATCTTTATTTCTCAAGTTACCAAAAACACAAACACCATTACATTTACAAGTGGTCTAAATAATCCAGTTAACTGTGTACACATGTTGATTGTATTTTTTGTTTTTAACCTAATGTGGAAATAAACTGGAATTGAACTTGAATTGAACATGAATTGATCTTGAATTGAACTTGAATTGAATTTGAATTGAACTTGAATTGAACATGAATAGAACTTGAATTGAACTTGAATTAAACTTTAATTGAACATGAATTGAACTCGAATTGAACATGAATTGAACTTGAATTGAACATAAATGTTAAATTTGACTCCCTAGTTCACATGGACCAAGGAGTAGCTCCCCTGTGGCGATGGAAAGCGAGCCTTCATCACAAGACCTCAAGGAGACAAGCGAAGCAATGGCATCGTCATCTAGTCCCAGCTCAGATGTTCAAAGTTCAACAGATACTGTTAGAAGTTCAGCATATGGTAAGAATGAAATATGAAACATCCATTCGAGCTGGCCGGTAATATTCTAGGATGCCAGTTTTCAGGCTGTTGCCCAATTTTTAGACTCTGCAATTCTCTATCAGGCTTTTTTTCAAGTTTTATGCTGTACAAAGTCAACACATACAAAGCTCCATAATGTTAAGGGCCCCGTCTCATAAAGAGTTCCAATTGATCCAAATCAATCGCGAATTTGCTGTCTCCTATCTCTTATGTACATAGTTGAGATTGATATCAAACGCAATTAAGTTGCGATTAATATCAACTCTTTTTAAGGCAGGTCCCAGATATCTTTCCAGGCTTATCGGGTAAAAGCAAGCAAGTATCTCTGAATAGTTTTGTGCCTCTGGCTGCCAGCGTTGGTACCGATGGAATTATCAGTTTGCATTGAACTAGAAACAGGGTCTGAAGTCTGAACCCCTACCCTTGAAATCAAGATTCAGTCATTTGCATGGTTTAGTTCATCAAATTAGCACAAAGGCTGGGCAAAAAGAATGGATGAATAAATGCTAATTCCAAGTGAATAGATGTCATAAAAATGAAAGAGCTTTCGTGATTATCGCAAAACAAATTCTCTGCTTTGTAAATTTTATGTACAATTGCCGGAGCATAGTTAAGATAACTAAGAGCAATATGTGAACAGTAAAATTTTCATTTTTTAAAAATTATTACTGTTGGAATCGTATTTGTATTTATTTGAAAGACTTCTTTCACATTGTACATGAATATTGTTTTTTTTTTACAGTACATAGGTATAATAATTATTACAAATGTGAAGAAAAAAAAATCATTTGAAAGATGCATGGAAACGATATAAATAGTTGTACAAGTATGTATAATTATACATTACTACAAATTAGATTGAATTTTTTAAAATAAACCTCATCTAAATCTTTATTTTGTCCATTATCCAACCAGTTGTGTCAAGTAGTTCTTCAGATCAGGCACCGGTTGGTGAAGGATCACCCAACACCTCAACAGAAGCTGTTCAAGATCAGTCAGAAGAGAAGTGAGTATATCTGTATATTTATCGTGCCCCATTCAGACAAGGTGGAATAAACCATCTCCCAAAAACAAAACAACAAAACTTATATTGTTGGCTTGCACCCAGTAGAAAAAGATCACATGCTCGATCTTGTAATTGAAAACAAGGCTGAAAAGATCTTGGAACCTGGGGTCCATAGTAAAATGAAATAAATTGTGCTAGTGCATATAGGCCAAAGGCAAAAACACAAGTAGTTTTCCTAAGTCTTCCAATTCCCCTGAAACTGTCAAAATGAAAAACAGAAGGGGGTGGTGTAAGATGCAATCCTCTGTACTTTAGTGCAATGTTTTTGTTTGTTAGTTTGATTATATAGTTCATTGATACAGTCAAACCTGTCTATAGCGACCCCCAAGGGAAACACAAAAAGTGGTCTCTGTAGACAGGTTCCTTCAGTACATGTTTCAATGAGAAACCATTTTCAAAAGAAACAAAAAATGTGGTCATTGTAGACAGGTGGTCTTTGAAGACTTTGTAGACAGGTGGTCACTAAAGCAGGTTTGACTGTATATCCTAAATGGAGAAACGTGCATGACAGTAATCCCCTTCAAACCATTTCTCACCTCCTTACAGAGCCATGGTAGTGGAACCAGCAACGTCATCTCCTGTCGACAACAGAATATCACAAGAGGCCAACGTCCCAACTAGCCATCAGTCCAACGACCAAACTCTAAACAATGCAGTTAGTAGTTCATCTGACCCTAAGGGAACATTAACAAATGCAGCTCCTGTCGAGCCGCAAGTTCCTATGGACTTACCCGTTAGTAATCCTGTTCAAAGCAAGCCAGACACGGCAGCTATAGTTCAAAATGACTGTAAATCCCCTGTTAGTAGTAATCAAGTATCGGTGAACAGTAGCCTTGTGTCGTCGGTCATTTCTAGTCAAGATTCAACGTCTTTGAATATACCTCTCTCCAATTCGAATCCCAACTCGCACGCGGACAACTCTCCCAGCCCCAGTTCGGTCAGCCCGAGCTTGACCAGCGCGGACTTGCCTAGCAGCGAGAAATGCGGCATGAGCAACACGGCGCTTCACACGAACCCCGGACAGTGTATACCCACCATGGGTTGTAACGCCGCCGATCCCAATAACTTATCTCCCGTCGAGAACTCGAGTAATCACACCATGGTCAACGATGTCGGGAACACGGACATCGGCATCAACATCAAGGCGGATTTGAAGATGGAGCTGAGCGAGGAAGTGCCGTCGCCGACGACGCCGACGACGCCGACGACGTCGCCCGTCGATGGGGATAGCAGTCCGGAAGCTGCTGTGACGATCTCGCCGGTGGCCGTTCAGGAGGAGAGCAATAATGTTCATTCAGATCTAGTCAACAATGATGCTAACCTTTCACCTGAGGGGGATACAGCAGATAAGCTTAGGTAATGACAGTATTCAGTTTAGCATGGCAGAAACAAGGCAGAAAATCCCAGGATATTCTTGGTGTTGCAAGGATGATTGCAAGTTCATGAAAAAATACCTCGACTTATGAATTTCCCATTCATACTACCTTTATGTATGTGGTTCTGCCGCAAATCGAATTGATGTAGAAAGGTAGTCACTGTGAGTCACAAATCTGTCACAAAATTAATTTAGTCATGTTATGGCCTATTTTTTCTCTCAAGCAAACCATGTTAAAGTTGCGTTAAATTTGGCCACTGTTATATGGATCACCAAGTGTAAACCTTTGCTTAAGTCTACTAGGGAGCTGACTTAAATTTAGGGTAAATAACTTAGCCAGAAGCATCAACTGAATACCAAAGTTGGCTAAGTATTATATCTAAGCTGAAAACTGAGTAAAATACTCAAATTTCTGACAATACAGTATGGAATTCAATACCAGCCCAGCTTTTGAGTTCAGCCACAGTCCTGACACTATTGTTTTTATGGAACGCCGATGCTCATGTGTGTTTTTTTCCTTGTTTGTTGTTTAGTTTCATTGCCAAGTCTGAGTTCATGAAGTCTGGAGCTAGTTCTCAATCTCCCAGTTCCCCAAGCCCCAATGGACCTCTGGATCTCCAAGACTCTCAACATAATAGGTCAGTTTGGTTTTGACAAATCTTAAAGTTACTATTTGCTTTTTAACGATACAGACCGGTAGTGGTAAAAGGGTTTTGGGTGCAAAATATCCATTCAATATTGTTTAAATATTGCCTTCAGACGTTTAGACGGCAATACTTCAACCTAAATTTATAAAAAGCAGAAATATATGCCCAAATGCTCAATGTTGAAGTGCATTCGCGATATTTATCCAGGCTGGACCGATATGATAATTTACCAAATGTATTATTTAGTAGGCACTTTCCTGGCAAAATTTGTATCATCACGTATTGGTAAAAACATATTTTTTCATATGATTGGTAATTAGAGCTTCCATTTCATTTTTTTGAGAGGGGGGCGTTTCCAAAACTGGTCTATATCTTTAAGGCCTCATTCTGATGTGCCGTCAAAACAACGATAACAACAAAAGGCACCATTTTGAAATGGAAATATTTTGTATCCGGGTAAAGGATCACCATGGCACTTGAGTAGTCTTTGAGTGAGCGGATGTATTAAATGATCAATTTATCCATGTAAACTCCAATAAGAAATCACTATGGATGTACAGTATGATAAGGGTTGTCAAAGTCTGTATTCCAGCTTGAAACTAGAGAGGGAGGGCTAAGGGCAATTGTCCTATGAACTCTTCAGAAATACAACCGTAAACCTATGATAAAGACCACTGTTAATTCAAATTTCTGTTCATGGATTGCAATGCTCAAATTTCTAAACGCGATCATCGAGATATAGTTTGTCTTAAAGCCCCACTGTCCTACTTGTAGCTACTTGCTCCTTCTATATAGAAAACTTCCCCAATCGGTCCCTATTGGTCCCCCATGATCCTCTATTTTTTATGTTATTTGAGAGCTGAGTTGATGAGATAGCCACCTGTCAGTGACCTCGCTGTGTGGTCTAATCCCTCCTAGCCACACTAGTGTTGATAATCTTTAAAAACAAGAGCTGTTGCAAGAAGAGTTTAGATTTTTACCCCGTTGTTTTGATTGACCTCTTTCCCTATCTCTACAGGAATGATTCCTCAGATAATATTGACATTCAGGTTACTGCAGTAACTCAGAATGGACCCGTCTGACACAACTCCCCACCCCCGCAATGCACGTAGAACAGTCCATGCTGCCATCCACCCAACAGTGCCGTCGGGTGCAGTCCACTCCGCGCGAGGGAGGAGAGGAGCGTCTCAATCGGAGGGAAGAAATCGATCCCCACAGCACTCACGATAAGCAAGATATATTCTCTATATTCATACATCATCTACGTCTCGCCACATTTTTTCGAATATTTAGCCCCGATTGCGAGAGATGACAAGGTGAAATTTAAGGAGTGTTGTGTCGATGAGTTTCTTCTGCGCCTGATTTCGCACTGGTCACTTTCGAAGCAGTATTTTGTCTTGTGTCAGGTTTCTTTGCGAGAAAACTCCCCCCTGTGTAGTTATAAAATCCTTTATAGTTAACCAGTAGGTATTTCCATTCAAATTTAACCAGCAGGTGTGAAAATAATCCAGATCTATTTTTGCTAATATCATTTTCTTGTTTCTTGAATGCTTTCACGATTTGTTCATTTGTTCATCTGTTCATTTGTCTTTGCGAGACCTTTGCCTGTGTATTACTTGTATCCTTTTATTGTGTTTGAAACTGAAATGCATATACCTCAATGGAGTCTGGTGTCTATGAAGCAAAAGTCTTTGATATGTTCTTTGTCGCGTGGTAGGAGCAGCCACCCTTCCCGCAAGTAGGTCAATGTGACATCAACATTCTTTGTACACTTTCTCCGTGGAAATGTGTCGGTTACGAAGCTCTCATCGCCATAATTGTTCCACATTTTAGACTACCTCCAGAGTTGCCATTGCAGCCAGTGTACTAGACATCAAGACACAAATTATATCCTGTGGAATTTAAGATAAATATAAAAGACATTTGGAGTATTGACAAATCATTTATTGAAACGGTAATTCCACATCTTCATTCTGATGAAATTCAAGAGGAAATTCCTGTTTCGTCTCAATTTCTTTCAGAATTAATGATTCGACACCTGTAGTTCATACATTTTCATATAATTTGAGCCCAATTAAACCGTGGCCTGCAAACTCGAAGCAAATGATAGGTCTACTTACTTTGGGATACAGAGCACCAAAGCATTACTTGACACTGTAAATCTAGCTTGTAATGTATACCTTTAAGCACATTGCATAACTGGTTTCTAAAGGTAGTACAAGTCCGGTGTTCAGTTTTATCGGTGTCGGTGTCTCTGAAATGAATTCAGGTATGTATGTTTTGTGTACACCACTTAACACCTAACTCTGAAGTTGAACTTTTACAAGTGTTAATTAATTAATTAATTGATAAGATGTTGGAATGCTCGCTTATAAGGCTCATTCTCATACACGATGCAAAACGTTATGTAGAGGAATTATAGCGTTTTTGTCCAGCGCGAAGGTTGCAACAGTCTTCTGTTACTAAGCATATATAACAAGATGCAACAGCTTATTTAAGAGCACCTAAATTGAGTTGGTACAGCACATTTTTGTTGAGTCTTAAAACCAAAGTTTGCTTCAAGGGGATGCAAACAATTTAATCACATTTGCTTTGCTCCCAGTAAGTTATGATCATTGAGAATTGGACGCGCTATACCCAAGAGTAATGATGATCCAGATCCAACATTTTTGCTTCTCTATTGAATTACGGTAGCAACAAATCTGAATCTGGCCAATAAGCGACACTTCGTTTAAATTTGTTATACTTCAAAAAATATCATTCAAAACTTATATACTCCAAGAAAATGTGGCATTGTGACAAATACACTTTCGTTCTTCCACTAAATATTCATCTCATACCAAAGCTGTTAATCACATCAAATTTGAATACAAATGTTATGCACGACTCTAAATGCATTTATCACGTTGGCAAGGTTTGTCATGAATAAACACGTTACGGTTTCTTTTCATCCATTCGATATTAGGATGCTAGTTTGAACATTTGTTGCATCGATATGTTGGCTAGTTGATGGGACAGTTTGACATTTGGCATATTGTAGAGACGTATTTGACCTATTTACACAGTGCGGGACATCAAATAATATTCTTTTTAATTTTCAAAGGTTTCTGAAACTTTCAGTTATTTCTGCAAGGATACGTAAATTAAAGGGCATATATTATATACATTGGTATTTATTATGGGTTAACATTAAACCTGAAGAAAAATCAAAGGGGAAACGCTGCTACATTCCTAGATTTTTCCAAATTTGAAAGTCTGGTGTGTATGATTAGATTGCTACTAATTTTATTTTCATTCTCACAGATTAAAGCTACTATAATCTACAAAATGAAGGCTATGTGAAAAAAGCATTTTTTTAAAATTTGCGTGAAAAGATGTAATGTTTACCTCAAATAATCGGCGATCATTCATCCTAGTGTCGATAGTAAGAAATGAATTCTAGCAAGCAATTTCTTAAACAAGGGTATTGCATCTCTGTACAAGGGAGTTTAATCAATTTTAAAACGCATGGGTTTGGAATATGTGAACTAATTTGTCGGACAGATAACAAAATGTGTTTTATGCTGAATTATCGTCAATGTTATGTGTCGAACATCAAGGGGCTATGCTGTAATGAAAGCAGACTAGATTCTTCTGTGAATGGGATTTTGTTGAGTTTTTTTTAAGAGTGATTGATATGTAATATTCTCTTATGTTTCGATTCAATGCAATTTATCATTTTTTTTTTAAAGAAATCACTGTATCTCTGAGCAGCTGCGATTTGATTTATGCAGTTTGAAACTATGAATGACATACGGTAGCTGTTTGGTGTTGGATATCTCGACACATGCTGTCCCCATACTGATTACATGTGAACACACACCCTGAAACATTAGTTCATTAACAGGATAACATGGATGTGTTCACATGGTTATTTAATATAGGCTGGTATTGGAACACTAACCCACTGTGCTGAGCTAAATCCGGATTTAGTTCAGACTTAAAAAAGGGAATCTGAACAAATCTTCTGGCATTTTAAGTTTTGCATCACCATATATTTGAAGTGCACCTTCCCCCACCAAACAAAACTTATTTCTTATATGACCTGACTTTCAGAACAAGAAGGGTATCTTTTTTACTTTGCCTATTTAAATGAAAATATCTTCTTCACTTCACTGCCTGACATACACATGCATGTCAATCTAGTCCTTGTATAAACATTACAGAACTGTGAACAATGTCTCGTGTCTTACATTGAGAGTGGGGACAGTTCAAGTGTTAAACACACTCAAATTAGGGAGAATTTAGTATGATTTCTACATTCAGTATGGGGACAGTTCAAGTGTTAAACACTCTAATTGGGGATAATTTAGTGTGAGTTTCTACATTCAGTGTGGGGACAGTTCATGTGTTAAACATTCAAATTAGGGAGAATTCAGTGTGATTTTCTACATTCAGTATGGGGACAGCTGTGTTCTCTAGAGGTGGTTAGTAGTCTAACTTCATGTTGAAGATTAAGAAAAGATAAATACGTTTTTATGGCAGGGATGTCTTTAATAGTCACTAGAATATACATATGGCATGAATGAATGAGAGAAGAATATTTTTATGTCATGAGGTAACAACATATTAAATGTCACATATTTATGTGCCAGTTAAAAAGTAAAGAAATGAAAAAAGAGCATATGTATATTTGTTATTCAATTTACTGAGAACATTTGTAAGATATTTTTCAAAGATTGTCTGTCCTTTTCTTTTTAAATACAGTGAATATGCTGAGGATGATTTTCCTTCTCTCTATTATATATTTCTCGTAACAGGAGGAAAAATGCAAATATTTGAATGAAGGCATGTTGTATTGCATTGTTTTTATTTTGTTGTGTGGTTAGTAGTTAATAGATAGTGAATTTCCTTTAATATTTTCAATTTGATGATAATTTATCTTTAACGAGAGGAGAAAAAAATGCAAAAGATGTTCTACGATGTACTTCCAGTTTTCATTTTGTTTTTACCCACAGGAGGGTGGATTGAAATATTGTCGTTTAGAGCCCTAAAGGCGCTATTGTATTTGACTGGTATGCAGTGCGTAACGCCTTTATGTCTCTGAAAAGACCACTGTTTGTAAATATTAGATATTATAATACACCGTCCTCGCTTGGGACACACACATTATTCAGTGGGAGACAAACATTTTTTTGTATATTGTGAGCGGTAATTAATGTCCAGTCTTTTATGAAATGGTGAAATTGTTGACCACGGTTGCTGTTCTCTCAAGAAAAAACGGAACAAAGTTTGCAAATGCTATCGGAGACGTAGGTAACCTCTTAATGCCGTAAGCTGAAGATGACACAACTTGTCGGCTGACTGCGAGAAGGCCATAATAGCTTTGTATTGTTCATTGTCAGTAACGGCCATCTTGCATTAGTTGAGATACAGAAGGGTATTAACTCATACACTGCATTTTACTTGATTTAATGCCCCTCTGGCTCTCAACATACTATATGTCATGAGACTTTTCCATACGGCACTAACGGGGTAAGAAGCACGAGTGGAATGCTAAAAAGAAGCTTGATTCTGTGGGTATTTATATCTCGGTATGTCGCAATGTGGGGTAAAGCTGCTGCAATGGAAAGATGGCAGCAGCTGAAAGCAAACTGGCAACGAACGCTCGATGTTGAATGTTCCCTTTTGGATCTGTCTTCACCCTTTTTTAATGATACATGTTTAACTAGCAACACATTTGAATGAAGAGAGGTCAACCAAGGTGAAAGGTCGACCAAGGTTCACCCCGATGTTTAGAAATGTCATAATGGTTACTAAGTGTCTCATCAAACCCTTTCAATCCTAGATCCACATTTTACGATCAAGACTGTCGCAAACATTCCCCAAAACTCTACTCAAGGCAATTCATAAAAAAATGGGCATATCATGTAGAAATTATGTTCCGAGTATTTGAGATGCCATTGTAATGTCCGCACATTTAAAGAATCTGTTTGCTTGGAGCCAAAAGGTCATTGACCTGTGTTAAAGCATATGAGTTAACGCCCTCCTGGCTCCAAACAGATGAGCTGTCGGGTCATCGCAGTGTTAGAAATTGAGTTTCGGGAAATGTTTGCGATGGTTTCTTTTACCGCGTCTCCACGAATAGATGATAGCATTTAAAGACTGGTGATTCACCCTCTCTTTCCTTCTTTCAGTCATGACGATAATAATGTTATATTTCTAAGAATGTGTGAACAGTCTTTACGATACTGTCTGCCTGATAACTATTATCGGAGAACATTTTTCTTTCTCCACCCCTGTGAGTGACCTTGTGGATGACTTGTTTGTATATGATAATAAATAATAATAGAGGACTTGATTTCAATATTTCATGGACACATGTTTTATCTTGATTCAATTGTTATGGTGACAAAAAAAAAAAAAAGGAAAGGAAAAATGCTTATCACAAAGTATGTATATGATTTTACTAAACAGATCTTGTATTTCTTGAGGTCTGTCGGAGGATCGGAGGAAAACTAAATCATAGTGTAGTATTGTTGATGAAAACTTGTACCAGAAGAAGGTTATAAATAATAAATAGTTATTTCCATCTTCCCATTACAAAGCGGAGTGTCTTGTCTTAATTTTGTTATGTCATTTGTGTGCTTTTTCATGTGTATTGAGCGAGGTTAAAGGCATTGTTGAACAATGTTTCCAGTTTTACAAATCTGAGATGCATGGCCCTACGTGTTATCAGTATCTGTGATATGGTGTAACATTGGAGCCCTAAATAAAATTGCGCTTCAAAATGATCATAAAATGCTTCAAAAAAGTAAAAAATCTTTGAGTAACCGGTTTTACCATACTCATTTTCCCTAATAGACTGTAGTGTTTGGCATACAAGTTTTTGACATTTCTAATTCCAATCATAAATATCTTGATAATCAGACCGGCGATCGGCTTGTAAAAGTTATGGGGTTCCTGACTGACCTAAAGGTTTATAATTATCATCGCAGCATGAGCTAAAGCCAGGATTTTGTTTCAGAATCTGAGACAAAGATACCCAATCCCTTGAAAGGGGAAGTCCACCCTAATATTGAGTTGGTTTTAATTGGAGCAGAAAAATGAGAGGGACACATCAGTGAAAGTGTGAGCAAAATCCGAAGAAAAATAAGAAAGTTAAATTTTTTTGATGCTGCGTTAAATAAAACACAAATTGGCTACTATGACGTATCTTTCGAGCTCCTCTCCAATTTTCCATTAGGCCATTGACGTAATTTAATAAAGTTTGCTGTATATGTCTTTGTGAAGTGCCAAGATATGAATTATTTCACTCGCCCGTTGTGATTAAATCTCGATCGATGTTATGCTAAATGCATACATTAATTGTTGCTAGGTTGGGCAAAAATGGCTAACAACATGCAGGCAATTTCCATTCTGACTATTCATATTGGGAGTACGATTATTCGTAACGGGTGAATACACTACTTTGGAAAAGGCACTTCACAAAGATGTAAGCATTATAATGTGGTTACATTCTTTAAAAGACCCATTGCTGTAGCATTGAAAAGTGGAGCATGCAATTGTTTCCTGAATAAATATTCCAGTTTGGGGGCTATAGCACAAAATAGATTGTGACAGCATTCGTAGTAGGTCCATGGTGACAGGGAGGTAATCAAGGATAAATAAAATGAAGAAGGACTTTGAAGAATTTGGAAAGGGGTCAATCTAAAGTCAAGGGGTCAATCTTTGGCCAAACATTTAGTACAGGGTTTATTGTCGCCTTCTCTGAAACCTCGGTTATGTTTTCTTTTATTTTCTTCATGATGGAGGTGTCTTGACAGCTCATAATTGCTATGAATTTAATGGATCCATAGGCTATTTCTCATAAAACTTGTTAAATAACAATTGCCGCGATTCCGCAACGCCATTCAACGGCATCAATTTTTGTAGCTTGTATCAATTACTGTGATGTTTTCTTGCTAACAAGTGATTTGTTAAAGTTACTAGCACCACCATACCAAGAAATCTTGAATAAGTTCTTATTTTCTTTTAAATCTACTGGTATACCTATAAATTAAATTATTCTTTGAATTGAGATATCCCAAGCATGAAATCAGATGATCAAGATGTCTTGATAGCTCATAAGTTGCTATGAATTTCTCTAAAAACTTGTTAAATAACATCTGCCACAATTGGCAAAATGCCACTCCAGCAAAGCACAGAGTGATTGCTAATGCGTATTGAACTCTAGCGCCGTACTACGTGCTGAGGGGCAGCAATTACACACAATACACACACTACACACAATTGCACACTAACGCACACAATGAATATGATGTGGCTGATTGGCAAGTTTGACAGTAGACTCGCGATTTGAATTTTCAAAATATTCTTTCTAACATTGGTAAGTTGAAAAGATTGTAATTTACTGCTAGTTAGGTGTCATCAATTGTCACTAAAATACTGATTTTTAGTGAAATCAGTTGAGTTTTGTACATGCAGTGGTGTTTGAAATGTTCAGAATCAATAAAACAGTTTTTAATACACAGCCAGGATAGTAATGCAGCTATGTGTGCAACATGCTTCCTCACAGCCAGTCAAAGGCATCAATTTTAGTAGCTTGTATCAATTACTATAATGTTTTATTGCTAACAAGTTATATGAAACAAGACAGCAAGTGATTTGTTAAAGTTACTAGCACCCACCATACCGTGCAATGTTGCATAATTTCTTTTGAAAACGTGCTACCGGTATCTTTAAAAATTAATTATTCTTTGAGTTGAGATATCGCGAGCGTGAAACTAGATAAACGTACCTGGGTAAATCGCAGACATCGTTGTCGGGGGTAGACAAAAGGATATCACTTTACCTTTTCAAGCAAAAAAGGAGATGGGTTGTTTCACTGTGCATATGCATTCTCTATCTACAGTGCTGTACATGTCCATATTTTGTCAATACATGTATAATTATGTTTCTATGTTATCTAGGAAGCTAGATGAATATATCTTCATGTACGTGTTTCTCTGTCTTTTTACTCATTAAAGCCCCTCTAAAGTGTTGGGAGCCCAAACAATCTGTTATGTGAAAAAGGATGTCATTTAAGACGCATTTCTGCAATGATTTTTCAAACAAATGTGTTTAAAGTCGAATATTGATGAAAGAATACAAAATTTAGGTTTTCTGCGAACAGATAACCTAGATTATGTATTCTTTTCTCAATATTTGTCTTCAAACACATTTTTGGGAGAAACCTTTGCAGAAATGTGTTTTAAATGACATCCTCTTTCACATTATGATACAGTTTAAGTGAAACACTTTAGAGGGGCTTTAAGCCTATCTCTATATCTTGCATCTGTAGTTCTGTTTATATATTCAGTTAACAACTAAATTATTCATGTTTGATGTTTTTTGTATTTTTCGTAACTCAAGAATGAAACGTAGATACTTTTAGATGTAAGTTTTGATATGTTGTATTCTTTAAGAAACTTAAATGAGGACAAATCAATTATCACATACTTCAAAAATTCAAATCTTGGAAAGGGTATGAATATTTTAGTTGTTGACTGTATCTGTATCTCTCCATCTCTATACAACCATGGAGGGGGGGGGGGGGGGGGGTCTCTTTGTACTCATCCCTGCAAGTCTGTCTCTCTCACTCATTCCCCTGCCCTTCTCTCACTCATTCCCCTTCCCTTCTCTCTCTCACACACACTCTCCCCTGCCCTTCTCTTTCTCACACATTCCCCCTTCCCTTCTCTCTCTCTCTCTCTCACTCATTCCATTTATCCCCCTCTCCTCTCTATTTCTCTCTCTCTCTCTGTCTCTCTGTCTATCATCCTTCCCTCCCCCTCTTTCTGTCTCTCACTCATCCCCCTTTCCTTCTCTTCTCTCTCTCTCACTCATTTCCCCCTCTATCTACCAGTCTCTCTTTCTCTCACACATCCCCTTTCCCTTCTCTCTTTCTGTCCCTCACTCATTCCCCCTTCCCTTCTTTCTCTTTCTATCCCTCCCTCCCCCTCTCTTTCTCTCACACATCCCCTTTCCCTTTTCTCTTTCTGTCCCTCACTCATTCCCCCTTCCCTTCTTTCTCTTTCTATCCCTCCCTCCCCCCTCTCTTACGCACCCCCTTCCCTTCTCTCTTTCTGTCCCTCAATCATTCCCCTTTCCCTTCTCTCCCTTTCTATCATCCCTCCCTTCCCCCTCTCTTACGCATCCCCCTTCCCTTCTCTCTCTCTCTGTCTCTCATTCATTTTTCTTTCCCTTCTCTCTTTCTATCCCTCCCTCCTGTCTCTCTTACGCACCCCCTCCCCTTCTCTTTTTCTGTCCCTCAATCATTCCCCTTTCCCTTCTCTCCCTTTCTATCATCCCCCTCAATCTCTCTCTTTCTCTCACTCATTCCCCTCCCCTTCTTTCTCTTTCTATCCCTCCCTCCCCCTCTCTTTCTCTCACTCATTCCCCTTCCCTTCTTTCTCTTTCTATCTCTCACTCATTCCCCCTTCCCTTCTCTCTCTTACCTATCTGACAAAAATGCTCATTCATCCTACGTACAACTCATTTTCTATAAAAAACACAACATTGACAATGGCTTTTTTTATACTGATGGAAAATACATTTTATTTACAATTTAATGCAATGTAATCCCACAGTACAATATCTCATTTTGTAGATTTTTTGTAGTAATTTATATTGGGCAAAAGTTTAAAAAATATACTTTTGAACAAAGAGGAAATATCTGGAAGCCTTTTCAGCAAATGATTCTGTTTTTCGCCTTATTCCTAAAGGTATACAATCCGTGTGTAAGCCTTCAAAGAAAACTACAATGATAATATGCAACATATATTAGTACAGTCTGAAAATGAGACATTCATAATTGTGATATAAGTATATCACGAGAAAAAAAAGGAGAATTTACAAGTGAAACGATACCTTCAAGGCTTTAGTAATGAGGATTTATTAATTAAGAGATGTATGTACAACTTTGAGAAACAAAGCTCAGAAATAAACAAATAATTTGTTCGCTCAATGCCGCTGAAAAATTGTCTTTAGCTAGAACCGAACATAATTCGAAATGAAATATTCATATATGATTTTTATGTACAATTATCTACAGAAGTTATCAGAAATTGAGAAAGATTTGAGCAAGAGTTCTAGGAAAAGGAAATTAGGAAAGAAAGAAGAGAGGGAGGAAAAATGAGGGAAAAATGAGGGGAAAAAGGAGAGAAACTAAAAGGCAAAATTGTTTCTGTTTCACAGGCTTAAAACTTTCCACTTGAACAAGACACAATAAGGCACTTTATCTTCCAAAAATTAAAAGTAATACTGCACATAATTTTAAGAAAGAGATACTATAATCAATTCATCCTGAAATTCATTCTCTTTTGATTTAAAGTTCAATAAAACCTTAATAAAATTGAAAAAAGTAGGTTTTTCTAAATTCAGCTCTCTAAATAGACTTTTGAAAACAAAAACGAAAAAACAAATAAATTCCAACCATCATGGGAACTTAAAGGGGGAAAATATTTGTACTGGAAAATAAATAGTTTTTTTGTTCAGGGGTACTACATACTGAATAAATGATACTTTCAATTTAATGGATCATGATTATAAATATCAAAATATTTAAAAACTCACACCGGGGATGGAATATGCGAGTCATCAAAAAATGTTTTTGTTCGAACAAAAATAATTTAGAAATAAGGCCTCAGTGCCTGCACATGCCTTTTTACTTACATTAAGGAAAACATTTTCTGAAATAATAAAACTTTGCCTAAGGACTACCCACCCTATCACTAGGGCAACACAGGGACACACAAAGATTTATCTTTTCTTAATTACGAGACAAAATAGGCAGTTTACTGTTTTTTGGCAATCTTACATATAAGGACTTCCCTCGTATTCATAAATCAAGACATTTTCACATGATTTTTAATATTTATACAAATTTTCATAACAATTCATTAAATTTGTTATACTCCCTGGCACAAACATCTTTATAACACATTCAGCACATGTTTGGAACAAAAAAAGATAAAAAGAGGACATTCCTCTTTTTTAAACAAGAGGCAAAAAAATTGATTCCTAAATCAATTCATTAAAAAAAATGATAAAAAATGACAATAAATTCTTTCTCATGAGGCTATATGAGAAAAACCCTGAATTCTCCTAAAAAATAACAGACAAGAGAATAGTAAAATAAATAAACATGTACATCTACATGATACAACAGTCTTCTTTGTAGTGGTCCCAAGTACACAAGAAGAAAAAGGCATGAAAATCAAGACGCATTTTATCATTCATATCCCCCTAGCATGTAACATTTCCAACATAAATTAAAAAAACCTTTCAATAAATCTGAAGAAAAAAAATAAACAAGAACACCAGAATAAGATGGGTACTTGCAGTTCAAAGGTTCATGTCTAAGTACGTATCTTCATACTGTTATTCTACATGTCTATCAAAATTTGAATGAATTTGTAATCTAACAAACCCCAATATTCTGTGCTTCAAAATAAACAAAAACACCCCTAAAAGAATCATCTTTTTGTTACTTATACGCCGTGATCCTTAAGTATTTCACAATACATTTACATACCTGTGTAATTTGAAACAAATAATCAATAATACTTGTTGACCGTGAATTTATTCTGTTATTTTTCACTTCAATGGCCAATGATTCTAATTAATAATACATAATTCATTTTCATGTAGATTCCACAAATCTACACGTAACCTACATACTGATAATATGTAGATTCCAATAATCATCTTAACTACATGTTTATATATAACAGGCAAGGCACAAGTTTTACTTTTTTTTCATACCCGATTTCTTTGATCTCTTACTATCTTCCTTGGACAAATACAACAAAAAAACATTCTGATCTTAGAATAGAGACATGGCTTCTATGAGATCTTTTAGATTCATTTCCATGAATAAATCTCCTCTTTCTCATCATCTTCTAGCTTTAAATATTAAAAAGATAAATGGGTCTGGAAGCTCAATAGGATATTATCTACCTCTTTCTAGCCGTTTAATACATGATCTTACTTAAAAAACAACAAACGAGAGGTTTTATCTAGAAACAATGATATCTCCATCCTTTTAACAGGACACCCCCATCAACACGCGGCGCGGCGCAGGTTCATGGTTCAATACCCGTCACGGCATGAACCACATCTTGGAGAACCACGCCCACCAAGTCTTGACGAGATGTTTCTGCTTTCCATTCGCAAGCTCAAATCACAGATTTGAACCGCGAAAGAAACTTTACAGCACACAACACACCCCCAAGTTATTCTCACAAATATGTCTAGACAATGGACAATGGCGACAAACTTTGAACTCGTAAGGAGTATTCGGTCTTTAAAGTAAGTTCATTGCATTGATTTTATTTTATGGCAAAACAAACTTGTAGCGAGAGCTTAGCAGCTAAAGTTGTTACGAGTTGTGGAAATGGCTTTAATTGGATGACATTTCAAAAGCATTTTACCCCTTTAAAACAAGGATGCTTTGAAAAGCCAGCAAGAAATGATGGGATCTAAATTTCTAATTCAAAGGGCTCAACAAATGGGTGAGCAAATAACTTTTACTCTCGATGATACATGATCTGGTTGATCTTAGCCAAACATCATTAAAAGCGCTATCTCCATATTAAGCAACCTCTCTCCAACAAAAATGGCGAAAAACAGCCTTTCTAATACCCCATCTCTCTATACGTTCATATGTTTATTCACTATGTTTGAAAAGATAAAAAGACTTGGATATTCTGTCCACACATGGACTAGATAGAGAAGGAGAAGGTTCTTTTATGAAAGATATTAAGGATGTAGATTCACTTGTTGGAGGAGCGATTGATAAGGGCCATTGTATCGACTGGGATGATCTTAGCTTCCATGTCGGGGTGCATCATATACGCCTCGTAGCCGGTCTCCTCGCTTTCCACGCCCGCAACATCTGACCCCAACCCAGTCATCAGGGCGGCGGCCATCTTGGCAAAGCTAGGGGCCTCTGGGGCGATGTTGTCCAGAAGGGCGTGGCTGTCGTCATGGTAATGAGGATCGATGCCGGCGAAGGCGTCTTCCTCATCTTGGTAGGAGAGCAGGGTGCGAGAAGAACGCACTGTGAGAGGAAGAGACGAAAACGAAAGAGTTTGTTACCATTGATTCATCCCTCACTAAAATTCACTTTACATCCCTCATCTCTCTCTGTCTTTCCCTCTCCCTCCCTCCCTCCTTCCCTTCTCTCTCTATCTCTCTCTCACTCACTCTATCTCTCTCTCTCTCTCTTTCCTCTGTCTATCTCTCTTTGTAATCCTCTCCCTATGGTGCAGGTTGCATCTGCCATTTAATGTTTCTATCTTAGAATTCTTAATTTTTTTTAGAAAGTTATTACAGCTAACAGGTAATATCTTTTACAAGCAATGATTGATAGAAATGCTTGGTGATCAAAAGCATTCCACTAAATTGTTCTCCTTAGCAGGGGTATGTTTAATTGGGATTTTACAGACGAGTATCAATCTAATCAATTATACTCCAGCTGCTTTAAAAAAAAAAGGATATCAAGTAAGATAACTTACTGGAGTGGGTCGTATAGGGGTCATCGTCCTCCGAACCGGAAGCTGGTTTGGGACCGTACATCCTGAAAATGGGGTCGGGCTGGTCCTCGCTGTCATCGTCGCCATGGAAACTGGGGGCGGAGTACTGAATGTTGTTACCATAGGGACCGAAGAAGGGGTGTGGCATGTCGTTGTTGGGCGATGAGGAGGATGAGAAGAGCTTGGGGAGATGTTGGTTGCTGCTCAAGAAAGAATGTGGTGTCCAGGAACCAAGGAAGACAGCAAAACATAAAACTAAAACCTGAAAAGACAAGAAAGAAATATAATAGAGACTTAGCGATTAATATGATATCGTAATACGAGATTTTACAATGCACACATATATCTTTAATCAAAGGCGTGACAACCATAAATTAGCAAGTTTATAAACCTAAGTACAATGACGGTCAAATTTTTGATAAACAGGTCCTTTTTCAGTTGTGTTTTGTATTGCTCTGTGGAATCTAAATTTGTATTGGATGGAGTAAAAAGCGAGGAAAATGTAATTTAGTGAAGTTTAGATGAGCTGGAAGTCACCAATCTACATGCCCCCCTAAAAAACATGAAACTAAAACCAGAAAAGACCACCAAAAACATAAATTTGAAATCGGATGGAGCAAAAAGACTAGAAAATGTGGTTTAGCAAATTTCAGGTGAGCTTTAAATCATCTATAAATTTGAACATGTTACCGGTAGTTAACCAGTCTATTCAACAGACATATGCATTTTAACAAGCTACTCATAAAGGTATTGAAAATGCTATGGAAATGATGACAAACAGGATTGGAAAAGGCAAATTTGCAAGCTACATAAATTACTAATATAGCAAATAGCAAGCAATCATGAGCCTTTTTTATTAAATGTGAGAAAGGGTGGGGGAGGGGTGGGGAAGGGGTGTGTTTTACAACCATTTGTAGAATAACTGAAAGTAGTAGATGGATGAATGAAGATGAAGCGCTGGAGCAGATGAGAGATGCGATTATTTCATTTTTGAATATTATTATGACAAGGCACTAGAAATACCCCTTATTTCAATTCTAATGCATTTCCAATTTTGATGCATGTCTGATGCATTTTAAGCAATCTTTAATTTCAAAAAAGTAAAAAAGTTTAGAACATAAAAACGTAAACTTGAGCTGCACTTTAGCCTTAGGTAGCAATTTGGGAGAATAGTCATTACTTGTTCTACAAAACTTGAAAAAGCTGAGATCTAATATGCAAATGCTCTCTTCATGAATATTATAATTAGGCAAGCATGGTGGGCACGATGGTAGCAGAAACGATGATTAGAAATAAATAAATTAATAAAATAAATCCATGTTTTGAAGAGAAAACCCCACCTGTGCCTTGTCTTTAAAATTGTTGATTGCACTTAAATGCCCTAGTGAGGGCCTCCTTCATCATCTCAATCTCTTGGCATTGCACTGTCGCTGGCTGCTGTGGTGGCGGGACTCGGTAGGGGGCTGTCATGAGAGGGCGGTGTTCGTGTGTGCATGTGATAAATAGTCGGGCGGGCGGGCGGGCGGGCCGTGTGGGGGCGATTTCAATACAAGCAAGCATGGGATGGACGGGGGGAAATAAAATGAACACAAAAAACGGCACAATAAATAAATAATAAAGTCACATGTGGTAAATATGCGTTGTGATTGATAGCAACATGCATGTGTGAAAGTTTGTTTGGTAAGGCTCGTCAAAACCGTAACTTATGTTACGCTCGACTCAAATCAATGAGGAAATGCATTAGATGTATTACATATATGGAAATGAACACACACACAAAATAGTTGCTCAATCGCTGTTAAAAAAACAAAACTCACACAACACTGCAAACTTCAATCTACTCTATTCAAAATGGCAAGGAATGGCCTGTAATATATTATTTGGCAGCACTGCTAATTGCTTTCGCAAAAAAATGAAGGTTTTTTTTCTCACTGGTATCAGCATGTTTGAGATCTTAACAATTTTGCAAGCATGACTACATTCCTAAATGAATAGTTATGGAACTACTGTGTAAAACAGAAAGGTATGGACAAATTCATCCTAAACAAACTATCTCAAATTCTACGAAGAAACAAAAGAATGGTACTTGGGAGGCCTTTTCAGCAGGTTTTCCCACATTTAGTCTTTTTAGGTAATGGATGGACCTTTTTTTTAATCAAAAATCGATTCTATATTAACAGATAAATCGGTTCAAAATTTGCAATTAGCGAGGAGGACTGTAGATTTATTCATGTTTTATTTTTATTTTTAGGGGGGGGGAGCAGGGGCAGGAGCAGGGGTGAGTGCGTAGAGGTATGTATATGCTGATTATAATAAAAAGGGGCACGAGCCTTCAAAACAGAGACTTTTTAAGGGGCAATCCAACTCTAAATCTTAATCTGATATTAACCTGTGTCAATTAATCTTAATCTGATCTTAATCTGATTTTAATCTTACCATGAGGTAAGTACCGGTCTGGGTTCTGTGAGCTTTGATTGGTTTAGAGATCTTGTTGACAATATTTTAATCTTAATCTGATATTAATCTGTGTCAACTAATCTTAATCTGATATGTAACCTATGTCAAATTAATCTTAATCTGATCTTAATCTGATTCTAATCTTACCATGAGGCAAGTACCGGTCTGAGTTGTGTGAGCTTTGATTGGTTTGGAGATCTTGTTGACGATAGACTGTAGCTTGGAGAGCTGGGAGCTCAGCGACTGATTGGTGTTCTCAAGGTTCTCGACTTTCCGTTTCAGTTCCGTGTTCTCGCTGGTATAAGAGTCCATTCTAAAAATAGAGCAGATATCATGTTTAGAAACAGACCATTGTCTTATAACATTTCATGAAATTTCTTCATATGGATAGAAACTAGTTCATGCTTTCCAAATTTGAACTGGGAAAAATATTTGTTAAAATTTTGCTTTATTTATAGGAACCTTATTTTTCCCCCTTTTATTGTTGTGTCTTTAAAATGCAGTGTCAAAATGGATGGACACTCAATATTTGACAAAAGTGATGAAACAAATATCTTGAAATATACCAAAACATTACGTTAGTGATAATAACTAACAAGACAGGTATACATGTAGTAACTATTTTAAAACCAAACTGTTGTTATCAAGATATTATTTATTGGAACGTTATGTTTAGCTTTGAAAGGCTGCACTAACTTTACTTAGGGACCCGTAACTGATGATTCGGGCTTAGACTGTACGAGTCAAGGACAGCTACAAAGATAAGTGGGACCACATCAATTGTTCCTATCACATTTGAAAAAGACCGGATTACTAACATATTCAAATTTTATGCATACTTTTTAAACAGAGGTTGTTCTTGACAACTGAAAGCTTGCTAGAGGCTTGCCCCACATAGCAGCAAGTTATGCATGCAGACTGGATTCCAAGTATTGTAGTTCATTCATTAATAACGGGTTAATGGAATAACTCTTCACTAGGTCCCTAGGAAAGAAGCATCCATAAATTTGAATAAGTTATTAAACGGGTCTATTGCTGAATTTCTTTGGGAACATTTTCAAATGAATACTATTTCTCACCTTTTCTCAAGAGCCTCCAAGTATTCCTTCTTCTTCCGTCTGCTTTCCTGAGCCGATATCTGGAAGAAAAAAGAATGAAAAGACAAAACTTAAATCTCTCATCGCCATACTTCCATAACAGTACCGATTTATTCATCATTTACCCACCACGGCACTAATGTACTTTGGCAAGACATTAATTTACGTTTGTCACTCTCCACCCAGGTGTTAAATGGGTACCAGTAGGAAGGAATTCCTTGAATGCTGTGAGTGCCGAAATCGGCTGCCTGGCAGAGCCGAGGTAATAGTTGGAGCGCCATGAGCACCATGTATGGTGGATATGTGTGCTATATAAATATCCAATATTATTATTATTATTATTTCTGAAAATCGATACTGCCCAATTAACAAATGTTAGATAGTAATAGCCAAGCAAATAAAAAAGGAAACATAATATGATCAAAAATTGCAATTCCTACCCATGTCCATATTTCTAAATTTGTACAACATTGAGAAATTTGACAATGGTAAGCTTTAAAATATTGAACTTTTCATTTTCTTACAATGTAATATAGGCTCATATTCTGACCCAATTGTTTTTTTAATGTTTTTAATCATGTTTGTTTTTAATCATAAACAAATGTAAATATGTAATATATGCGTTTATTGTGTATAACTGTTCATTTACTTTAGAAATGGAATGCATAAACATGAACTGAAAGTACATGAACAAGTTTCTAGATGCATCGGCATCCAGGGGACCTATGGCTTTGCGTCCTTACCTTGTTCTTGATCTTCCTGCGGACTTTCTTGAGTGATTTCTCTTCAGCCTTGGTCAGAGGGAGCTTGGTCGGGATGGGGTAACCTTCCTGCCTCAGCGTGCGTCTCTCTTCTTCTGTCAGATGCAGAGGACCAGATTGGGGCAGTTTCTGTGTAAAGGATATTTGAAGGATAGTTTTTAGTATAATTTGTGTTATTTTGATGGTCACAAGTAAAAAAAAAAATATATAAAAAAACCTCCCATAACAATCGTCATCATCATCTCCAGCACCACCACCAGAATAATAATCATTGTCGTCGTAGTCATCTTCATCATCATCATCATCAACATCACAGTCACCAACAACCATCACCACTTTGTGAATATCACCACAATCATCACCATCATCTCCAGCACCACCACGAGAATAATAATCATTGTCGTCGTAGTCATCATCATCATCATCATCATCATCATCACCAACAAAATCAACTTCATCATCATGAGGGGGTGGATTATCATCATCACCATTTCCATCACCATCAACATCCCCATCTTAATCTCCAATACCACTGGTACCCCTAAAATCATCATAATCATCCTCATCATCATCACCATCACCATCATCAAGACAACCAGTTGCCATGGTTCCTTACCTGGATGTTGGTGAAGAGCTGAGGAGAGACAGTTCGGGTGTGGCAGATGGGTCTTTTGGCAGGTTGGATGGGTACGGCACGGGGCGAGGAGGGGGTGGATCTCCCAGGACTCTCGCTCCCGTCGCTGTCGCTATAGCTGGCAGTACTACCGGGTGGTGTCGGTGGCATCTGATGTTTCGAGCCCAGTCCTGATTTATCAACAAAAATAATCAAAAGAACAATGATTATTCATCAAAATATAACTTGAGGCTTCCAAGTAAATTCAATGATTTTGGAAAAGTTTGTCCATTTGTAGGTTTTCTGACCATTCTCTTCATGATAATGGTGATGTCTAGTTGGCATGTGTCATCCAATGTATTATATGTCTTTGCTGGCCTGGTGTGTTTAATATTTTATTAATTGTAAATTTAATCTCTTGTGGTACCCTCTTTCAGTTCAATATTAGATTTCAACATTTTCTGTGTTTCTATTCTATATCTTCTATTGAATGACTATTAACATACTACATCATTTATACCTTGCTACTTTGAACTTTATTTCAGTATTACCACAGATACCTGGCCCCCCTCTTATACAGTGAGGACTGATATCAATCTCAACTACTGTATGTACATACCAGATAGGAAACTGCAACCTTCCAATTGATTGAAGTATAAGACAAGGCCCTGTATAACATTATCAGAACTTTTGCTGGGTGTATTTCTTTTCCCCATGGCTGTATTTCTTTGTCACTAACCATTATCCACGTTCATCATCGTCACCAGTTCCAGCTTGATCTTGGATCCGTCCTGTTTCTGTTGCAAGGTGGTGGTGGTCGGTTTCAGTTCTCCGTTCCGGGTCAGCGATGTTCGATTGGCAGTGGTCAGGATGGATTTGGCGCCGGTCAACTTGTCCATGAGTAGATAGCCGGTGGTCAAGCCGCCGGCCGTGGTGGTGGTGGTGGTGTTGTTGTGCTGGTCTGACGAGATGAGGGAGATGTGGTGGTCATCGGTCTCTGGGGAAACGGGTAGCATGTCTTGGAGGCCTTCGGGATCGTAGTTGCTGTCCAAATCATCTGGAGGGTGAGAGAGGATGATTTAACGATTTGCTGATCTTGGTTGGTTATTAAATAATCACAGAGCAAGGAAAGGAAAGGGGTAGAGGTGGTGCTAGTGGTGAAACTGTCATGGCGGGGGTGATGATGATGATGATGGTATTGGTGGTAGTAGTAGTAGTGGTGGTTCTTGTTGTGATGGTGGTCATGATGATTATGATAGTGACGGTAGTGGTGGGGGTGGTGGCGGTTCTTGTTGAATGGTGATGGTGGTAGTTTTGGTGATGGTGGTGATAATTATGATAGTGATGGTAGTGGTCTTGGTAGTGTAGGTGGTGGTAGTGGTTTTAGTGGTGATGGTGGTGGTTGTGATGGTGATGATAGACTTCCACAACATCTTTTTTGCTAACAGATCTAAAATTTCTTACAAATATCTGTTCGCCATTTTGTCGACCAACTAGTAAGCAGAAATCTGCCCATTAGAAGAAAAAAAAAAATCCCATCTGAAGTGAAAACGGCCCTACCTTCTTGCTTGATGTCCTTCATCATGGGCGAGTTGGGTTCACTCATCATGGAGTAGCTATGCTCAGAAGCGATGTGAGGTAGAGTGGGGTCCGAAGCCTCGCCCGAAACCATCTTATCGGCCGAGAGGAGTGGGTCATCGTCAAACAGGTAATCGTACTCATAGTAGCTGGGGGATGATAAGCCATCCAGGTGGTCGGTCATCGGCTGCTGGTCAGAGGTGAAAAGAAGGGGATCGAGGTTAGATTTTTGAAACTTTCTTGCCATGAAAACTACCAAACAACAAACAAAAGTTTCTTCATTTTACAATATTCAGATGTGAAGTCTAATATAAAATGTACAAATGATGGGGAAGATGGCCGATCCAGGTGGTCGGTCATCGGCTGCTGGTCAGAGGTGAGATTTTCTAGATCATCAGAGTCATATCAGTAAATCCAGACACTTTTGCCTGCACTTTCATGAAGTTCAAGATATATCCTACTTTCGTAAAGTTTCATGTCTCAAAATTATCACAGTATAACAAAAATTCTCAGCAATTGGTGCAATTTCCTTGCCATAAAAACTACCAAAACAGCAAGCAAAAGCTTCTAGTTTTCACAATATTCAGATGTGAAGTCTAAAATAAAATCGAAATAAAAATAACTATAACTACTTCTTTTCTGGGTCAGGTTCTTTGAAGTTTGAACCTGTTATTTCAATTCAGTTCAAATTTCAAAACAAATGAATAATTTCATAATATACAAAGATATAATATGTAATAAAATAATGCCTGGGAAATTCGCATTGAAAAGCAGAAGGCTTGCAAGAAAAACCCCACAGCGATTTCCATTACAATCATAATAAGGAAACAGCATAATACAAACAATGCAGTTTAAGTTTGTATTATCTCGTTCAAACAAATGCACAACTGCTACTTTCATTCCCCCATCTCCTGCACTAATCTAAAACATTCTGTAACTTTGCTCACAAAGATTCCACTTTAGAAATCTGACATCTTCTTTTATTCCACCTTCATTCATACATGAACATGTATAGGCACCTCATCATACAAGATTACAAATTTACAATGTAATTTACAATGTAATCTACAAATCAGGTTGGGTTATGACCATGTGATCTTAACAAACAAAGTCAAACATCCTTCCATTGTCATTCATACAAATATGACCTTTAAATGGCAATGACCTTCAGGATTCAATATTCATTGATCTCACTTAAAACACTTAAACAAAGTATGAGCTTGTTATAAAGATTATGATTAAAGTTATGGTCAAATGTCCAAAGTCAATTCCTAAGTGAAAATTAGTGGGAAAACATTAATTGGACCTTGGGCTATGCTTGAAAGGAAAACAGTGTTGTTTTTTCTGATGTTGATTTCAAAGTTCAATAACCCTTGATCTGAACACTTTAAAGCCCCTCTGTACTAGTTTGGCCAGGAGGGATTAGACCACCCTGCGTGGTTACTGACAGGTGGCTATCTCATCAACTCAGCTCTCAATTAACATAAGAAAAAGAGGATCATGGGGGACCAACGGGCACCGCTTAGGCATTGTTTTCTATATAGAGGGAGCAAGTAGCTAAAAGTACAGTGGGGCTTTAAAACAAGGAATGTTTCTGTGATTTTAAGATCAAATTTACTTACATGTATGTACATGGTCAAAAGTACAAAGTTAAATCAAAGTCAACTTCAAATCCATGGACAATTGTAAATTCAATACCATTGATATAAACAGACTTGAACAAATACAATGGACATGCATTTGTCATCAGATTGTGATTAGCGATGTACAATGACAAGGTCTAAAATACAAAGTCAAAATCCAGGTTCAAATCTGTTGGCAATCTTGAATTCTGACCATATCTCAAACTGCAAACAGCGTACATGGTCTTTTAAACAAACGCTGATGTGACATGGTTCAATGTCATTTAATCCAACCATAATATATGTACTTGTAGAATGTAAATGTATGTATCTGTGATGAGATTGAGATTACAGATGTACATACAGTACATGGTCACATCCTAAGTTCAAATCCTTGGACATTCAAAATCATGAATTCTGACCAAGTTTGAAACTGGATGGAACAAATGGGTGATAGATTTGTACTCATGATGATGCCTACTTTAAGTTTGAGGGTGGAAATGGATGGGGAGGGAGGGAGGGAGGGAGGGGGGGGGGGGGGGGGGGGGGGGGGGTGAATCATCAATACAGATTAATTTTTTTACTGGCTGGGAAAGCAACAATTTCGAGTGACTCTCAAATATGAATCCAAATTCAACCTAAACATTGAGGTAGTTAAAGGTTTAATTTATAAATATACATGTACATCATACACAATGAAAGGAGAGGCATTCCTTCACCAATTCTGGTAAGCATTCTGACGATTTTTTAATTTGTATCCACCTACACAAAACTGTCATTAATAATATATTTAAATAACTTGAATTGGCTTGTTTTTGCGAGCCTAAGGAGATCATTTCCTGTCAGAAAGTAAATCATCTATCGTTCAAGGATCATTCAATTTCAGCGACCAAGATGGAAACTGATCATGATATATTGCAGGCGACATGTAGGAAATATGCTTCCCTTGCAATGTTGAACAGTGGCATAACATAGGGCAGGGACCCGTTTCATAAAACGTGTTATCAATAATAAGTTCCAATAACTGTTATTATAAACTAGTTCTACTTACATCAATTTGTGTGGGTGGGATTACATGTAATTCTTGGAGTGAGAATAAGCCTTAGAAAATACCAAGAAAGGGCACTGTTTTCATTAACATAAGACTTGAGATCATTGAAATGCCCCGACCTTTTATGTTAAAGCAGGATTGAAACACTAATCTACATTGACACATACAGTACAACAAGGAGCTTAAATCCTCGCCCCGTGCTCCCATGATATGAGGTGCATCCCTGGCCTGTTAGATGCACAGGAAGCATCTAATTCTGTCCTGTAGACTTCATCTAACCAATCTCTTTGTGACATCACAGGAAATGATTGGCGGTGCTCCCTCGCTTGCCCTCGCTCTATCCCACTCCCAAAAGTCAACTCGACTCAATTGAGGCTTCATAAACACTGCATGATCGCTATATTATATCCCTATGTGTACTCCATGCTCCAAGCAAGTACATGTTAGGCAACTACCACACAAGTTTACCTACATGTGGGACAACACTATATTAGCATCCGTTTCATATCTTTAAAAAAGTCGGTAAAACACGTAAACATAGATCAAGAGAAACTAGAATGGCGGTCTTTATGTAGACATGTGATTTATAATAGAGGTTTTCTTTGACTACCGATTCAGTTAGGAACACTGTCAAATGTGTATGTTAATTGTTCATTGATTTGTAGTATATCAAAGGATTTTTGCTTATTTCTATTTCTAATCTTTAATCAAATCAGAGAGTTTACAATTTGTGTCTAGGACTGAACAAAGTATAAAGTGTCACTATTTGTTTGTTTGAATAAAACATATGTGTTATTCCATATCAAAAAGAATTGACACTTTCACTTACATGTATACATGTATGTATATTGTAAACTGATATTAGGTATTATTTACAAATAACAAATGCACACCATCAAAACATGCTGGCAATAATTGAATACAACATGGAATTGAAAAGTAAATTCATATTTTCCTTCCTTCTTGACAAACAAGGATGTAAGATTTAATATAAATTATTGGAGAGAGGAGCTACATTTCCTTGGTGTTCATTACAGTGTACACATCTCGGAAATAACATTTCTCAGAAAGCTTCCCCTTTGAGCAAAGTAAGAGCATTCAAATAATAGAGTATTTGGCTTGAATAAATGAATAAACCCTAGATTAATGTTTATGTAAACAAAATTAGCACCCCCCCCCCCCCCATGAATCTATCAAGCTCATAGCCATACCTGAGCTTGGATCAGACAAAATATAAATTAAAATATTTTTTGTAAAATGATGTTCACAACTCATAATACAATTCACTTGTTCGACTTGTCCGACTGATGAGCCTACCCTGGGAAAGTAAAGACCATATCATTTCCACTTTTATTCTCATAGAGACTTTTGAGAGGTAAAGCAAATCAAGATATATAAAACCAGAATCACTTTGAAGAAGAATCACGATCATATAAAAAGTAAACAAACAAAGTCTACATATTCTTTGATGTTGGACTTTGTAACTATCAATAAGCAAAAGTTCAATATTTAGAGATAATGAAATATAACCTTATCAGTTCGATTGAATACAATAATGTTTTTGACAAAGCTCTTGAATCTAAGCCACTTCAATCTCAAGAACATTGAGGAAGGAAATAATTGAATAAATAACAATTTTGTAAGTATTTGCAGAATAATATAGAGGGGCATAAAAAAAAAGTACATTAAGGGCATCAAAGGCATAGGCTTGTCTTAGAAATAACAATACTTTCATTTCAATAATTGTGGAATGAAAAGGATACAGTTTCTCTTTCTCATAAAAGGAATACCTGCAACTTATTGTTTATTTTCATTTCAAATATTTGATTAACTTCATTATTTCAAACTTTGTGTTACTCCTGTACTCTTATGCCCATTCTAGATTTTTGTTTTACAAGTCTTTTAGGAAACCGCAACTTAAGCTTTTCATGAGTAATTTTGGAGACTTTGAAACAAGATACAGTTTGATGAACAAATATGCATTTAGTCAGCAATGCAAAAAAGAAGAAGAAAGAAATGTCTATCCTTTTATAGCTTACAGTAAAGAACAAATTAAGTTGAATATCTTTCCATAATTCAGCAATAGAAACATTATGTTGTTCATGTACCTCGCAGAGTGTTTAAAAAATAATATTCTCTTTTTAATTGTTTTTTACAGCTGACAGAATTTCATCAATACTACAAGATAAATTTTCTTCCGATAATTTTGCACAAGTTTAAAAATCAGCAGCCAATTAATAACAGGATGTCAGTTGCGTGAAAATATGTTTACCTAGCAATTGACGTTCATGATTGATAATTGAACTTGTCTTGAAAATCAATCCATCACTTTGAAAGGCACTCGTCACACTTCTATGATTATTAAAGGAAAACACTTTTCTGTAAAGTTGGGGTACGTATGGTAAGGTCCAGTGAATGCAAATATGTCGTCTGTACAGAGGCAGTTGGGCGTTTAAACTCTGTTTCAAAGCATATGAGTTTATAGTCTTTTGGTTTCATTTATCATATTGTTGGTAACAACCGGTAGAGTCCCTCAAAAACAAATTTATTTTATGAGTAACTAACGAAACAAAGAAATGAAGAATTCCCATTTGCCTTGTTAGGTATGC